GCGTGCTCCGATCTCACCGTTGCCTGATCTGATGTTGTATGTTCCAGAATAAGTGGAAAGAGATCGGCGCGCCTTTCAGGTTCTAGATCCAATGTGGCTCGTATACGTGGCGAAGGCTACCCCAAAAAACTTCGTATTGATAGAGGATTTCCATAGCTCAGGCCTGAGTGGTTTGATACAAAATCGAGTCGAGCTGTCGACATCGACAGTCTTGACGCGTTCGATAGGCCTGGATAGGGATTGGAATCACCAAAGACGGCGAAGGGTGTTGCGCGCACTCGTACACGCATGCAACAATGACATCCGTGGCTGGGGGAGACAACCCTTTTCTAAGTGAATGAGATGTGGTAGGATATTCATCAGTCAATTGGATCGACTGAGCTGTTTATGCAGCGAGCTGGCTCAGATTCCCCAGCCAAGGAGCGTCCTCGCCATCAAGTGCTCGCCAGAGGGGAATATCAGAAGAGGGGGGTTCGTAACCGTAAAATGTTCATTATATTGCTGTTGGATTCGGAAGACCTCAGGTAGAAGGCATCGTGATTTCCCAGCATTCATTTGTTAAGACATGTCTCTCGTCCCTGGTTGTGATCATGCCAGAAGATGGAGCACTCGAGGCGTCCTCCCTCAGGGCTGCAACTTCTCGCAGGAGCTGGCAGACGGCCCTGCTGCGCAATGCCCATTTCGGCGTGTTTCTCGGGCTGTCGAGGCCCGCTTGACGAGGCGTGTCGTCTCTGCGAGGCACCATTTCGTGGTGCAGCCTCTCTTCCCACGTCGTCGAGCGAGAGGTGTCTCAGTCTTGCCAAGAGCTGCGCTAGCCCCGCGTACAGGCCGTTGGAGATCTTCAAAGAGGGGACAGAAAAGTAAGCTGGCCCGTTGCGGAATAAGTCCGTTAGCCTCACCTCTGCGCACCCTATAGGGAAGTCGAGGAAGATCGTAGCCAGGATTTGATGCTTCCTGAGACTAAAAGAGCAATTCGTGAGAGGAAATATGAGCCACCTGCCATGCATGCCCGGAGAATCTCCCCCGCGGCCAGGCCCTAGATGAGTGCATCTTTCTCTGATAACTGTGACCGAGACTCAAGATAGATATCCCCTGCATCAATGGTAGATATGATGGCTTATCAGTCTTCCTAAATGGGGTGTTCCAACAAGTGTCGCCTTGATTCTAGTTAACTATCCCTCGCCTGCCCATATAGCTACAGCCTAGAGTATCCATCGGAGAAAAGAAAAGTAAAGGGTTGCCCCTGCCATCTTTGTAAACGAGCTTTTGTCACTTATGGGGAAACGTTAGCGTCGTTCTCCCAGCCACCTGATGCTTCCTGGGCGGCCGTAGGGGCTGTTGGTGCGTCGGTGGATGCTAGGAATGGAGAACTGATTCTCTAGAGTTTATTCCTGAGGGGACCCCGACTCGAGAACGAACTCCGGCCTTGGCGTCTAGAAGTCTGGTTCATGGGGAAGTGTTAGGCCGTTTACGCAAGTTTCCAAGTGGAGGAGGTGAGGGAGGAGTTACTTACAAGAAAGCTGAGGACTCTTGGTCGTTGACTCAGTAAAGCGCAATGCTGTGTGGGGTAGCGTTTGGGGCAGAGCCGCCTGCGTCTAGTACCCGATTCCTAGACCATCTCGAGGCTTAAGAGGGAATGCGCCGCCAGAGTGGGCATAGTCATATCATAGAGGCGCAACAGAGGTGAAGAATAACGCTGGAGAAAGAGAAAGAGAGAAAGAGAGAGAGAGAGAGCGAGAGAGGCAATGTATAATTGTTATATATGTCATATGGAGTAGCGAAGTAAAGAAGTAATGAATAAGTGAAAGTATGTAATAGCGAGTTGAGTGTTGGGCAAGTGACGGCCAGATCATGACGCCTGCCAGAACTGCATCGTCCCTTATGACTAGGCCAGGAGCTTCTCGGAATCACTTAAGTCCTCTGGCAAGGCGAGATCTAGTTTGAGCCTCACAACTTTGCCGTTGACAAACCGCTCCAGGTCCACAGCAAGTTATCCACGAGCACCACGCCCGGAAATATCCCTCTCGCGCTTCCATTCTTTCTCCAACTCGATATGGGCCTGGAGAAGCCTACCAAAGATAAATGTATGGGAGGTCACTGACTTGATGGCTGCTTCGTAGTGATGGATCGGCAGCTACCGTGCAATCCCGGGATCAAGAGAAATGCCCTACCATTCAAGCATATCATCGAGTCCTGTCACATAGTCATCTTCAGAGATACGCTTCAGTGAGGCGCTAGGACGCTCGCTTCCTCCTTGAGGGAGTGGAAACAGCCTAGAAAGCAACCCGTTTGATGGCAGGACTTGGCGCATAGAAAGGCACCACATAGGATATAGTCGTCGACTGAGCATGCTGCCCAAGGAGCTCTGAAATACGCCATATCTATTCAAAGGTAGCTTCCGAGGATGATAAAAAGATTCTAGCTCGTTGACTTGTTCCAGGAGATCATACATGGGCTCCATTCAGTTAAGCCATGGTGTTAGCCGCATGAGTTGTAAGGGGAGTCTGGCTTGGAGGACATCGAACTAAAGGAAAATGGGGAACTAGCATCAGGTGGACAACGTGAAAGGCATTTCTTTGACCGCGAACCGAGGTGTTTCTGGGGTTTCAACCGATACACTATCATGGCGGTGAGGAACACACCGGGTCTGGAGCTGGCTTAAATGGCCATTCTCGGTATCTTCTTTCTTGCGAGGAGATGTAGATATGTTGACGGTGAATATATCTCGGAAAGTTGGGGAGAATGCGTAGAGAATGTCAAAACTTGCATCATTGTGCCAGTAGTTGCCATCCATCTCGGACGAACAAGCACTCGTAGGAAACGCAGAAGTCTCAAGCTACCGTGATTAGGAAGGTAGAATGTAGGAGTCGGATATGCTTTTACGAGAGACCACGCGAGAGACACGATTAGACCATTGGTGAATTAGTGAGCTCGATTCACCTGTCCTCTGGCTAGAGGTGGACATATCAACAGCACTGGAAGGGGATTGCATCTTCTCGGGCGTGCCAACCCATGACTGAGGAACTCATGGTGATTTATAGAAGCCCTCTTATCTCATTGATGGATATCTTGATCATCTTTGTGAAGTCACGTCTGCCTCCGGCCGTTTGGGCGATTATGGGACTAGCAGAGAAACAGGTCGTCGCCTAAGGGCAAGAGTACTTTGAGTATAAGATGGAAGCAGCGCAATTTGAGAAAATAGGAGAATATATGGATGCTCGGTATTGTATTTGCCCGTATATATCTCGATGGCAACCGAAGCATCGAAGATTGACATACATGAGATGGTATGGCATGGACAGACAGATATCAAGGTGGAGGTTAACCAATCCCTTGCCCGAAGCCACAAGAGGTTAAAGGAGAGTTTGGCTAGCTCAATCGCCAGTCCTCACCCTCAACAGAGACATTGAAAGTTAAGCTCACGAAACCATCTCTCTAAAGCGTTTGACAAGACAAAGAATGGCGAATCAGAACGACAAACGCAGCAACAAGCTCAAACCTAAGCACCATGAAGCGCGCATGCCCCTCCCCTCCGCTCGTCCCATTAGTTAGATCTATATGCCTCACTCCTCGTCCACGGATTACGAATCGAAAGGAGGCCATCGGCGGTGGATGAATCCATTAGTCGGAAGCCTCGTGATGGCAAAGGTTGTCCAAACGTTGCCAGACACTTTCGCCATGTGCTGTTTTGATTGGTCACCAGGGCCATCTGGAGGGATGGTCGGGAATGCAGCACCCTTCTCGGCAGAGCGGAGATCATGTCGCCAAACTCCAGATTCAAATTGGACATACCTGTCCCAACCACAATCCACTTCACAGCCGCAGGTTAACGTAGGTGCGGCTGGTCTCAACGTCGGAGCTTCCATCTGAGTAGGATTGAGCATACCCTAGTGGGCGTGGACTAATACTACGATTTGAGAAGCTGGTTGATCGATGGCGATGTGGGCATGTCAATGTGGGCATGGATAAATCTCGGGACGTTTGTCCTCTCAAACATGGGGAAATTCTCCATGACTCCGGCCGGCGCTTCAGACCCTTTGGCTGTTGGAGAAGGCAAGTTCGGAAAAGAAAGAAAAACTCGGTGATTCTCTGGCAACAGTAAAAGGTGGCAAGCACGACCCTCAATCCCTCATTCTCGGCGGGCAACAATGAAGCGCCAGCACAGTACTATTGAAACGGAGCTGGTTTGATCAATCGCATGTACTCGCCTTGTCTAGCCAAGGGGCTGTCACAACAATGAACCTCGACTAGTCACAGGGTCTCTTGGAATGGGTACCAATCGCCCCAAACAGCACTGACCCCACCGACCCCGCCGCTGCTCCAACGCACCAACGCCGATTCACCTCGAGCTCTGTGCTGTTTCTTCCTCCCCTCAAGAGTATCTAGAAACTACCTCGGTACTCCCTTGCTGTTAGTGCATGTTAGTGCTGTCCCCTGACCTTCCCTGCTCTTGACTCTTCGATGCCATTGGCAAAGCCAGTGAAGCCAGCGTGAAAGGGAAAGAGGGCCCGTAATCGTCAAGTGAGTCGAATGCATCTTCTGCCTTGTCCCGATCGACGTCCCCCACCCCGTGCTCCCCTCCCCTCCCCCACCAAAAATCTCTTAGGCCCAAGCCGTGGTGTGGAGTGTGCTTTTGGGGCCCTGCCGATGAGGGCCGCTTTGGATACTGTGAAACAAATCTATCCTAGCCATCCCCAGCTTTTGCCACATAGATCACTTTGTATTTGATTCTTTTCTTTCCCTTTTCTGCTCCCTTTGCTCGCTTCCAGCGTCATCCTGCCCCTGCTCGTTGCGAAACAGCTCGCTCACCTAGCCGGCCGGAAACAAGCCCCCCATCTCCAGCTCCGAAGAGGCCAACTTGGACCGCCCATTTTCGCTCTACCACAGACATCGCCGAAGATCGGTGCCGCGCCCGCATCTGATTCGTCTCGAACCTCCGACTTTGATTTTTCCTGTGACTCGACAACTCTCCCCCTCTGTCCAACAACAAGCTCTACACCATGGCTACCGCAGTGGCTGCGACTCCGACAGCTGAGAAGCCTGAAGAGAACCCCAGCGATGGCTCCAAGCTAAAGACGTTCATCACCATCTTGAAGAAGTAGGTGCTGGCAGGGGACGCTATTCTGGAGGTTGAGGCGGGCCTCTGCCCGTTGATTTGCCTCCCACACCAACCAACCCCGCGGGGGATGAGATGAGCAATGCTGATTATAGGATTGCTTGATAGGTTTATCGGCGTTGCTGATCTCGCCAACGTCCGCTTCTCGCTCCCATCGCAACTCCTTGAGCCTACGCCCAATCTGGAGTATTGGAATTATCTCGACGCTCCTAACGCCTTTGTTGGAATCGGAACCTCTGACGAGCCCCTCGATCGCATGCTCGAGGTCTTGCGTTTCTGGTTCACAAAAGATCTCAAATACGCCAAGGGAAGGCCATGCAAACCCTACAACTCGTGCCTAGGAGAGTTCTTCAGGGTATGTCTAGAAATCAAGTTGTCACCAGGGGGCCGGTGCCGCTGTCGCTCCAGGGGCACGCTAAGGAGTGCGCCGGGCTGTTAGCTGGGTCAGTGCCAGTTTAGCCGCTAACCGCATCGGACAGTGCAACTGGGAAACGGAGAATAATGCGCCGCGCATCTGCACCAACACCCTCAAGGGCAACGCGAGCGGCGCATCCAGTGTCAAGTCCGCCAAGTCGAGTTCCGGCTCCGACAAGAATGCTTCGACAATCTCCCTTTCCGTCCCCAGCATCCGGCCGAGGCCCGGCCCGAGCACCTTGTGCGGGTGTCCTACCTCACCGAGCAGACCTCTCACCACCCGCCCGTGAGCGCTTTTTATATCAGCTGCCCCGAGAGAGGTCTTAGTGCTCGCGGATTTGATCAGATATCCGCCAAGTTCACGGGCACAACGATCAAGGTGTCCCCCGGCGAGCACAACATGGGCATTTTCATCTCCCTCGACAAGAGGGGCGGAGAAACCTACCAGCTTACGCACCCGGCGGCCCACTTGGGTGGGTTTTTAGGGGCAGTCTCAGTGTATCCGTCTCCGAAGTGGCGTACGTCACTTGTCCTCAGACGAAGCTCAAGGCTATCCTGAGTTACGCCGAGGAGGGTTGGCTGGGAAGGACCACCAACAAGGTTCAGGGCATCATCTTCACCTATGACCCGGAGAATGATGACAAGACTCGTATACAAGATGTTCCCGAACAGGACATTTTGGCCCGGTTAGGCGGTCCTTGGAAAGAAAAGATTGTTCTGACTCTCGGCTCGAAGCCTCTGGTATGCCCGCCCTGATGCATTTGCATCCCTTGCCCACAGCTCCGAAACAAAGGAAAAGAAAACTCATACCTAACGTATAAAATAGGCCTCCCACCCCGTCGAAGATCAGTACACCATCATCGACATCGCGCCCCTCTCGGTTGCGCCCAAGGTCGTCCCTCCGCGAGAGAAGCAGCTGCCCCACGAGTCCCTCACGATGTGGGCGGGCGTCACCGATGCTATCATGGAGAAGCAGTACTCTAAAGCTACCACGGTCAAGATGGAGCTTGAAGAATCTCAGCGGGAGAAGGCGCGCCAGAGGGAACGCGATAATGTGGTGTGGAAACCTGTCTTCTTTACCCATGTGACTGGTAATGGCGGCAGACCCGACCTCACGCCGGAAGGTCAAGAGGTCCTCAAGAGGGCACAGGAGGGAAATTGGGACATGGAAGGCATCTTGTAACCGGCCAAACCGTCAACTGGAGATGATGATGGAAAGGAGGTGTCTTATTGGATTGAGTGCGTGCGTGATCTAGGAGTTACTGGTGCATGTGGATGGGTCTAGACTGCTTCTTGACAATTCTGGCTGTGTTCCTCTTTGGAAGCCATTTGTTCTTTCTTTTCTTCTTCCCTCTTTTTCTCTCTCGGTTCTCCCCCTGTCTATGTTTGGCTTGCTTGAGTTTTATTACAGTGATACTGCTCTTTCTTTTTACTACGCTTATTCCCTTTTTATATACCATATTCTCCTGTTTCAAGGGGGATGGGGTACATGGACACGAGTTGGTCTGTGAAATCATGACGGGATTTTCTTCCTTGATTCAAGAATGGGCCATGATCCCAGAGAATAGCCGCATATACTTCATAGCACGCTATTGGAGCCTACGCCTTGTTTTTTTTTTTTTTTCGTTTTTCTTCGTCTTTCTTTCGTATAACCATAATCTTAATCTCGGGTTTTGTATGTGAAGTAATGTCTATAGTCATCTGGTATTACATGTGAGAGTGGGAATTTGTAAATAATACACTCGGACTCCCTCCGCCCCCTTTGGTCGCCTTGCGAGTCCTTCCGGTCCGTTTCAAGTCTTACATAACCTTGTTGAACGCATTTCAACATATCCTGTCGTTTTTCCTCCTCCCGCCCCTGCGCGTCTCGTCAGGTTACATTACTTTACAAGTCAATGAAGCCCTTGACGCTCTTCAACCACCTCTGGTATTCCTTCTGCTCCTTGTAGTCAATGTAGTCGGGAGTGAAGACGGCAAGGCCCTGCGAGATACCCCTCTCCTCGAGGTACTGCTCCATGAGGACCTGGAGGTCCTCGTCCAGGGTGGAGAAGCTGGGACCGGGGTAGGCGTCGACGCGAGCGTGGGACGCCTCGGGGGTAGTAGCAAAGGCCTGGTTGGCATCGGCGTAGTAGTGGACGTTGTCGATGATGATGGCACCGTCCTGCGCGGTGCACTCGACCGAGAGTGCGCCGGGGCCCTTGGCGGGCTTCTCAATCACGACGGTGAGGTGGGTGGGGGAGCAGCGCCACCGTACTCGTCGCCGTCCTCGTCGATGAGATCCTCCTCGGCGGCGGCGCGCGAGTTGTCGCGGGAGCTTCCCTGGCTGTTGCCCTGACCTCGGCGGCCTCGTCGTCAAAGGCCTGGTCATCCTCCATCAAGTCCTCATCTTGGTAGGGAGCTCGGTGATGGAGAAGGAGACGGTGATCCTGGAGAGGGGGAAAACGAGTCTGCGTTAGTCTAACAGATTTCAAGGTTGTTGCGAAGCTAACGAGGATACGAGATGTGCAACAGAAAAAGAAAAGTGGATAGGCAGTGTTGTGGATAGAAAGGAGCTGTTTCTCTCCAAACTTACTTCTCATCGCCAAAGTTCCTGACGAGCTTCACCTCCTCCTTGCCCTCAACATCCACAACCTCAAACTGGCCAGAGGACAAAAAGTCCTTGATGCTGGCGGGCATCTGCTCCTCCTTGGACACCTCCTCCTCGAACTGGATCTCGCTCTCAATCTTGGCCGAGAGCTCGGCATCGACCTCGCCCGACGATTGCGCCGCGCGGAAGACTGACGTAGAGAAGTTGTAGCTTGCGCGGGGAGGGCGACGGCGCGCGCGGTGGGGAGGCGGACGAGGAGGGACCTGGTGGTTCGGGGAACCCTGGGGAGCACGCGCGGCGCGGCGCGGGCTAAAGACCTGAAAGCGAGCATTTTTGTTCTGTTCGTGGGCGGATGAAGAAAAGAGAGGGGATACTGATGCAAGTTCAAAGAGAAGAGTAGATTAAATGGAAAAGTAATACAAGGTCTTGATGGCGAGAATGGAAAGGGGGAAAAAAATTGTGATCTTGGGCGCGTCCTTGTAGGTAGAGCTCGAGCTGGGTCGAAAAATTTCCCGTTCTCTATGATCAGGCCAGACGCAAAGAAAATAAAAGTGGGCCCTCCCGCCAGCCAAGGACCAAGACATCGTCTTGATGAGTCAGCAGAAAGAAGGTCGCTAGATGCATTAAAGACCAACACAGGCAGACCATTCGACGTGACAGGCGGGACGATGTTCAATGGTAAGTCAAAAGAAGTGGTATTTGCTAAGACTTGGTATGAAACGCCGCTGTCTAAACGCCTAACAATGCATCCAGGGTCCCAGACTAACCCATCGATAGTACCCTAAACACCGTATTGGAATATCCCATGCCATAGTACAAAAAGAAATTGATACATCCTGCGTGTACAGTAAGAATCTGGTACCACGTCTTCCCCAAGTTCACATCTTTCCTTTCGAGCAAAAATGATTGCCCTTACTCCTGGTAGATATATGTTCAGCAACACCTCCAATCACCTATGAAGAAATCGGGACAAGTCTAATCTTGTGTGGGTCGTACGCGAAGTCGTAAACTCGGAATCGGATTCCGCCTCGGTATCCTTATCGATGAACGGAATCTGATCCTCGCTTCCGCACGAGTTGAGGGCAGCCACTTCGTCAACGTCCACCTTTGGCAGTGGGACAAAGGCGGGGTTCACAGGAAGGGAGGCCAGGGACGACCTTTTCGGCTCCCCTCGGAGTGGCTTCTTGTTGCCCGCGGTCGACATCAAGGGAGATCTGACGGTTCGTTGTAAGGCCTGACTCCCAAGTCTCTGCAGGGGCGTCATCATGGACATGCCGGTTGAGGGTGTGGCCGTCGCCGATCTGCTGAGAGATGGTGTGAATGTCGAGCGCTGAGAGTAGACGCTGGATACCGTCGAAACTGTAGACGGGGTGGATTCAATGCTAGCGTTGCTGTCCTGGCTCGTGCTGTTGCTCGACTGGGATGACTCTGAATTGTAGAAGAATTTGGCCAAGGATACGCGTTGCGAGGACATTCGGGGCGGCGTAGAGGTAGGGCGATCGGGCAAAGGCAAGGCTGGTGGGGCCATCTCCGCAAGTGTTGCACCTGGTATGCTTGTTTCGACAGTTGCAACAGGGGAATCTACCTCACCCACCAAGCTACGGCTCTGTTTCCGCGCCGCCTCTTCATCAAACACCTTGATCGTACGTTTAGGTTGGGATGGTAGAGTCCAGTCGTCCCAATCAAGGACCGAGTTGAAAGCCTCTTCAACAGAGTCGTCGGACAGAATACAGTCGCCTTGGGTGGAAGCCGCCGACTTAGATCGCGAAAGGGTAGGTAAGGTCGGCTCCGCGGTCGCTGGTGCTGCTGCCTTGGGCGAAAAGAATTTGCTCTGCTGGGAGGCTGGGACGTCGTGTTCGTTGGCTGGCTCCCCGCTAAGGCAGAGCCGGGCCTTCTTGAGGGGTCGCTGGGAGGTTGGCGAAGGCAAAGCGAGCGGAGGCCCTCGAACACCATCTAGTGAAGTGGTCACTCTCCGGGGCGTCGGTTGGCTATAGCTGAGATTGGCAAGCGTGGTGGCGACGTTCTCACTCTGGCGTCGGAGGCGAGGTATCGCAGGAGCTTGGCCACCCCTTTGTGCCACCCTCGCCGAGTCAATGTACGGCCTTGGCAAGGGGTAGACTCGCGGAACGAGCCCCCGTGGGTGATCTCAGCGACCCGTTGAGGGTCTACCGCAAACTGGTTCTTGTCCATCTCGCCCATGGGTATGCGGCCGTTCTTCCTAAAATACGAGTTGATTGGCCGGGGCTCGCGGCCAGTAGCTTTAGAGCTCGGTGATTGTATATTGGTGGTGGCGGGTTGAAAGGTAGAAGACGAGCGCCTCCTTTTGGAGACCTGGTAGGTTTGGGAGACGTGGTTTCGACGACGATGCGCTGTTTCGTGATTGGGTTGACGTCTCCGACAGCGATGGCTCGCGCCAGCTCGGGTTCTACGGAGGCGCCAATGAACGGGAGCTTTTCAGCCTCGTTCGTGGGGTCCTCAGTCAAGAGAACAAGTTCCTGCTTCTCGGGGCAGAAGACGCGTTGGTGAAGGAAGGTTAGTTCCGCTTGGTAAAACATGGACAAGTAATTTTCGGAGACGGTGGCTTTTCCTTCAAACTGGATGCGCTGCACAACCCTTTCCGGGGTCTTGTACTCGCGAAGGTAGCGGTACGCAGTCTTGATACCAGTGCCTTTGAGGCCATCGAGGTAGTCACATCCACTAAGGATCGCCATCCGTCGAAAATCTTGGTCAGACCAGCCGGTCAGCGACACTTCCCGACACGCACAAAAGTCGCGTCGGTTAATCTCGACACATCCGCCGAACTTGTCGAGCTTTGTTACGAGACGTTTGGCGCCAAAAACAAGGAGATCCGAGTCTTCGGACAGAATGCCGTCGATCAGGCCTTTTCGTTCCAGGTACACCATCTGCGCGTCGGCCTCGTACGGTGCGACGACGTAGGAAATGTTGAGTTTCTTTAGCTCGTCAATCAGGTGGCGTGCCATTTCTGGGGTGACATCGATCGCCTTTTGGAATTCTTTCCACGCGGCACTCGGCTTGCCGGCCTTGAGATACTCTGTGCCCTTCTTCTTGTGCTCTTCTCGAGAACGGGCTCGGGTTGCTTCGGTTCCGGCCTTGCTGGGAAGGAAATCGCCGTCGAATACTATGTACGGGGTGACGCCGAAGTGTTGTAGCATTTGGACTCGGCCCATTGCAAATTGAACATATCTGCATAGCGAGTGCACTCACGGTTAGGGCGAGGCGGCGAGGGCGTTAATTCGTACAGGGAGCGACTACTTACCTGCGCGTCGGTTTCCCCTGGGCAAGCTCATTTGCACAAGCAATGGCCCCTCGATGGAGCCAGCCATATGCGTCAACGCCAAGTGTCTTGCCCTTGAAGTTCTTGAGCTCCGTGTGCTTCTGGATTGACTTGAGCAGAGGCAACAACCCGGACACGCCCATGATGGGCAGATCTTGTGGTACTCTACACGAAAACGAACGGTGTTGAAAAGAAGAGGATAATACGACAGTACGGTTACAAGAGAGGACCAAATTGGGAGGTTTTTAGAGAAGTTGAGGTGAGAGGGGAAGGTGGAGGATGTATTAATGGGTTGTGATATTGAAGAGGTGGAAAGGCCCGCGTCGTCGATGGGGAAGTGGATTTTGTATAAATGGAAAGCTTGACGCGTCTCGGCGCCAGCACGTTGACCATGCCGGCAATACCACCCCGTGCCGGAAAATTAGTCGCGTTCGGTGACTGGGAGCGCTGAAAGTTCAGGGGTCGAGCAGAGAATTAGTGGGGCTATTTCTTTTCTCCCAGGGCGAGGCAGCACGGACTCTGAAGAGAACTTAGCACTCAATGGCTTCAGTGCTGCATGGGCAGCACTGTGCACACCACGCGGAATGTTTGTTCATGCAAGCTATTTCCGGGGCAACGGTTGAACCAGACGTGAAGTCGAAGCCACCAAGCGCTCAACTATTAGGCAGCCAGTCCTGACGGATCCAACAATTCTCTCGGAGATCGAGAATGAACTCCATCAATCAAAACATTGAGGGGTTGGCTGGTCTGATCAACACTGAGGCGAGCACCACGTTCGGAACGAGAAGAGCTTGACTAAAAAATTATTCAAATAGAGGCATTCAAATATCTCAGTCGTCCCGAATCCCGAACACCAACTGAGTCGTCTGGTTCTTCAACAAATCGTTCACTCCCACTAATTCCTTGAAGGATGGATGCGGGGAGGGAAGAGGTTGCTTGCCTGGCAGTTGACTGACAGTGTCGGCCAGTCTTGACACTTGCGCTCGAACTGGGCTGGAGGGGCAAAAAAAAAAAAAAAAAAAAAAAGGCTAGAGGAAAAATTCATCCCACTTTGACGCACCGCTTCACATGTGTGATCCGTAGTTGTTGCCCATTATCAAGGGAAAAGTTGATACGTTCATATACTTAAAGTAGGAGCCTTGACCTATATCTCAAATTCCAAGGCAGGCTACAAATACCAAGATTCACAATGCCTTCCTCATTTACCAAAACTCGGAAGCAAATATCGAAGAAGCGGGCGGGACATATCAACTCCCTTCATGAAAACTCGCGAGATTCGAAACGGCTTCACCGGGCCAGCGTAAGGGACGAGAGGCTTGACAAGTTGGCCTCTAGCCGTAATAAGCGAGAGCAACCCATGGGTGCGTCATCCTCTCCTCAAGGCATCTGAGCGGGACGAGCCATCGCCTCGTCTCGTCTCGGTTCTTCGTTTTTCGTAAAATCTCATCAACTGACGTTTATGAAACAGTTGACCGTGTTTCTCACTTCAAGGCCAAGATCGCCGAGAATGGGTCTGGTGCTCTCGCCCAAGAAGAAGTAGAGAAGCTTGTTAGCGAGTATGCAGTCTCCCATCTCTGCCCCAGATAGATTGATGGCCACGCCCTACGATACAATCTTTGCTCCTATGCTTGTTCCTGGGCTCTGTTGAATGCTAACCTAGCCCTGTCTAGATATGTTCACCAATATGATGAAGAATACAGTGCAATCAAGAAGACTCGCCGGCCTGGACGGCCTGCAAGCACGAAAGAGGATCTCTTGAAAAGGAGAATCGAGACTCTGTCGACGGAATATGAGACTGGTTTCCGTTCGTCTCCCCTCTTTTGCCTTTACTATACCCTCCTCTCTCCTTTTTCCTTCTTCTCTCCTACTACTCTCCTCTCCCCAGCCTTATCTCCCTCTTTCTTTAGCTCGCCCTTTCTTCACCTGCCACATCGCTTCAGCGTAGGAACGTAACTCTGTTTCAGCACTAATTCATCCACAGTTCTTCCCGATCTGACCACCCAAGAGAACATTGACCGCCTAGAACGTTGGGAAGGAAACTGGTCTTACCTTTGCACCCTCACTTGGGTCAAACTCTCTAAATCGGGCGTTGCCAGGCCCTCCGCATTCCCCCGTCGTCAGGATAACACCGAATTCCGGTTGACGTGGCAGGGCCTCCCACGTGGGTCGCATGTCGACAGGCCTCCGTTGCCATGACACAAAAGGGAAAACGGCAACCCGAGCCCGAATGCTGTCTCTAGCCGTGGCAGGGCGGACGGAAACTTTGGCGGTCGGCAGAATTTTCTTTTTCTTTGTGGACCTTGCGGGCAGCGAGGGCGGCCGGGTGTCGGTGCCGCGGCGGCGGGGAGGGGAGGGGAGGAAAGAGGGGCCAGTTTAAAAGCAAAACAGTCTTGCATTTCGAGACAAAGCGACGGGGCAAAGGGCTTCGGACGGGTTATTGATCATTGATTTCTTGTGTGTTTGCGGTTAACCACAGCAGAGGGGTCGGGTGCGCCACGGCGAACGGCGTTTTTCCCTTTCATCTTTTGATTCCATTAGATAAAACAAGCTGATATACCAGCCATACGAACATGGCCCATTGAAAACGAAAGAAGCAGGAGATACATAGGGGTCACACGGAGGTATCAAAAGCTGAGAGTCATGCCTCGAGTGATCTGGTACGCTCAACAGCCATCTCAACTACGCCGCTCATTTCATCGATGTCAAAACGCCTCTAGAGATGTAGAGATAGAGAAGGATTCATAGTCCACTCACTAGCAGTAACACCCTCTATCGATCGTTTGATCGGGACTTTGCCAGTGTTATATGTGAGACGACGCTAGGGCTGGTCATCGGCTTGTACTAAGCCTCATGCCCGTCCCAGCTGCCTTCCCCCGCGGACCCCCGCGCCCCCTTCAACGTCACTTCTCGAAGCCGCGCCGGCGCACCACATCGGATCCCAAGGCTGGTGCGCCTGCATCCTTCAGGGCCAACGTTACTTTGTTTGAGCCAGTCCCATCGATCCACCCGTCTGCCCTCCCGCGTGTTTCCCCTCTCTCTTAGGCACTCGCCCGTGTGGCGGATCGAGGCGGCTGCCCGTTTGCAGTGGCTAATGTGTACATCTCTCTCCCAGCCAGCCAACCTTCCGAGACATATATCCAAACAGTCGGGTACCTTCCCCGGAAAGGCTATCACCGCAGGACCAGCCCTCCTCCTTCCCCTTTGCCCCCTTCATCACGCTACACCAAGGTGGGAGTGTTTCCTCCCCTCTCCACCATCGCCGGCCCAAACCAAGACAGTGCCGGCGACTTGCGATCGCCTGCCCTCTTCGCCTCTTTCCATACACAAGTGCAACCCTGCTCGGCTGCCATCCTTGCATAACTGGTTTTCCTTTCCCCTTCCTGTTCGACTTGTCCCCTTGACGCCCCTTCATTGGTGCTTCGTCTGCGACTCTGCTTGGGACGGCCGGTTACGCGCTTTTCTGCACGTTGGCTTTCCAGAGCTGCCACTTGACACGCGCCGTCATAGTGCGTCTGCGAAGTCCCAACGCCCACCGCCTCGATCTAGATGGGTCTTTCCTTGTTCTAGAAAGACAAAGAGGAATGCAAGGTCTTGTATCAGATTCATCGCACAAAACCGCGGAAATCGCCTTCCTTGGGGCTTCGGAGAGAGAGAGAGAGACTAAGACCACAGGAACAGGCGCTGTCCCCCTTACCATACAGCTTCTTGATGTCTATGATTGGCCTAGGCTGCAATCCCATCTGTTGTGTATTAAGCTAACCGGTTGCACATGGGCAGTTAGATATGGTAAACAGGGAGAAAGCGGTGGCCGAGGCTTATCTCCCAAGGCCCTTTCTAGCCGCCGATCCAGATCTTAAATACGATGCCTCCCGGCTCATCTTTCGCTAGCCCAAAAGATGCCCGTCTGGGGAACCCCTAAAGAAACTTACCTGCCCATGTATATCCCAGCAGCGTTAGATCTCGCCATCTACTCGTTCGGACACTGCTAAGACAAGCCACCATATTCTTGCCCACAGCCATACACGTACGTGATTCCACAAGACCCTCCTATCATAAAGCCTTTTCACGTTCGAGAGTTTAGAAATCAACTAACCTCACGTCTAGCATGTGCAAGTACGTGAAGCATCTCCGCATCTGCTACGTGTGTGAGAAAGAAGACACAGTTCTCATCTCGGAGCGCCTGTGTTCTCCTGCTCGAAAGAGCGGCTTGTTCGGCAGCTGTGATCAGGGTGTTGCGAGCGGCCGAACTCGGACTCAACACCAATGTTGGAAATGCAAAGATAACGTCATCCGCATCTCCTCACAGTCACCGTTGATTTCCGTGGCAAAGCTCGTTTAGATCCCGACGCCAGTGAGCGCCTCGGGCGAAGTTGGGCGGGACATCCATAATCGATGTTTTACTTGGTTTTCGTGTCTCTCTTTCTGTTTTCGTGAGTCAAAGGTAGGGGTGGCGGAGCAGGGGCTTCGATATTACACAACAACGGTTCTTGGTTGGGCGGGGTGTGGAAGGAGTGCAAGTTCGGCGCATGGAAAAGGATTAGGGAGGTCGAAGTGTCTTGGGGTGACGTCGATGGCGAAAATCTCCTATATTGGTAACTTGTGAAAGCTGGTCTATTCATGAATATGGTTGTGTTGGCTTGTACAATGAGCTTCATGTTCGACATGTTGAGCCTAGGAAGCATACTTTCTTTTCCTTTACCTATACAGAACAAATGTAAACAGTTCCAAATTCCCCTTTTCCCATGATTGCAGTATTGGTACCCCTCAAGCAATTTTAGGCCCGTGTTTATATCCTCATCCCAAAATTCGAGGTGTTTTTGTTTGTACAACTTTAGCCAAGTACATTCTTCGCTAGAGACACTGTCCCATGAAACTAGGTTAGTGCAACTGTGACCGATATGGAGAGCGAATTGGGCGAGACTTGAAATAGCATGGCCTTGACTTACCACTCGTGCCAGTGTTATCAGGCTCAACGTAAGCGGCCGCAACGTGGCCGTTCTCGATCACTAGGGCGTATCTCTTGCCACGGACACCGCCGAAGATAGCGGTTCCGTCGAAATCGAGGTCGAGAGCCTTGGTAAAGGCGGCAGAAGGGTCGCCAAGGAATCGAATCTATATCCACAGAATGTTAGTCGCATGGAGGAGGTGCGGTGCATCTGCCAGCGGGGCAGTGAGTTGTCCTTACGCCAGTCTGTTTCGCGGGGTCGAGCTGCTCGCCCCATGCCTTCATTCTATAAGGCCGTTAGCATCTAACAAGAAAAAGTTCCCGGGACTTCTATCAGCTTACACGAAAGCATCGTTCACGGAGACGACAAAGACGCGACCGACATTTCGGAGCTTGGGGTGGTTCATGTAGCCAGGAACGTGGGTCGTGGAGCAAGCACCGGAAAAGGCGGCGGGGACACCGATTATTATGCCATCACCGCCGTTGAATTCCTCGGAGAGGTTCACTTTATTGCCAGGGGAGTCCTCGCAAAGGACTTCGAGGTTGGGAAGCGGGTCGCCAACGCGGACGGCTGCGGCACGAGTTGCGTGGAAAGCTCGACGTGGCACCGTGGCAGAGACGACGGGTCGGAGGAGAGGAAGGCGGGAAAAGGGCGCTCGGAAAGCCATTGTTTCTGTCTATTATGTTTTTCTGTTTTCTCGTTTCTATTTCCTTGAAAGAGCTGTCTTCCGGGTGTTTCTGATGTGCGCAGGCGTAGCGATCAGGGTCTGAAGGTTATGAGGGCCAAGGTAATAATAGTTGCTTGCTGAGGTCTGAACATTAAGCTCTTGGCGAGAGCTGGGGTTGAATTGTGGGGCAGAGCTGGAACCGCAACACCAACAGATGACGGAGCCCCTGCACAGGCCAATTGCCGCACCGAAGGTCACCTTGACGTGCTCGGGGGTTAGAGGTACCTTGAGTCACTCACTGTTCCCTTCGATTACGTTGATCAATCTTTACACCAAACCCAACGCAGGCTATGTTGAGAATAAAAGTCTAGGGTGGGTTGAAGGGGATGACATCACTCATCAATCGACGTCCGCCCCTCCCAGCTAGACTCACCAAGAGAGATCCATCATCTCACCATTACACCTTCCTCACACAGGTATATATATTCAGTCAAGCCTTTACCAGTAGAGGGTGGAAATCCTGGTGACAGCAATGATAAGCTTAGCTGTCTACGACCTCTTGCGACGATTGACGATCTCCAATCACCAGACGGTTGGGCCTGATGATCAGAGCTCGCCGTCGTCTTTGTGTGGGCAGTAGGAAGCAAGTTCCCATCCAGTTGGATATACGAACAATAATAGTCAATCCAATTGATCCAATTGATCCAATCGATTCAATCATTCGATCAGGATCTGAGTTCCAGAAGCGTGGGAAGGCAGCCAGATGGCGCACACCCTCATAAATGTAAATATTGCATAGAAGCATATGATATGCCCCGAGTCTATTATATAACGAATACATCCGCTATGTATCTTTCTTGTAGCGGTTGATCAGGATATTCGGCCATGCCGAGGAGATAGACGCCTAAACGTGAACGGACCGCCTGGTTCTGGAGTCATTGTTTCAACGAGGCGAGGCCGACCCAACACCGAAGACTTGGTCGGGTAATCAGATGGATTTTTTGATGGAGGAATATTTACCGTTGGGAAGGCATAGGCGATGGCGAAATATGGGAAGATAGCCATTTTGACCGCTTGAAAATTTCCCCGATCAGTCACGGCTTTCTCATGCTCTTGGAACATTAGAAATCAAAGCCTCAGCGATAATATCGCATTCCTCTCTCTCTTCCCCAACTACGAAGTATCTGACTACCCGCATCCCGCCCTATCCACATCCCTTTTCAGACAGAACCCCTTCACGACCCTTGTCCTGTTGCCTCGGGCTGAATGCCTCGTCGAGAGGACAATTAAAACCTGCACCAGCCACGCTTGACCAAGAACATTGAAGTGGACAAACACAACGCAGCGGTGCTCTCCTGAAAGTAATTGAGGCGTGTTGTCCCTCTTCCTTCACCCCTGTGAATTTTGACGGTCGACTGGCCTGCAGGGAATCAAACAACTAGCATAGCACTGCACAGCACTGCACAGCCCGCAGCCTCAAGGTCTTCAAAGGTCGTGCACCACATGTACCTGACCTTTGCACCTGACTCGATATCGGCCCCCTTGACCCGCTCACTAGGCACCGAAGCACACCCTGGCTTGGAAAGATCGACTGTCTCTCTGGGCCGTTCCTCCTCTCTCTAGAGTCGGCATCATTTAACGCCAAACCTTGGTGCTTCTTGACCAACCTTTTACATCATCAGCTCTAGGCTCGGAACGTACCTTCCCAAAATTAATCAAGACCCCCAGAGGACCCGCATGCGCATGAGGAGGCCACCCGCGCCGCAGCCCAAGCCCAGTCATCAATTCTTTTGCGCTAGCCTCGCCGTACAGTCATCCAGCTGCGGCTAAGGCAACCTTCCAACCTAACCCGAGCACTCTCGACGCCAATATACCCCACCTACCTTCGCCACCACCCATCCCATCCCTACACCACCACCACCACTACTGCCACTCAACTCTCTCTTAGTTCTCCGGCTCCCTTATAAACTCACCATCCCCCTTCCCGTAAATACCGCCACCATTCCGCCTCTAACACGGAAGAGAAAGGCAGCTGAGGCGTCGACGGTTTCTAATAGCCAACCTGAACCTAAGAAGAAGATCGCCGCCTCGGTTGCCTCGACCAGCCGAAACATCCCCTCTCGACCCGGCCCAACCTCCGTCCCCGACCTAACCACCGCCGCACCCCCGACCCCCAGACCACAGCCAGCACCGCCGGCATGGATACTGATGAGGAATACATGTCGACGATGTCGACCGATGATGAGGTACTCATCGACGATTCCGGCGACGAAGGTATGTCTTCCCCTATTCCCCGATTCCTGCCCAGCCTTATGACTTTACAACCGTCGATGGTCTCTGCCCATCTCTTCAGCTCGTTCCGTTGGATCCGCTGCTCTTCAGCACCTTCAGTAGCTTTCGTGTGATCGTGTAGCGCTAACCTTACCTCCCCTTCTGTTAGATTTCGGCGATGATTTCGATGATGATGCACCAGACCCAGATTTCGGGTTGTCCTCGAAAGATCTAGATAAGAAGAAGAAAGCTTACGAGACAACTCACAAGGTTTTTGAACCATCGGATATTCAGCGCCAGCAGTCGGAGATGATCGATGAAGTCAACATGATTTGCGATATCAGAAAAGAGGATGCCGCCATCCTTCTCAGGCACTTTCGATGGCAGAAAGAGCGGCTGCTCGAAGATTACATGGACAGGCCAAAAAAGGTTCTCGAGGCTGTTGGTCTTGGCAGGTCCTCGTCCAATCTGCCCAAACTAGAGATTGTGCCTGGCTTCATGTGCGACATCTGCTGTGAGGACGGGGACGACTTGCAAACTTTTGCCATGAAGTGTGGTCATCGGTTTTGTGTTGATTGCTATAGGCGATACCTTACCCAGAAGATCAAAGAAGAAGGCGAAGCCGCAAGGATCCAGTGTCCCGCCGATGGGTGCCCCCGTATCCTCGACTCTCGGTCGCTGGACATTCTCGTAATGCCTGACCTTCAGGGCCGGTACAGGGAACTTCTCAACCGTACGTATGTCGAGGACAGCGACGTCCTGAAGTGGTGCCCAGCACCAGACTGCGCGAATGCCATCGAGTGTGCAGTGAAGAAGAAGGATCTCTCTCGCATTGTGCCGACGGTGTCCTGTCGCTGTGGCCACTGCTTCTGTTTCGGTTGCGGCCTCAACGACCACCAGCCTGCCCCTGTGAGCTGGTGAAGAAGTGGTTGAAGAAGTGCGCCGATGATTCCGAAACCGCCAACTGGATCTCGGCAAACACCAAAGAGTGCCCCAGATGCAACTCGACGATAGAAAAGAACGGTGGTTGCAACCACATGACATGCCGCAAGTGCAAATACGAATTTTGCTGGATGTGCATGGGCCTATGGTCAGAGCACGGTACCAGCTGGTACAACTGCAATCGTTTTGAAGAAAAGAGTGGTGCGGAGGCCCGAGACGCGCAGGCGAAAAGCCGTGTGTCTCTTGAGAGGTACTTGCACTACTACAACCGATATGCCAACCACGAGCAGTCGGCCAGGTTGGATAAGGATATCTACCAGAAGACGGAAAAGAAGATGGTCCAGCTCCAGTCTGCCTCGGGAATGTCGTGGATCGAGGTGCAATACCTCAACTCCGCTTCCCAGGCCCTTCAGACGTGCCGCCAGACCCTCAAGTGGACTTATGCTTTTGCCTTTTACCTTCAGCGGAACAACCTCACGGAGATCTTTGAAGATAACCAAAAGGATCTCGAGATGGCCGTCGAGGCTCTCTCGGAGATGTTCGAGAAGCCTACAGCCGAACTTGCCGAGTCCAATCTCAAGGTTGAAATTATGGTATGTCTATAGCCTTCCTGCTACCCTCCCGCCAGACTTTGTCTATCCTTTAGCGATTGCTAACAGCCCCTTAGGATAAAACTGCCTACTGTAACAAGCGGCGATTGGTACTTTTGGAGGACACCGCAGAGAACTTGGCTAAAGGTTCGTGATCTATCTCATGCTAGCCGCAAAGGTCCCCGCGCTGGCTCCCTGCTAACACAAGAAAAAACTAGGACGCTGGCTTTTTAATGTCGATTTCTCCACTCCCCAAGCCTCATCACACCGTGGTTAGGCTATCCGATAAAGATATCGGAATGTTCATAATTCCCAAACCGACATTTTGGATAGCAATCAAGGCACTCTAGCCCCACTGCCCTCCTTTTATCATACCGCGACACAGCGTCAATTCGGCGATAGGGAAGACGTCAGATCCTCCCTCATCACACCACCACTCCCATCCATGATATGATTGGACCTTTTCCGTTTTCATTCTTTCATTTATTCTTCATGAATTACGCCTCATCTCACCGCTAGAGCATAGAGGGATGTGCATCGGCCTAGACTAGGTTTATACGGCCATCCCACCCTCTTGTTCACTTGCGCGGCGATTGTACCAGCAGACAGCAGACTGTGATAGACTTCTTTTTTTTTTTCCTTCGCTTCGCCTTTACGTGTTATTACCTGATGAATTGCCTCTTACCCCATTTTGCTTGGGCTCTTGCGTCTCACCCCTACATGGGAAAGAGCATTTTTCTAAAGACTTACCCGCCACTTCTTTTTTTTCACGCAAAGGCACACACTGGTGGGGCGAGCAGGGGCGGATGGGTTTCCTACGTCCCAGCATCTGAAAGCCTTCGCTTATGGGTCAAGACTTTGACTTCCGGTTCGGTCATCATGTTCATTTGGAAGGGTTGGCGAAACAATGGGGTTGAAGGCCCCTTGGTGGGAGAACGGATCAGGGATGGAGTTTGAGCTTCTTCATTTATATTTTCTCTAGTTTTGTCTCTTTTCCCCTTGCACACTTCTTGCTTGGGGCAGCAGCAGCCTCCTTTCCCAAGTTCACCAGTACCTCTCTCCATCGTTTACTAGAGCTCTTCCTCTGAGCGAGTATCTCTATTCAATATACGAAACTGCATCTAACTATCCGTTCACTCAACTGGGACGAAAATCTTATCAATATCGGGGCCCCAACCGCCGTCAATACCCTCAAAGACGATGGTGTTGCCAGACGTCTCAAGGTCGGCAACCAGCGTGCTGCTACCAACGCCTCCCCTTGAGGGCAAAAAGGCAACCTTGACGGGCGGTTGGTTGTTGACCCTCACATTTGCGAAGCGTGCGGTACTATCTCCATTGGCGAATCGGATACGGACGGTAGTGGTGCCGGCTTTTTCCGTGGTAATGCCTGAGAGTGTCAATGTGCCACCATCGGGACCACCAATGTAGCCCATGGCGTTGCCGCCTGAGCAGTCGGAGCAGGAGACGCTGCGGGCGCCGCCGCCGGCCTGACCAGCCTCGCCCTCATAACCAGTCTCGGCGATGCCCTCCCGCCAAGCGGACGCACCCTCGGCGAGGCCGGGGACCCAGTTGACCTTGTTCTTGAGGGAGACGGAAGTGGGGCCGGCGATGGTAATGGGTAGCCAGATGTAACTGGAAGTGAAGAGGTTGTCGGAGCGCCAGCGGTCGCCGAGGTACATGAAATTGCCGTCACCGAAGGGGAGGATGAAGGTGGTCTGGGAAGCGTAGGTGTTTGCGCCGTCGTCGGCGAATTCGCGCCAGGCTGACCAGCCTGAGGAGAGGGATGTGGAGGTGCTGTAGACCTGTTTTTGGGGTTTTTGAAGAGGTAGTGGCGGGTGGTTAGCGGTTTGGGGGCACTTGCGAGGGCTTGGGCCCATCTTCATGACCAGATGATGGTGGGGGTCATGGGTTGTGAGGGACTCTTACATTGTCGTTGGGATCCCAGCCGGTGAGATGGCTGCCAAACATGTAGTAGCGGCCGTCGACCTTGACCATGGCGGGGACTCGATTTTCTCGCTCCAGGTGTAGACGTTGCTCTCGACCTTGGTGTATGTTGAATCGAGCTTGTCAATGCGGAGACCGTTTTGTCTCTGTGGAAGCATGGGAAAAGACTTAGTGAATACTTTTGCGCGCTGTTGCTAGCTGAAGTAGGAGGGGATGGGTATGGCATGCGAGAGACGGCGTAGATCAACTTACGTCTTCGGTCAAGAGGTAGGCGCTGCCGTCATCGTCTTTGTACAAGCCCATATCTCGGCTCTGAAAACCAAGGGCCGGACGCTGCCAATGTATTCTAGCACAAGGTAGTTAGCAACCTGAAATCTCTAGCCGGTGCTGCTGTATCTGCTCTCGTGGATGGGAATGAATCCTCTCCCTTCCACGTTCGCACTCCTGATATATCCCACAACCCATCTTTCAGTGACTGCATCCTGAGACAGCAGCCGCATCGGGTCGAGGAAACAGCGAAAAGATTTCAAATCAGGCGGGATAAGGAAGCTTGCTCACCATACTTCCCGCACACGCTATCGCCCGTTGCCACGCCGGCCTTGGCGTCTCCGTAGTCGCGGCTGTCGATGTGCATCCATAACACGTACTTGCCCGTGGCGTCGTTGTAGATGACCTTGGGCCGCTCCACGATGCGGTCCGGCCCGAGGTCGCCGCTGGACGTGCGGCTCAACAGCGCGCCGACGTAGTCCCAGCGCACGAGATCGGTGCTCGCGTAGCAGTTGACGTTTTGGAAGGGGGTGCCGTCCGTCTTGTCCTCGCCAATGAGGTAGTATGTCCCGTTCTCGACGATTACACCAGCGCCGTGGGCTTGGATGTGGCGGCCATCGGACTAGATGATATTACACACAAGTTAGGCCGTTTTTGTTTTCCATTCCATTTTTCTTCCCACCACATCTATTTGCTTCTTTCCCCCTCTTCCATATGTTTCCTTGTATCTTCTTCTCTGCACTTTAAGATAGTTTTTCCGTCTTGATATGAAGAGGTATCGTCGTGACCACTAGTTGCTAGCAAGCATGATAGGAAAGAGAACCTGGGTGGTTCCCGTATGTTGTAATTATACGTACAGCAGTCCAAGTACCACCTGGAATAATCTGGAGTGAGGCAAGTACCGGAGCCGAGAAGGCGAGGAGAAGGGAGGAACCTAGACGCATGGTGAGAGAATCTGTCAACCCAGCTTGTCTGTCCAGAGAGACAGAGGTTGAAAAGCGAAAACGGATTGACGAGGTTGCTGGATTTCCACAACGGAGAGAGGGACTGAGGAGAGCTTTGAGGGAATAGGGAATCCTAGAAAACTATGCTGAGGCAAGTCCGCGTCCTGGATATATAAATTAAAATCTCATTTACAAAAAACTTCATCCCAACCGGCTGCGCGGCCCCAAACCGACCTTTTAAACGGCGCGGCAACACTTCATTAATGGCCTTCTGACCTTGACCAGGGTCCCTCCTCCTCCCCGCGCCATTATTTTTTTCTGTTTGTTTAATCGAAATGGAGGGATCGTCTGACTTTCAACCCGTCATTGAATCGGGGAGGATGTGCCTGCCTTCAAGACGTTCCATTGAAAGTTGGAGGTAAACAACGTCACCGCAAAGGTCCCTCCGCTATTAGACGCGCGAACGCCCCGCAACGCCTTTACCGTGCCATTATTGAAGTCTTGCTCCGCCATTAAGGTTTCTCTCGGGAGTGCGATTTAATGCTTGACAGTGGGTGTGAGTGTGGAGGGGAGCGAACGAAATGGAGAGAGCCAGCTCGGGGTGCAGCGTTCACGATGGTTGCTCCGCATCACACGTTGATGGAGGGAGACGGTGGATGCTGCCTCGACATATGCGGGGAAACTGCAGGTCGGGGTGATCGTGGCGATCTGCATACACACGATCTATACTATTTGGAGGAAGCCGGGATTCTGCTGGCGAAATTCTGGAAGCGTGGTTCTCGGATGGAGTCCCGCGTCCAACTTACACCCGCTATCATTCGGCCGGTTAAAGCCATTGGGGTATTACTCTGGACCACGAATACCCCATAAAAAGATCTTGAAAGGGGAAGAGGGAGAAGGGGTTATATTGGAACGGGAAGGATGGAGATATATATTAACCCCTTCTGCTTTGAGAAGGCAAAGGTGGGATTTTGATGCCAACCAAGCGGAGATGCCACGTTCTTCTTGGTGCGCTTCAAACTACTGCGAGGCGCGTGTTCTCCGGTCGCCGTTGGCGTCGCCTTTGGATCAGCAACGTCACGGCGACTTGCCCTTCTGACTTCAGTTCCCGGCTCGAATTGGGTTGGGGATTGGGGCTGCATCTAGCCTGGTTTTTCTTTGTTCTAATGACTCGGCCTTTGGTTGGAATATCGTGAGCGTTCACGGCTCAGGTCGCTCATGATGGCCAATCCTTCCACCTATTGGATGGCAACGTGGTCCAACTATCTTGCGAGAACCTGGTGACGACGGTATCGTATAAGAGAGTCTTTCCCTTGATGAAAAGAGCTAAAGAACCTCCGGGTTAAACCCCGTGTATGCGGCACGCGGTAGACATAGGCGACTTATCAGATCCATCAAGTTCACACCAAGGGCATCAACGCTACTCGCCTTGGCCACTGCCCCAATCATTAAATGCGTGGCTGCCTGAGGGATATCTAATTTCACGAGCAGCATTGAGATGGAAAGAACGTAAAAGATAACTTGGCATCCGCCTACTTAAGCAACTGGCTCAGAGCTCGCCTTGGACTGACGTTCCGGAGGCCGGAATATCTCGGCCGGGGATGCATACTAGCGGGAGAAGCTGTGGTCCAAGGAGACCAGAAGGGGAAAAGAAGAGAAATGAGAAGCCAAGGCGAAATCTCTCCGGAGCCGAGGGCGGGAACCTCAGCCATCCACCTTGGTCTCCTAGAAACCCTTCCCGTCGCCATCGACCGACTTCCGAGCTCGCGATGGGAGACGAGGCCGACTTCATCCGGCATAAACCAGCCACAAAACATTTCCGCTGCCCTTGGTTCGCGCCTCTTCGATCAGAACATGGGACAGCGTTCGATATCTACCTACAAACTTCCCCGCCCGCTTCCCGTTCTTTGCTACATTGAAGGTCAACTGACCCGTCTCAGACAAAATTTCGAGGGGTGGACCTGACGTCTTCCACACCCCACTTGCCATGCTACCCCAAAAGATTTCGGGCTTCGGATTCGCATTGTTTCGTTAAGCCCGGACGCTAGTAAAAACGGGTTTTCTCACATCCCTCGGGGGCCCTTGGAGAGTGGAGGGGCCCGGCAAGAGGAGTGCGGGTCTTGCAACAAAGATAAGGAGGTAAAAGGGAACAAAAAAGAAGACTATTGTATGGATCGATATCCATTTGAGCATAGCGAAACGGCTATGGCCTAGCAAGAGTGGGCCAAGGGGGAGGGAGAGGTGCGGCATCCGTCGAGGGGCATCGATTTATTTTCACGTTGTTCTTCCAAATTTCGACCTTCCTGTTTATGATCTATTCCCGACGCCGGGTGTCTTTTGGCTGGCCCGATGAACGACACTTTGTGTCACTGGTGTAATATCTAAGAACAGAAGGGAATCCAAGACCGTTGGCCTGGTACGTCGCCTCGGCATCACATTTCCGCTATGGTATGAAAACGGGTGGGGAGAAAGAGCCGGAGCACTCTAGCTCTTTGGGGACATTTCCATTTGTCCTTGTTTCCCTTTTCCCCTTTCCATTTTTAAACGCCTCGAATGTCCAGCTTTGGGAAACTAGAAAAATCTTTTCACCGACTCCTAAGCATAATATGGCATGGTTTCGGTTCGTCTCGAGATGAGGCACCGCACAGGGCAGGGATTCCTGGTCCTGAAGAGCCCGCTGTCTCGAAACAGAGAGGGTAGGATGACGCCCCGAATTCTTCGATGCGACTGGTCTGGTCTTCCCGGTCTTGGAGGCCTTGAGATGATCCTCTAGGTGCTGCGACGAAGAAGAGTGCGTCAAGGCACGAGGTCGACAATGCACTTTGTGAAATTGAAGGGCTTGATGATTGCCGTGAAGGTCTTGCCTTGGTCGAGCAATCCAAGGAGGCTGACCGACCTCGTCTAGCGCAAGTTTAGCCTCCAAGCCCCGTCTCTGCTCTCGGCCTCGCCTAGCAGGCGAGCAACTGGCATTTTGATCATTGAAGCTCTCTAGCTGAGTGGTGTGACTTATCATTCCTGGGACCTTGCCAAAAATGGAAGAGTTCATCCCCAATGAGGTTGCATGCTGTGTTGGGCAGGAGACATGAAAGGATGAAGAGGAGGATGAAAAAAGCAATTCTAGTATCCGAGAATCGGACGAGACTAGTCGTCAGCGCAGGGTCGCAACGCAGACCTTCTCTATCCCCTGAGATGGTGAAGTGCCGGCAGGCATTTTGAGGCCACACTCCGGGGTAAACTGCAGGGCACCATGCCCCATCGCCCCATCGCGAGTGATTGTGCAGTGCAGTTTGAGGATCAGGGTCTAGGTTATGGGAGAAAGCTAGCTGAGGGCTTTGGGGAGATCAACACGGACATCGTTCTTCCTGTGCACAGACGAGGCGCGAGAATCATGATTGCCTGCCCCTTTTAGCAAACACTAACAGTGGAAGACATAAGGAAGAAGCTTAGAATAATTGGTGCATGACGTTGAGGGATAACGGCACGGTCAGAGACAAAGTAGAAACAGAGAGAGAACGAAAGAGACTCATACGCTATCTGACTTCTCGGTGATGGCCTTGTCTCTCGGTTCACAGCGTCGCTAGTGGTTCTCAGCTCTTGGTGAGGTGAGGGCCCTTCCGTTTCTTCCTTTGTCTTTTCTCCCTGGGGAGAGGGCTCGCGTGCACTCGGCTAGTCTTCACCGCATTATAGTTCTCAGGCCCAAGAGCTGTCTGCATGGTGGTAAATCCAGCAGGGGACGTGGCCAGCCCTATTCTGCTTGATGCAATGTTTGCGACGGATGATGTGGGAGAACCTCGCTGGCGGGCGACCCTCACACAAGACAACTTCAAGCAAAGGAAGAAGTGTTCATGCAAGATAGAAGAAGTCAGAATCTCTTACCCCAAAAGTTCCGTGTCTGTCGCCGGACAAGGTGTCGGTGCGTGAGGAGAGCGCCTGGGGCTGATGACGACTCGACTCCCTCCCCTTTCCCACCCCCTTATCCTTATCCTGCCCTTAGGATTGAATGATTGAAAGGGACTCGGGCCCACTGGCCTCTTCTTCAGGTACAGGGTGGGGAAGAGACGTCAACTGGTGGTGTGCCAAAGTACTTCGTACCAACGTCGAACCTTTTCTGTCCCATCTTTGTCCAAAAAGCCTTGTTTTCCTTTTTCCCTTTCACGAGGGGGTCTGAGCGGTGGCGCGCTTTGCGATGATGCAGTCCAGCATCGCTCGGACTGAGAACGAAGGCGCGAGATGTGACAAATTATTATTATTACTTGCCTGACTCTTGCCCTGCTCTTTATTGCCATTTTTACCGCCGAGACAAAATTTGGGGGCGGAAGGGGTTGTTCAGGGTGGGCTCGATGGGCCAGGCCCTTGCCATTTTCTCCTTTTGAGCTGGTGGGTTGGCTCGATGCAAGCACTTTAGCAGACGGAGAGGGCCGAAGAAACGCCAAAATGTCGCCCACTTGAAAGCGGCACTGGTAATCCAACATGGCCCCGATGCCCTTGCAAGTGTCCCCCTCAACAAAGTACGAGTATGAAGAATAAACAACCCAAATGAGCTAGTGGCATGGGCAGGATTTCGAATCATACATGGGTGCTGCTCTCGCACGCCTTGTTATACCCCCTTGCCTGCCTGGTACAAGGGGAGATGAGGCGGAATCTGCGGTCAACGGTGTGACCCAAGATCTTGGTCTTGGAATCCAGCCGCCAGCCAATTCGTTTGTGATCAGCGGCACATGTGCATCGGCCAGCGGCTTTACCATCGGCTCCTCACCCCTTGTTGCCTGCCAACTGCACGAGCCTTGGGACGAAGCAGCAGGAGCGGAGACAAGAACCTCCATCTCCACGTAGTCCAACTCTGCTAGCGTCCCAATCTGAACCAGAAGGTTAAGACCTGGCCAGCCGTTTCTTTGGTTGTTCTTTTGGCCGGCCCATGACGGCTCCTTTGAACCCCCAAACCTCAATACTCACACATGCTCTCATATCGTCCTGTCAGAGCCTGGCGGTGTGACATGTGGGTAAAACATACATGAATCCCGTCTTATCTGTTTGGCGGGATACCATCGGGAAAGTCGAGTTTCCTTCCTTTTTCCGAAAACAGCCTCTTCCTTCCCACAAGCTGTTGCCAAGCGTCGTGAGCCATGAGCCATGAGCCATGAGCCATGAGCCATGAGCCATGAGCGGGAAAACGAAGAATTGCCTCCACGTAGGGCACGGGAGCGCTCGAGGGGCCTTCTTTGCCGCATAAACAAACACACTAGGGTTAAATGGGGATTCTCGTTTCCCCATTCCTGAAATGCATCCCCTGCTGTTCATCCTTATCTCAATCAAGCTTCGTTGATTCTCGTACGGGCCGTTTCTCGGGCGCAGGTCTCGGTCAAGCGCCCCCACCGACGCCTCCATAGTTTGAACACGTACTGAAGCGGCTTCTTGATGTTCCGTAGATCCCCGGATTTTCTCACGGAGAAAACGCAGGAAAAACAATGCCGCACGAATATTCCGTTGAAGATCGCGCCCTTCCTCCTATTGTCTGTTTCGTGACGCTGCATCGCTCATCAGCCCTCCAATTGGGATATCTCGAGCAACTTAAACGACTGCGCTGAGCTGCTGGACGGCCGCCGCTCTCTTCCCCTTCCCCTCCCCTCTTCACCTCTTGCTTCCGTGAAGAGTTTGATTGCCTTGCCTTCTTGCTAGGCTTGACGGGACCACATTTGATTCAAGCTGCACTCGATGACAGGGAGGATGCAAGGTCGACAAGGCGTTAGGTGCGGGCCAACTCGCTCCTGCCTTGACTGGGACCAGAGTGTTGATAGTACTGTGTTGCTGTTGTATGAGGCAACCCGCACCCCTCGCTACAGGGGAAGGAGGGTGCGACCACCCGCTGTCAAGAAGAGGAGGAACACTCTTCCTTCCGAGACTAGGCCTACGATGTATCATGGATTCAAGTTGGGATATTAATAGTCGTGACTTTTCCACTGACAGGGAGGGAGGGCGGAACAGGCTAACCAGCCGAAAGGTGCGAGATCCCCACACCTAGGCCACCAAATCCTTCTCTGGACCTTCCCAGCGGCCCGCTTTGTGAGCTGCACCACTATCGATACCATTTACGGCTTGCTGTAACAGGAGTGTGCCGGCGACGTGATGAGGCCCTGGCACGTACCATCGTCTGGCGCAGAGCGAAGCGAAGCGGGTAGATGACGAATCACCAGAACCGCCTGTCCCGAGGGACGGTGATATTGTGCGAGTGAAACCAATCAGGTTCGACTCTTACCATTGTTTACTCGACAACAAACACCCAGGAGCGGCCGAGAATTCCGCGTTTCGAATGCGAGGAGAGAACACCTTGTGTGAATTAGGGATTGGTTTGGAAGAGAAAAGCAAATCATCTATCCTTGCGTCCGTTGGGCATCTAGAAGGTATGAGGAAAAAGGGAGTGGACTTTGGCGGCGTGGCTTCCCGCAATCCTTGTCGTGAGCTATGATGCCGGCCTTGGATGGCACTAATATATGTTTCCCCACGATTGAACTGCCGTCGTTACCGGCAGACATTAGGCATTGTCATCTGTTATTCTGTTACCTGTAGCTCGTCCACGCCCTCCTTTTTTTCTCAATTTTTTTGTCTTTCTCTTCCCCTTCTGTAGTAGTATTTCCTCTCAAGGGCCAAGAGGCTGCCGTGATCAAGGTGTGTCTTGGTGTTTGTGAGAGGGATTGTCTTGAACGTGTGCGTATGCCTCAATGCTCCTCTAGGTTGAAGAGTCCAGACTTTTTCTTGCGAAACCCTGAACTTTTGGTCCCTGAGGAGTGGGGCCCTGGACCGCCTCCGAGCCTGTACCTTAATTTCCCCAGGCACCCAAGCACCCAAGTACCCCACCAGAATCATGGCACTGGGAAACCCAAATTGACGTGGGTTTGCAGAAGTGATGTGCCTAGAACGGAGGAATGCTTGTAGAAGCCTCCACTCCACGATTACAAGTATCCAGTAGCTTGGACTGTTCTCATCTTTGCGACGGGTGTCATACGCGCTCCTTTACTTCCCCTTCGACAAGAATGATTGCTTTCCGGCTGTTTTCTCTCTCTTTCTTCTCTCTCCTTTTTATCTTGGTTTATCTTAATCAACGCCGTGAATAGCCTTGCGGAATCGGTGACGGCGGAACAAGGAGAGGTATTCAAGTGTGCTATGGCCACATGTAGCCTCGTCATACTGACCTCGTTCGATTGGGGTCTTGTCATTTATCTTGTTGCATTCTTGACCGTGTCCTGCAGCCAAGTGGCTCAGGGAAGATCATAATAGAACACGAGAAGTCTGTTGTCCGAGGACAACAGCCACATACTTGTAATAGCTATAGGTGGCGGAGTCATATCATATCTCCAAGCCGGCGAGACAACGAGAGCCGTTGCATTTGACGTTGTCTCAGTGCTGCCAGCAATTTCCCTTCTCAAGCCACTGCTGCACTCTTACTTTAAGGGGTATCTTGCTCTGCAGTCCTCCCGATTCTGACTCCCCACATGCAGTTGGAGTATCGCGGTCGGCGACGCTCGATGGTGACTACTGTCCACTGGCCAGCCCAGTTTCTGTTTGTATTGACGGAAAGTAGGGAGTACACATCCAAGTGGGAGGCGGAAAGTTGAACCTTCCTCGGTGGATGGAGCGGCGCTATTCCTTTGTACTTGTATCTGAAAGTATCCATCACCGTTAATGTGGTTCCTGTCCCCTCACGCACGTCCTCTTGCTGCATTCGACTTGGCATCGATGGATACGTACCCATGTCCTCCAGCCCATGATGCCCATGAATCCCCACCTCCGACACCAACCCCTGCCCCTGACGGGCCCCTTCCTCGTGCTCACTCACAGTTGGCTTACTCGGTAGGCTAACCCTCTTTTGGATGTTGCCTGAGATTTCCCTCCTTTTCCCTCCGCCGACCCGAAAACTCACACACCCCCAACTTTATCCCCTTGATTCGCACCTTCCGATGGATTGATTTCTCTGGCTTCGTTGGATTGCTCCTCCCCCACCGTCGTGTACGTACTTGAACTTGTAATTTTCGTCAAATGTACTCACACACCCTGCAGAGACGAGGGTCTGAATTGTTGTTGATGTTACGAATGCGGAGGAGGCCATTCCTTGATCAATCATTCTCGAATCGTTCTTTGCGAAACCGACTTTTATTACAAGTAGTACACTTGTACTTTGTTTCGTCCTCCCGACAGCCTTTCCATCTCTGAATCGAATGTAATGATCCAGGATGGATTCCTCTCTTCTTGGAGACGCCCCTGGGGAGTGGTTGTTGCTATGGTGCTTTTTCAAATATCAGTGGGGTGTTGCCCGTCGATGTTGCCTTGCGCTCCCAAAACCGTATTAATAAAAGGTGACTTGTGGCGTCCTAAATATTGCGGTTGGACGACTGCTGGCGACCGGGTTGCCCGATCTCATTGACAGTTTGACAGACCGATTGTTTGTGAATTTGGTCAGCCCGATAAGCACCGCGCAGTTATCTCTCTGGGTCTTTTTTTTTTTTTTTTTTTTGGCAGCCCCTTTCACTTCACGTGTAGGAAATCAGTAAATCTAGATCCTTAGGAAGTGGAATTCTAGCCCTGATGTGAGATAAAAGTGAGATAAAAGATTGATTTGAATATGAGCATAAGCAGAAGAGGTCAAGAAAGAAAGGGCTCAAGGCTATTTCATGGCGAGAGGGAGGCAAGAGCATCAGAACTTGTTCCCAGGTCGGCCCGTATTTCCCCCTCCGCGCCTGTTTCAGAAAGAGCACCTGGAAGTGATATGAGCCTGCCTGGAGGGGGTTGCTAGGCCTGTCCGCATTTCGCCCACCAGTCAACCAGTCACCGTGCAGCCAAAACCACCAAAGCGGCCCACCACTCTCATCACTGTCGCTATGTCGCTATTGTATTGCTTGAATTGATGGGTCCCATTTGAATGTTTTGTCTGTCCGTGTCCCCTGGTCCCTGGCTTCTCCGAACCACGACCCTTTGCACCCACTCCCTCTCCCCTTGGAGAAATCCCGACTCTGTCCCTGCTACTTTGATCGTCGCCTCGCCTCTTTTCCCTTAAACACACAACAAAACCCGCTCCGTGGATTTTTCTGGTTGTTGCGAGCCTTCCCTCCCCTCCGCATAACTTTCCTTTCCATCTTTTCGCCTCATTATTGTCGTCCTCTATCCGCAATCGCCGCGACCCAAATTCGCCCTGAGACCCTCCTCGTGCACCAGCGCGCATCGCTCTTGAACCCTTGCTCTCCTTTTCCCCGCAGCTCGTCGACTTGCTCCCCTATCTCGACAACGAACCCCCCACTCGAACGAAAGTCGAAATTGAAGCGTCGCTCCCATTACCGCGCCGCTATTAACCTACGAGTTTTCGCCCGCCGAGCCCAGCACTCCTCTTCCACCGACGGTCCTCAACCCCCTTTTTGGCATCTTCCAAATTGGACCGAGATCGTAATCTTGTCACCTTCTTTCATCCTCCGACTACTTACTACTGGGCGCTCCTCCACGATTATTCGTCCTGCTTGTTGAGTTGACATCCGCAACCATAGCTTTTGGCGCAACTGTTATGTTGAGTCGGCGCGCCGAACCAGACCGCAATTGTTTGTTTGATTCTGTTAGAGAACGTGCCCTGTGGTAGACCTGAGCTCTTCCCCGGTTGGCTCTCAACTCGGAACGTCGCGAGGCTTCAAGTCCTCCCCGAAGCTTGGCCCTCGGTCCACCCCCAAATAACCCGTCCGACCTGCCCTTGGAACCATGTCCGTTATGCTCCAAACACCATCGCGAGCCTCTACTGCCTCCTCTTCTTCCTTTCAGCCCATTTCAAGACAAAACACCATGTCTTCCTACGATGGATCGCGGTCCGCCCGCCAGTCCAAGCGGTACTCCATGTCCGCGCTCTATCTCTCTATCGCTAACGATGGTGACCTCGAGATCGAGGATGACCTTGCGAAAGGTTTGTGCCCCTCTAACCTCGTTCGCGTTGATCCATCCTCGGCGTAATCTTCTTCGTTGCCCTTGGGTGATACCAAGCATCGCCAATGCTAACCTGTCTCATCTCCTTAGCCCAGAAGACGCTTCGTGAGCTGAAGTCCAAGATCTCTTCTCAGTCCAAGAAGAACTTCGTCCTTGAGAAGGACGTACGTTACTTGGACTCGCGTATTGCGCTCCTGATCCAGAATCGCATGGCGCTCGAGGAGGTTTGTACCGATTGCCCAGAGAAATCCTACCATTCTCCCTTAGTGGGGCTGCTCGGCAACAACTCCAAACTAACTCGTGTCTCCGTCTAGCAAAACGAGGTAGCGAGCCACCTCGAAGATGCCACCGATATCCAGGAAGGCGTATTCCCGAACGACGATAAGACCCAAAAGTACGGCAACCTTCTGTTCCTCCTGCAATCGGAACCGAGGCATATTGCGCACCTCTGCAGGCTTGTTACGATGGCCGAAATCGACTCGCTCCTCCAAACCGTCATGTTTACGATTTACGGTAATCAGTACGAGAGTCGCGAAGAGCACCTCCTCTTGACCATGTTTCAGGTATGTGGTGTCAATGTAGCGTAAGCGTAAGCGTAGGCATAGGCTAAGCTAATGTTCGATTGTGCCACAATAGTCCGTCTTGACCTACCAGTTTGACAACACCCCGGAATATTCGTCTTTGTTGCGTGCCAACACGCCGGTCTCTCGCATGATGACGACGTATACGAGGCGTGGTCCTGGTCAGACGTTCCTCAAATCCGTGCTCGCCGATCGCATCAATAGCCTTATCGAGCTCAAGGACCTTGACCTCGAGATTAACCCTCTCAAGGTGTACGAGCGTATGGTTGAACAGATCGAAGAGGATACCGGATCCCTTCCTGCCTCTTTGCCCAAGGGCATTACCGCCGAGCAGGCTGCGGAGAATCCCCAGGTCCAGGCCATCATTGAGCCCAGGCTCACTATGCTTACCGAGATCGCAAATGGCTTTTTGACGACCATTATCGAGGGACTTGAAGAGGCTCCCTATGGTATCCGTTGGATTTGCAAGCAGATTCGTAGCTTGACCAAACGAAAGTACCCCGATGCCAATGATCAAGTCATTTGCACGCTCATCGGAGGTTTCTTCTTCCTGCGATTCATCAACCCTGCCATCGTAACGCCCAAGTCGTACATGTTGATTGACGGCATCCCATCAGACCGTCCCAGGCGCACCCTGACCCTCATCGCCAAGATGCTTCAGAACCTTGCCAACAAGCCATCCTATGCCAAGGAGCCTTACATGGCCAAGCTCCAGCCTTTCGTCCAGCTTAACAAGGAAAGGGTGAACAAGTTCATGCTCGAGCTTTGTGAGGTCCAGGATTTCTACGAGAGCCTGGAAATGGACAACTACGTTGCCCTGTCGAAGAAGGACCTCGAATTGTCCATCACCCTTAACGAGATTTATGCCATGCACACGCTTATTGAAAAGCACCATGGTGAGATATGTCGGGATGAGAACTCGCATCTCAGCATCATCATGTCAGAGCTAGGCGCGGGACCACCCCAGGTTCCCAGAAAGGAGAACAGGGCAATCACCCTTCCTCTTTTCAGCCGATGGGAGACGGCTATTGACGACTTGACTGCCGCTCTCGATATCACGCAAGAAGAGGTCTACTTTATGGAAGCCAAGTCCATCTTCGTCCAGATTATGCGATCCATCCCTCCCAACAGCTCTGTGGCACGGCGACCCCTGAGGCTTGAGAGGATTGCCGATGCAGCTGCCACAAGCCGTAATGACGCTGTGATGGTTCGCAAGGGCATCCGCGCCATGGAACTTCTTTCGCAGCTTCAGGAGTTGAGGGCTATCGACAAGAATGACCAGTTTGCCATGCTTCGCGATGAAGTGGAGCAGGAGCTGCAACATCTCGGCTCTCTCAAGGATGGCGTCATTGTTGAGACCCAAAAACTGGAGGAGGTGTACAAGACCATCCGGGACCATAACACTTATCTCGTCGGCCAGCTAGAAACGTACAAGAGCTATCTTCACAATGTCCGATCCCAAAGCGAAGGCACGAGGAGAAAACAGCAGAAGCACGCGGTGCTTGGGCCCTACAAGTTCACGCACCAGCAGCTGGAGAAGGAAGGTGTAATCCAGCGAAGCAATGTCCCCGACAACAGGAGGGCCAACATTTACTTCAACTTCACGAGTCCACTCCCTGGCACTTTCGTGATCTCGCTACACTACAAAGGTATGTATCTTGCCCGCCCCTTAACCCATTGATTGGCGTTACGAGGGACTATCGTATGACTCTGTGTCTCCCATGCTCACGCCTCTTTTTCTTAGGACGAAACCGTGGTCTTCTTGAGTTGGATCTCAAGCTTGACGACCTGCTTGAGATGCAGAAGGATGGACAAGATGATCTCGACCTTGAATACGTGCAGTTCAACGTACCAAAGGTCCTTGCCCTTCTTAACAAGCGGTTCGCGAGGAAGAAGGGATGGTAAACCCTAGGCAGCAATTTCGGATCAACGACTTATTTATGCTCTTCATGGATACAGCAACGTGGAGTTTGGTGTTCATCTTATGGATCGAAAACAACTCTTGGGCCTACCTCCGGCACAGCGCCTGGCTCTGTTTTCTCCTCGTTTACTTTTCCTCTTTTCTTCCCTCTTCCACCCTTGTCCTACCGCATTGAACTTGATACCACTTCGAACTTGCCTTCGCCTTGGAAGAATTGCCTTGCTGCTGGACTGCTGCACCCGACGATTCCACCCAGCTTGGCAGTGGATTCTTTCCACCCTCTTGTTTCAGAACCTTATGCAGGTGCGCTGCTCTCGCACCAACAACGGACTCTGCACCCGTTTTGCCTTGTACTTGACCTGTCGCCGAGCGTTCGCCTACGTCTACTCTTTGAAGTCGATTCTGGGCTTCTCACTAACTAGTTTGCGATTGCCCGCTCCACCACTATCAAAGAGAGGCGGGCATCTATCTCTCTGGCTGGGAATCCCACAAATTTCGCAAGCTCCTGGAAATCGCACAGAAGCTGCGAATCGCCCGACGGCGAGAATAACACAAAATCTTTGCCTGGATACTTTTTGTTTTTTTTTTTCTTTTTGTCCTCTTTTCTCTTTCAACTTTCAACTTTCTTTTTCCTCTCTTTGGCTGGGCTTTATATATCCATGGTCGTTAATTTTTATCCTCACATCTCCTCTCGACCTAGCCCTGTGGCAATTTTGTTCTGCTTCCGCTTGTTTGGCTTTTTTGTTTTCTGTTATGTAGGCGGTATGTGGTGGGTACAGTTGAGCGCTTTTTTGAGCTTGGTTGATGAGACAGTGAAGGGGCTTTTGCTAGCGTGGTATGCAATGCGACAACATAGTTTATTCCCTTATTTTGTCACTTCCTCTGAGCGGTGCCGTCCTTGGAAACCCTTCTTGGATGTTGGACCGTAGCCTCCTTATTCTCCGCCAGTTACCAGTTTGATGGATTCGTGCAGGAACACGCTGGTTTATATCAGACAGCTCAGAAGGCGAGGGCTTCTGGAGTCGGGAGGGGAAACCCGAACGGGGTCTTGCGTCTCTTCTTGTTTTGGCTAGGATAGCTTCTTACATCGTTGCTTTTGAGCAGAATTGAACAATATTCCCAAGCCAAACTCTGCTCTCTTCCCAAGTTGTGGTGTTGGACTTACAGAGCGGTCACTTCCGACTTGACAAGTGGTACTGAGCACGCAGTCCCTGTAGATGCGACGCTTATTCTTAGTATACATCAATTCCATTGTATATTCTTGATAGTGCCGTTTGCTCATTAATGTTACAGGCATGACTTAAATTCCGTAGTAGAACAGTAAAAGAAAAAAAGAAAACCCCCATCCGAAGGAAACCAAAACTCCACATAAACGCCACCCAAGTGCCATGAGTCCTGCTCCCCAACTACACCCTTTCCGCGTTGTCTCTTCTCCCCTTGACCCCCGGGCCCACTCCCACAGCCTCTTCTTTTCCCCGCGCGACATGGCGCCCCTCGGGAAAGCAGGCAGACCCGGCGCCGAGCCATGCTCGGAACGTCTCCTTGCCGCGCCGGCAGCGGCCGAGAAGGATACGGGCGGCGCCCCTGGGCTTTCGGCCTTATCACCTTCGTTCCCGAGGCGGACGCCGCCGAGGAGCAGAGCCTTCCAGTCCCGAGCTGGGGCCCGGGCGCGGGAGGAGCGATCGGACGGGGCTACGGTGCGGCGTCGTAGCGTGGAGGTTTTCGCGCGCAGACCCTCGAAAAACCCGTGGATGGAGTGGTTCACGGAGCGGCTCTGGAGGAGGATGAGGAGCACGATGAAGGGGACGCAGACGCAGACCATTGTGGTGGGGAAGCGCCAGTCCGTGGCGGGGATTTCGAAGACGGTGATTCCAAAGACGGACTGTTGGGACCCTTTGGTATTAGCTGATGTGCCATTTTTCTTTTTCCTTCTTTCAAGCTTGTTCTAAGGAGAAGGGGGCGGGTGGTGATAGCGGATGGGTGCAACAGGAGGACTTACGGTCACGAATGTAAGGGGTAGGAAGATCATGGAGCTGAGCGTGAGGATGCGGATGTTGTCGCCTTGCTCGATGGCCCGTCGACTCTCCATGATGGAGCTCCCGCTGAAGAGCTGCTCGCGCAAACTCTGGATTTCCCGGCGAGTCTCCTTGTTCTTGAGATAGACTGTCCAGAGGTCCGCGAGGACGCGGTCGAGATCGGCGCGCAAAGAGGCCATGCGCGCCAGGTACTGCTGTCCTGAGGGAGAGTCCGGTTCGGGATGGGGCCACAACGTGGGGTGAGTCCCAGCCCAGAAGTTTGGGGTGAATGTCTCGTCGTAGGCGGCTAGCATCGCCTTGATGCCCGTGTTGATGACGCCAAGCGACATGTAGGCCCAAAAATAGCGACGAATATCTGATATGGGGTGAGCGGAGTGTTGGTATCGAGGAGGGAGGGGAGGGTTGGTCAAATGGGGTTTGTAGCTAGGACACAAAGGAAGAACGACATACATGTAAAGTGTTTGTCTTCAAATAGAAGCTTGTCCCGAATCTTGTTATCAAACATGAAGTTGATCTGGGTGCACGTTAGTTAGATGCCGGTATCTGGGAGCAACTACTACTACTTACATCAGGCGTGATGAGCTTGGTGATCTTGTCGTGCAGAATTCGATTCCTCCTAGTGGCATCTTGATATTCCACTACGAGGGCTTCAAGGAAAGCGTGTGGCCCGTTAAGTAGGACCTTGCCTTCGTCTTCACTTCGGTCTGTGTGCTCGTCATCCGGGAACGACTGGATGTTGAGAAGCTGCCACGGCGCAAATGAGTTGAACACAAATCCTTCCTTTGGCGGCTTTCCTCTACGCCGGCGAACCCGGGTTTGTGTCGGATCTCCAGAGAGGGACAAGGCAAGGACAGAGCTGCACTCGGCAATGTCGATGTGATCTTGGGAGCGCTTATCGGCCGGCCGATTGTCGAAACGCTCCCAGGGGGCCGGCTCATTGCCACTTTGGACAACGGTGTAGTACTTGAACGCGAAGAAGAAACTGCGTTGGCGGATGTAGGGATCTACTGCCACTGTCGTGAATGGCGACGCCTGGAATTGAGGGCGGGCATCAGTTGCTGAGAGAGAGGTGGACCGAGGTGAGGGCTCTGGTGGAAATGCGCGATTCATGTACGCCGTTGTCTTGCCGCTGTTGCCGTCCGAGGTGACGAGATGGGTCAACAACTCGTCCATATCGAAGTACTTGGCCATGGCGAAGTGAAGAGAGCCGAATGCTAGCGCTGTGGGCTCCTGCACGATTCTGGGCTCGGTTAGCCAGCGAAGAGCTTCAGGGGAGATAGCGGAGGGCATGAGGGAGAGGGAGATAGGGGACAAGAGACGTGACTCACGTAATTCTACCAACAGTACCTTGCGCATCGTGATTAACACTCTTGATCTTATCCCAGACCGCCACGGCGTCTGCCTCCTGAGGCGCCGAGCAGGTATTACTATGATCGCTGTCCATATCAGCGTCATCGCACTTGCACTGGGGCTCGTTGCCGTCTTCGACCTGGACTTGGCGAGCCAAGCAATCCGCGCCGATCTTGTAGACCTCGCAAGTAGAGTTACCGTGGCTTTCGTTTTCGTATGCGGCAAAGTGCCGGAGCGACTGCGCCCAGTCAATACTAGTGCCGGCACGCCTCCTAATGAAGTCTTCCATGGCAATGGCAGCTCCGTCAGAAAAGTCGGTATGGAATAGGTAATTCAAGAGGTCCTTGTCTTCAAAGTGCACTATATCCAGGGGTTGGCTGACGCCCCGGTGTTCCATTGCTAGTGGCTGAGGTTGCATGTGCTGCTGCTGCGACACCGATGGTTCGAGCAAGGGCAAGAAGTGGATGTCGTCTTCGTGAACCTCATGGCTTCCAGTAGTGTACGTCGAGTGTAGTGACGCCGGGATGTGCTTCGGCTCTAGGGAGGGCCGGATGTCGCCCGTCTGCTCGAGAGTTTGGCGGCGGGAGTGGCGCAAGGACCCCGGAAACCCGAACTCTGAGTTTGTGAGCGTGGGCGAGCTGATGGGCCGGAGGGGAGGCGTCTTGTGCATCTCATTTGACTGGGAGCTAGCTCGCTCACGGCTGGCGCCGGAAGGCAAAGAGGACCGCGCGGGATTTGCGCCGGTTGCATCGCGCACAAGTTGGAGGAGGAGCTCGTTCTGGCTCTGAAGGGCTTTGAGGACCTCTTCGAGAGGTTGAGACGAAGCCATAAGTGGTTTTTTCACCGGGCAAAGAGGAGACGAGATGGATAATGGTGGGTTCCCAACATCCGTAGAATGTGGTGCTGCATATATCAATTGTAATGACTCTATCACGGTGAGAGAATATGTTCCGGAAGTTAAAGAGGCCTAAGCTAACGATACGGAGGGTTTTTGTGGAGAGGAAAGGATGACCCGGTTTTGTATCCGGAGGAATCCCTGCTCCTTTAGTGTCTTGTCGCTAACTGCCTCCGACGAGGCTACAATCTATAGGACTTGGAAGATGGTGTCATGCCATTATTGCAAGCAAAGGAATGTGTGGCAGGGAGAAGGGAGGGGAACAAAACAGTGAGGCTGGCTTGGCATTATTTGCAAATCGCATTGATAGGCTTCCAATAGGTGCATCATGGAAATAGAGGGTAGGTGTAATATCGGAGCGCCCCGACATTCTGTCTTTGCCGGGCGGAGGCAGGGATGGAGCGATGGAAGTCAAACGGGCGAGTGGGCACCGCTGGGGCTCAGCCTTCAACATGAGCAAACGACGACGTACGTGTGTTCGTCCGTTTAGGGACATCAGGTCTGGATTCGTTGGCGGAGGGAAGTCCGAGGTCCCCGGGGCTGGGGCTAACAACACACGAATGCACAATGCCGATCCAGGAGTGGGAAGATAGTAGGGAGAAGGACAAAGGGGGAAGTGTGCAACCCCAGAGGCCACGAGGAAGTCGCGCAGGTTGTGACTGGATATGCATGAACATAAAGGCTCAAACTCAAATATGGCCATTCACGATAGAGCCGAGGGGGTGATGGTCTCGCCCTTTCTTGATTCTTTATTCCGGTCATCCACTCCTCTCCTCCGCGGGCGGAGTAGAATGCCGAGAGTGTGGTTGGAAAGTCGCTTAAAACCCAAAGAGGAAAGAAAACAAAAAAATAACTTGGTCACGGAGGTAGTTTTACTGGCCAATTCCGGCCACCGAGCCGAGCGAGGCGAGCAGGAAAGAACATACCAAAGCAAGGGTCCACGATCTCCGCATGCATCGAGCACAGCATCGAGGTTGTAGTGTGGGTGGGCTGCTCCTTCTCGAACTTGTCGATCAAGACCCTGCGGTTAGGGAAGGCGGGAACATGAACGAGCCGAATTAGGAAACGGAAGGTCCAGATTCGACTTACAATCATCAATTAGCTCAGAGTTTGGATTCCCAGTTCTCTGCGTCCAGTGGAGGAAGGCGCGACAATCATTTGTGGATGGACCCATCAATGGACGACACAGCTTAGCCTCCAGAGTCCGGCAGGGAGGAGCTTCAAGGGACATCTCCTTCATCGGGGCGGATATCGTCGGCGACGAACGCAATGATCCGCCCTGAATTTGGTCGGCTGAACAACTTTGGGCGGGAGGTGGGGAAAGCTTTACTCACGGAATTTGGTGGTTGGCCGACCCATTGACCTAGCCACACTCCCTTCAAGGCCCCGAGTGTGGGGTGCGATAGCGATCTTTGGGGGTGCTTCCACGTTGTTGCCTACCTACGTCAGGCGCGGGCAAAGTAGGCTGTGCTCTTTAGCTCGCTTTTGCAAAGGGCCAAAACTTGTTTCACTCAATTCGGGCACTAGAAGCCGCCAAGAACGCCTTCCGAAGTCCGGAGGCACATGGCCAGCGTTTGTTCAAGGTCGCTCTCCACAAAACCTTTGCAGGGAAGCGAGCCAAGCGTTTACGGATTTGTGGGAGCTGGGAAGATGACTTCTGTTGGTTGGCTAGCATCCATGTCGGCTGTGAATGTTTTTGAAGAGGTCTTTAAGTCCTGGACCACGACCAGGGCTTCTAGCAGCGTGTCATCATCCCTGTTACCAGAGTATGTGGGGCGAGACGAAGCTGGGGACAATGGATGTATCCTAGGAAACCAGGCAAACCCGTAACCCTCGATTAGCTATTCTCCCCGAATGGAAGAGGGACTATGTCAATAGATATCTAGTAATGCCGACCGAATTTGCTGGCGCGGTGATTAAACGATTGCCGAGGCTGGATACCAGGTTAAACCTACTGATACATTCCTGTTCTATCACTGAATGCTTTTCCCACCCGCCCCCTTAATCCACGTTCCCCTCAACCTTCCCCCTCCCCTCCTCCCCTATCGTCTTCTGCCTTCCAAGCTTTTGATCGCCCTCATCAGCTCCCGCTTTGTAATATCTTGCTTCGTGGCACAAACGCTCCGCCTCCACCTTGCTCCTCGACATCCCTCTCCGATCCTTCTCCGTCCGTCTCCGTCTCCTTTCCCCGTAGGGGTGTGTTTCACCCTGAATATGCCTGTTGCATCGAGTGTAGGGTCTGGCTCTTAGTGCATGGGGTGGGCTTTATGTTGAAGATACGTGTGACCTAGTTAGATCCTGGGGGTTGATGACCACCTAATGAGACATGACGACCTCGGCGGCCTTAGGGCCGCTCGCCTTGGCCCCCTCATCAACCTCCATGGCATCTTCATCCATAGCATCGCCCTCTTCCGCCTCCTCCTCACCCTCTTCCTCATCCTCACTCTCTCCCTCGATATCGACACTGCCGTCGTCCGAAAGCTCGTCCTCTTCCTTGGCGGCGCCTTCCGCGTCAGCGTCGGCCATGTTCGCATCGCCAGCTGCATCCTCGCCATTCACCTCGGCTTCAACCTCGGCTTCCTCTTCTTCAGCCTCCTCGGCACCATATTCATCCTCGTCTGCCACAAGGTCTGCCTCGGGCTGCTCGGGTGGGAATTCGGCGGGTGCAGAGGCCTCGGAATCCCTACACAATGGACGCGATGCAGTTAGCTAGGCCGTTCGAGGTGAGTGGTGGTGGATGTAGCATCCACAGTTAAGCCCTCGTAGGTCAAGTAGACGTAGACCATGGATTACAGGGCAACTTTACAAATCCTAATAACGATTGGGCAAGGATATAAAGGTAGTAGGTGGCCAAGAGGAAGTGCAACATACCATTTGATGGCAAAGCGGGTGACCCTGGGCTTTTCGGCAAGAATGTTGCGCTTGACCCTCTCGATGATGGGCTTAGCGGGGGCTCGGCGCTCAACTCTTCCGAATCGTACTCATTGTTCACGTAGTAGCCAACTCGCACGAATTCGCGTCCGTCGTAGGCACAGGTGAGGAGGATCACGGTGACGCCGAGAATATCGGAGTCGGGAATCCGCTTCGTATCGGGCGCTTCTGCCTCGAAGGGGAACTTGCTCACACCGACGGGGATAGGTCCCACGAGCAGGGAATCGAGTTCTTGATCATATTGATCGCTACCGGTGCGTCAGTAGGAGGCTCTAGTGATTGCTGGACCAAGAGAGAAAGGAGGTGGAGAATTGAAAAAGAAAGATGATTCTTACGAAGTAGCCGACCCGACGTATGTGAGCTTCCATTCCAGGTCTATGGGGAAAGGCGTGAGCGGGCGAAAATATTCCAGATGTCGTAGGATTAGCGGTGTAAATACTTTACGTACCTTTCTCCAAAGGCTCGAGGCACTCGAATGTAATCTCAAACTCGTACTTGTCGGTGAACTTTGCCGGGTTGTTCAACACCTCAACTCCCAAAAGAGAAACGACAGACATGGTGACTCAGAAATTAAAGAATTGTTCCGTCTGGAGGGTAGGTTTCCTTTTGCTGTTTTTGCTTTGTTGTCTTAGTTTATTACAGTGGAAAGTGTGCGTGGTGATGCAGATTTAATGCAGGTCGACAGCGGCGCGGGGTAGGCGTTGGATTGCAGGTGAGGGAGAATCGCAAAGGCCCTGGACTGGGGAGAATCAATGTTTTTGGGTTTGGGCCTTGCGCGACGAAGGTTATTTGACAGATGGCCAGGGGAGGAAAACAACGTGAAGTTATGGTGGGAGCGGACGTGAAGAAGAAGGGAGCTGATTGTCGCAATCGTCGGGGCGGCGAGGAAGGGAAGGGGCCAAGGCGCTGGCTGGCTGAATGATGAAGGCTGGTATTGACGAACAATCAAAAGCACCGACGCGACCTCGTCTGGAAATTCGCGTTTGTGAGGGGATCGATAAGCCCAGAGCGAAGCCCCTTCATGTATGCACTTTAGACGCGTCCGGCGCAAACACTCAGCAACCGCCCGCAGCCACAAATAGCGGGGTTGGGGCGACATTATTGTCGCCCGTGAATCGCTCGACACTGGCTGGTGTGGTAGTTGTGGCTTCTGTCAAAAAGCAGCCAAACCGGCGACAGTTCTGAGGGAGCGACCCCTGGCGCTCATTTCCGCACTGATCAGTTCCGGGCCTTTCCTCCCCTCCCCCACCGTAATTAGCCGAAGATACTCCAGCTCCTCCATTCTTGAAGATTTCACCGCCTTTGGAGCAATTGATTCTGCCGACGTACCAGCCTCGCATTGGATGCATGGCTTTTTCCATCTTGACAGGAAGCTTCACGACACCTTCCTACGACCTCATTCAATCTCCCATCTCGAAACTCCCGGAATCGAACCATTCACCCTTCTACGGCTAATTTACGGCTTTGGATCACGTACGCGATTGTGACGGGGAATTTTTTCATCTCCGCGACGCGATTCGCATTTCACTGGAGCTTCAGCGACGCACACGACACCTGAAGCCAAGCTCACCACTACCGAACGGCACTTGATCTTGGGAATACTCTCCTCTTCAAACATCCCCACATCCTTGTTGGCTTTTATTAAAATTCCGCTTTGGCCATACATTTTGATTTAGACCACTACAGCCCTCAATAAACGGTGTAACGGTTGCGATTCGCAGCATTGCGCGAAACCAAGGGGTTTTCTTCCCATTCACAACGTCTGCCTCATTCCAGTCTATCATCGAGATGTACGTTTGTCTCCAGCCTTAACCACTCGCCTCCTATATGAAATCATTTCCTGGATCGACCGATTTACTAACACTTCCTAGTCATTTAAAGCTCCCTCGATTCGAGATCAGGCACTCGCTGCCCGAGTTCGGACATCGACGCCCGTCCATGCGCCGGATCTGAACCGTTTGTGCAATCGCCACCGAATCGCCGACCCCCTCCGACTGGCGACGATGTCAGCGGACGAATCTAGTGATAAAGCCCCTTACGAGGGAGCGTCTTGGGAAGAAGGTGATCTCGAAGGTGATGGACCTGATGATTATCAACCGGAAATTCAACTTAGCGACGAGCACACTCAAGATCCTAGTTTGACTGGTGACCAAGACTCCGGTGAATATGGTGAAAACGGCGAAGACTTTGGTGATGACGGCGCTGAGTATGATCCGGAAGCTGTCGATGCTCCATCTGAAACGGCAGCCCCAGAGTCCAAGTCTTCCAAACCACAGACTACCGGTGGCTTTATAATTCAGGACGATTCCGATGACGATAATGATGATGATGATGACGAGGGTGATGAGGACGGTGCGGTTCCCGTGGCTGTACAGACTGTTATTGCTGCACGCTCGGCGAGTGCCACTGCAGACACCTCTGCCCATAACCAGCCAGCATCTACCGCCGCCCCTCGTACCCTTGATGCCCAGGTGACCAATGGATCCACTCCTCCTCTCGCTCCAGGAAATGCTGTTACTGCCATCCCAGGCCAGGATACCTTAGATCGTGTTGCGGTACTGGAAGATCGTGTGAAGGCTGATCCTCGTGGAGACATGGATGCGTGGCTTGGTCTGATTGAAGAATACCGGCGCCGTAATTGCCTAGATGAGTTGCGATCTGCCTACAATCGGTTCCTGGAAGTGTTTCCTCAGTCGGTGAGTTTTCTACCCGCAAGCCTTTTCTCGAACCAGAGCAACTGGCGGATCATGGTACTAACGGTGGCATCCGAATTTAGGCGGAGGCTTGGGCCTCTTGGGTCGAACTCGAGCTGGGTCTCAATAACTTCGTTGAGGCGGAACGCCTCTTTGGCCGTTGCCTCATGCTTGCCCCTAATGTCCGACTTTGGACAGTCTATTTGAACTACATCCGGCGGCGCAATGACCTCAACAGTGATGCCGATGGTCGTGCACGAAAAGTTGTGACGCAAGCTTATGAGTTCGTCATTGACACCATTGGCGTTGACAAAGATTCCGCTCAGATTTGGCAAGACTACATTCAATTCATTCGGAGCGCGCCCGGCCAAATCGGCGGTGGCAACTGGCAAGACCAGCAGAAGATGGATCAGCTCCGCAAGGCCTACCAACGCGCCATTTGCGTCCCTACATTGGCGGTGAATAACCTGTGGAAAGAGTATGACCAGTTCGAGATGGGTCTGAATAAGATGACGGTGAGTCGATGAGTTCTCACTCATGGTGTCCATCGTGAACCTTCTCCCCACCGCTGGGAGCTTTGATATACTAATGAGGTGTGTATAACGTTAGGGCCGCAAATTTATTCAGGAACGGTCTCCTTCGTACATGTCGGCAAAGAGCGCCAATATTGCTTTGGAGAACATAACCCGCAACCTGAAGCGCACCACATACCCGAGGCTTCCTCCTGCGCCTGGCTTCGAAGGCGATGTCGAGTTTTCAGAGCAAATCGAGATCTGGAAGAAGTGGATTGCGTGGGAGAAGGAAGATCCCCTTGCCCTAGAACCTGAGGAGCCCGCTGTGTTCAAACAGCGAATTCTCCATTGTTACCGGCAAGCTCTCATGGCACTGCGCTTCGTGCCTGAGCTATGGGTTGACGCAGCTGAGTGGTGCTTCAGGAACCAAATCACGCAAAACAACCAGGACACTGGGCTAGAGCTTTTGACTCAGGGCGTCGAAGCCAACCCTGAGAGCGTGCTTCTCGCCCTAAAGCATGCCGATCGGATTGAACTCACTCACGTTGGAGGAGAAAGCGATGATGCCAAGCGCGAATTCGCGGCCGCGGTTCGGGCTCCCTACAATAAAGTTCTCGAAACTCTTTATGACATGTGCAAGGACCTCAAGGAAAAGGAACAGACAGACGTGGCCCAAGTGGAGCGCATTTTTGCTCAGAACACGGCCACAGCGGGTGGTTACGACGACGACGACGACGACGATGGCGCCGGGGCCTTCAGTGCTGTGGAGAAAGAGAACCGGCTGAAGGCTGTCAGGCAAGGTTATGCGGCACGAACCGAACTTCTTTCAAAGACCATTTCGCATGTCTGGATCGCCCTTGCCCGGGCGATGCGCAGGATCAAGGCAAGGGTGGCGTTGGCCAAGGAGGACTACGCCAAGTCTTTGTGGAAGCTCGCAAGCGTGGAAGGCTGACCAGCGACGTTTACGTTGCAGTTGCACTTATGGAGTCCGTGGTGTACCGTGATCCCGTTGGAGCCAAAATCTTTGAGCGCGGCATGACACTCTTCCCAGAGGACGAAAACTACCTCTTGGAGTATCTCAGGTACCTGCACTCAAAGGATGATACCACAAGTACGTAATTCCCTAGTCCCCTCTCACCGCCCCCTTCTTTTGAATCGACCTTCTAACAGTTTCGCCCCAGATGCGCGTGTCGTCTTCGAAACGTGCGTCAACCGCTTGACGCAGAAGCCAGAGACCGTGATCAAGGCGAAGCCGCTTTACGCATACTTCCATAAATACGAGTCGCAGTTCGGCGAGTTAGCGCAGATATCCAAGCTGGAGTCACGAATGGCGGAGCTGTTCCCCGACGACCCCAAGCTCGCAACGTTCTCCCAACGGTACACGTCAACCAAGTTCAACCCCATAAAGGCCCCCATCATCGTCTCCCCGGCGGCCCAGCTACGGCCCAAGGTAGTCATGCCATCCATTGAACACCCGCTGCCTGTGCGCAGGACCCAAAGTCCCGGGGCGCCGACGCACGGATCACCGCGTCCCCATTATCTGAGGGCTACAGCGTCGCCCAAAGGCCCTTCGCAGGTGACGATTACGAAGAGCTCAACCGGCCCCGAAAACTTGCGCGAGGCGAGTCCCCGCTCAAGGGCGCAGCCGGTCGACGGCTCGACCAGCAGCGGCGAAACCAGAGCTCGGCACTACATCGAGAGCTTACCTTTTTCCTCAACATCCTTCCGTCGGCGTCCACCTATGATTCGGCAAGATTCAACCCGGTATCGATGACGAAATTGCTGCAATCTACAGTCGTACCGGATTTCGCCTCTTGGAAGACCACTCAAGACCGTGGTGGCGGCGCCCCAAGGCACGCGTCTGGGACATTCCCTGCCTTCCAACGGGCCCAGAGCCCATATACGGGAGGCGCCGGCACAGGGCGGCCAGGGCACATAGCTGCGGCATTCCCGCCTCAGAGGCCCAGCTCCCGAGGGTATGAGCAATATGGAGCACCTGCTGCCAGCTACGGTCAGCCTCAACAACAGTATGGCGGCTACCGGTACTAAATGCCTGCCACCCCTGCGGTGTTGTCCCAGGCCTTTGAGGGGCGATTGCAAATGATCGCATTCCAACATCAATTCAACCCAGAAAAATGTATCCGTACTCCTTCTTTTCTTTCTTGGCTGTTTTGGGCTTTTCTTTTTCCCCTTCTTCCGTCTGCGTTTTGGTTCTGAGAGAGAGGTTGGCGTTTGTTAAAAGACTCATCATCATCATACTTGCTACCCCATGATAGACTTAGAGTTGTTGAACTCTTGACTCTGGTTGGTTCTGGTTTTCTTTTTTCTTTTTCCCTTTCATTTCAATTCTTTTTTCCCTTCGTCCTCAGAACAGCCTAGTCCTTGTCTGTTCTGTAGTTTTCTTTTCTTCCCCAAAATGATGAGGAGCATGGCCGGAAGAAGGAAATGGAGGACAAAATATGGACTCCGAAGAGGCTGGTTGCTTTGTACAAAGAGGTTACTTTTAGGTAGGCATTTTGTCATATCAAATGCTCTCGGAACAGGTAAAATGACAATAAATCATTCCACCCTCTCCTGGTTTATCCCCCTCGCGACCTATCTTCCCCTCGAGCGTGTCTCTTGTTTTTTGTCAAGCTACATGTAGACTTTGCTAGCATTTAGTGCGAGATATGATTGTGAGCGGAGGATCGACACCATCGACGGCCCTCCACGCGATACGAGCAATCCAGCAATCCAACCTGAAGCCCAGCTAGCTAGACCCCGGCTAAGATTTCATCTGGTATCTTTACTTTAGTTTGAGCTGTTCAGATAGCCACACGCCTAAACACGGAAACCAAGGAGAAATCATAAATGTAAATCAATGATCATAAGTGATTTTCCTAAGCTTCTACCCTCTTCTACTGGCGCTGTATCATTCTAACTGCGCCTGTAGGGGACACAATGCCTTTTCCTTTCTCTCCGAACGTCTCTTTTCGTTTTGATCGTGGTTTTACTTGATGATTTGAAGTGATCTCTGAGGATGATAGCTCGAGTCGTGATACTTTTAGAGGACGATAACTACACCCTTTTTTGTGTTTCGGCCTCTATCCAAATTTGCAGAGAAAGGCCGGCCAGCCAAGTCACTTACTTGGCCTACTCATTCGGCGCCTGTACATGCTACGTTTTCATGAGGATATAAATCGCCAACATCACCGTGCCCATTCATCGAGCAAACCCCAGTTCTATGTTTGGTGGTTGCACAGATTTCCGTCTATAAAAGGGAGTCATCGTCTAACCTTTGCCAGGCTTGTTTTCTTGACCTCCTTCCAACCCCAAACTCTTCATTTTACACAAGCTCTACAACAATCTAAAGAAAATTGCCTCGCTGAGTCCAACAACAACAGGCCCGCTTATTTGGACCTCTCTAGTCACCGTTTCTCCCCTTTCACTGCCACGAGATCGTGCGCCAAGATCGTCGACGCGGTTGACAGTCTTCCACCTTTGCGGTACAGCAAGGAAACGATTCTTTGCATGAACGATAGTATTGCGGGTAAGCTCATTAAGAATTGGATCAGTTTCCCTGACGACTTCTACCAATCTCCTTAACTCTATACCCTTGTGATGTCTCTTTGTGGTTTGATCTCTCATCGCCTCGTCAGCGGTTCCCGAGACCCCATCCCCTTTCCATATCTAGTGCTAGCATAGATCTGTATGCTTGATGGTGTATCTTGCGCCGGAAACCCCGAGACTACCGCACAGATCGGCAGCAATCTTGTTAGTCGTAGCTTCCGCTTGCTCTTGATACCGGTTGTAGACCAAGCAGCTGATATCAAAGTTGACTACACGTTTGTCCACCGCTCTTGCTTGATTCATATTGTGTGGAACCAAACCGGTGGCCGTATTCGGCTTCTTCCTTCTTCCCTCCTTCTCTCCTTCTCTCCTTCTTCTCTTCCTTCCTCTTTTCACGTCTCCTTCTTCACCTACATCTTCTCTCGTTCCCCATCCACATTAACCTAACTCTTCACTTCTCATCGACACCTTTCCGTGGCTTGACTCCAATGCTGAATTTGAGGCACTAGAACGTGATATCTACACTACTAGCTGGCACTTTACCCACGCTTTCTTCTTCTTCTTCTTTTGCTAGCACTCACCTTGGTATCTCTCTGCCCCTTGTATATTTACGCTTCCAATCACCTAGCTCTCGCTTTTGTGTGATACCCGGACTAACTTTCGCGACTAGCAGGTTTTGCTCCTTGAGCCCGTTGATGGTCAAGAAAGATTCTGATCACTCCTCATACATTTGACGATGGGGAGCCCTCCTATTGGTCGGGGAGGCTCGCACCACGAAGGTTCTCCTTCCGCAAGACGCCCATCCCGCGAGCCTTCGCCTTCTCGCCGCACATCACCTTCTCGTGATACCTCACCTTCTCGTAGTACTTCACCCTCTCGTTCGCGGGCTGGGTCAAATGCGGAAAATAATCCCTTTAGCCCCGGTATGGGTTACGACCCAGCCAAGCCTGAGCCTACTAGCAAGGAGAAGGTTAACGTCCGCGTTGACCTACCTCCTGAGGCATATCTAAAGGTACGCGGCGCTGAACGCCACATTGTTAAAACTCAACTAACTCAAGCACTAGACGCCTATCGATAGCCGATTTACCAAGCGTCCTGGCTTTAATACAAACAGCCGGCCCATATCTGTCCATGTTAACCAGTTTTCAGTGAAATCCATCGATCCGGACCAGAAGATTTATCAGTATGATGTAAGTGTTGATAAAGAGATTGGCCTTGAGGGTAGGATAAGCAACGCGGCGAAGCCTTTCTAAAGCGGAAATAGATCGCAATCTCACCGATCCCAAGGATAGAGAAGGCACTTCTTAAGAAGTGCTGGAATCACGCCTCCGTCAGGGATGCCTTGCGCGAGTCTCAGGCACACTGGCTTTATGATGGGAATAAACTTGCTTGGTATGTTATCCTCCGAGCTGAAAGCCCATGCCTAACCCGTGGAGTTTTATTTCAGGTCCACGGCTTTAATAGGGAACGGCGAGCTTCGCCTTTCAATTGACCTTGACGCGGACAGAGATGTAAACCGGGAAGTAACATTGTCTATTTCATGATGAAAAAGACGACTCAAATTGATATGCGGGCTCTCAAGTCCTACCTATCCGGAACCTCGGCCTGGGATAACACAGTCCTAGAGTGTATGAGTAAGTATAGCGATCCTCCTACCTTCTTGGTCATTGTGGCCCAGAGAAAAGAATGCAAAAGCGCTCGTTTCTTTATCAGAGAAAGCTATGATATCGCTACATAGTTGTGCCTAGCAAAAAGAAGCTGACAAGGGGATTCAGACTTCTTGGACCATCTTATCCGCCAAAGGCCTTCCGAAAACCTCCTTGCTATTAAGCGCAACTTTTATAACTTGAATGAGCCCCGCAGGCCTCTCACAAATGGGACTTTTAATGAGGTTGCTACAGGCGCGTATGCCTCAATCAGGCTTTGCCAGGTAAGATTTGGGTCGTACGGAGTGGCACACAATGCTCCCCTGCAGATCTCCACGCCTCTAATCACTGTTCTCTCGGTAGATCAAGCCTGGAGGTACCGGCCTAGGAATTAACGTAGATGTCGCCAACACGGCCATGTGGACGGGCGGCCAGAGTTTGCTGGCCCTCGTACAAGCTTACCTGCCCTCCATTGACCGTCGCTTCTCAAACTGTGAGTATTTGGCCCACCGCATCACTAGGCGGCATTAAGATTGTTTGCTAAAAGAAGGACATCCTATTCCATCTATAGTAAGCAAACCTGAACAAGCCAGGGCACTAAGTCCTGTTGCCGACTCAAACGGCGTTTATCGTCCCTCACAGATGTTCCAATATCTCAGGCGTTTTCACAAGTTGAAGTTCACCATGATGCATCGAGAACGTGGTGTGCAGCCAGGATCAACGAGAGAGCATACCGTCTTTCGTGTCGTTTTTGATCCTGCATATGGAAGCGAGGGTGCCACCGCTCGAAATGTCACATTTGAAATAGATGGACGCAGGATCAGCGTTCAGGATTACTTCTACCAACGCTATAACACTACCCTCCATTGGCCCGATCTTCCCGTCATCGAGACTACTAAGAAGGGCTGCTACATGCCAATGGAACTCTGCTGGATCAAGCCCATGCAGCGTTTCCCATTTAAGCTGAGCGGTGCACAGGTAAGCGGATGCTTTTCCCATCCTATGCCTACTTGAGGCCGGCCTAATGGGAAGTAGAGAGGAGCTTACTGACGCGGTAAATCTAGACGTCGGATATGATCAGAATCGCGGTCACCCGGCCTCCTGTTCGGCGAACTAATATTATGCAGAAGTTTGCTTCCCTCGACTATCAGAACGACCATTACCTACACCAATATGGCGTTCGGATCGATAACCACTTCACGGCCACGGACGCGAGGCTTTTGAAGCCGCCTGTTCTCCAATTCAACAGATCTAAAATAGAACCTGGTACAAGTGGACGCTGGGATCTCAAAGGCAAGAAGCTTTTCGTGTCCAACACCCGACCTCTTAAAACATGGGGTTTTGTCCGCTTCACCAACGTCGTTGACTTTCCCCTCATGGCCGCATTTGCACGCCAGTTCAAGCAATTCTTCATTCAACATGGTGGTGTAGTCTCGGACGATCCTTTATACTTCGACGCTACACGGGGTGGCAGTCTCGCTGCTGCCCTCAAATCGGCACACGATCAATGGCAGCAGAAGAAGGGCAGCAAGGTAGACCTCATGTTTTGCATCATAAGCAAGGGCAAGGAAGACATCTACACTCGCCTAAAGAAGTCGGCTGACTGCCGGCTTGCTGTCCTCACCCAAATGCTGCTGGACGAGAATGTAGTGAAGTCTACCCTCAATATTGCAGCAACGTTTGCCTCAAGGTGAACGCCAAGCTGGGAGGAGCCACAAGCCGAATTCTTGGCCCACGTCCGCACTCTCCTTTCTACAACATCCCGACCATGGTGCTAGGCGTCGACGTGTCTCACGCTTCCCCTGGCGTCGAATCCCCATCTATGGCTTCCATGGTTATGTCGATTGATCAAAATGCGTGTCGTTACGCTGCTGCGGTTGAGACCAATGGATACAAGGTGGAGATGTTGACCCGCGCGAATATCAACAAGTTTTTGGATCGCCTCCTGCCGGCATTTCGAAAGGGCACGACAATTCATCAGCCTCAGCACGTGTATTACTTCCGAGATGGCGTATCGGAAGGCCAGTTTGCCCAGGTGATCGAATATGAAGTAAATGAAATGAAGGAGCGCCTCCGCGTTGACGGGGTGGTGCCCAAATTCACCGTTATCGTCGCTACTAAACGCCATCACATTCGGTTTTTCCCCGACAGGTCTTGTGCGGATAAGAATGGCAACCCGCTCCCTGGAACCCTGGTGGAACGCGACGTTACTCACCCTTTCCATTGGGACTTTTACCTTTGTTCGCACCTCGCCATCCAGGGTACCGCTCGCCCGGTTCATTACCATGTCATCCTCGATGAGGCCAACTGTCAGCCCAACGAGCTGCAACGAATGATCTATGAACAGTGCTATATGTATGCACGGTCCACTACAGCTGTTTCCCTGCACCCTGCCGTGTATTACGCTCACTTGGCTAGTAGCCGAGCGCGTGCCCATGACTCAGTCCCGCAGGGCGGCTCGGATGACGCTGGCTATGGGTCGAGAGCACTTGCGGGTAGTGGCGATGTGCGAGACTCGGCGCCTCTCCGCCCGATGGGTGCCGAAGAAGATGCTCACAGAGACAATATCGTATTCTTCCCAGGTACCATGTGGTACATTTGATTCTACATGTAGCCTTTAGGCGCCTCTGTCTTTATCTTTGATTTTTATGGCGGAAGAAAAAGAAAAGGAAAAGCTCAACCTTCAGGCATGGATGGGCCTAAGGTGTGCAAACAAGCGTAGTCGTGAGCTCACAAGTACCAACCCTGTACTCACGGCTACAAGACTGGGCTACACGAAATTATGGAATGATGCTGAGGAGGCCCCTTGTCCTAAGCATTGCGATTTGGCCCAGACAGCGGTAGAGACGACATCACAAGCTAGGCAGACCAACCGTGAAGGTTTGATTCGTGAATAAACTCGATTCTTATCCCAGACTACTCTGAATGTGATTGTTTTCTTGGCTGAAGATGTGAAGGTATGGCAGGTTACCACGCGCTGAGAGCAATTGGCCTACATCGTTCAGCTCCTGTATCGAGTAAGTACAATGTGCGAAGACTAATGCCTGCCATTGGGGAGCCGCGGTGAGCCGCGGTGATGAGAGCGGGCTGTCACAATCGCTTTCTACAGTGTTGGTGGTGTCTTCCTAGCTCGCCTGCGTCTAGCCGTGGACAGGGGAATTGTGTATCAGCACGGTAAGCTAAGAGTACGGATTCTCTGCTCCCACACATACCCGCATACGTTATTTTTTATTTGGAGAAAGGGTTAAGCAGATGGGCATGTCGGATCGCGTGTGGGAAAAAAAAAAGCCGGCATAGATAGATCTTAGACTATTACGATCGGCATCGATGGGGATACCTAGCAGGACACACGATAGGGAGTTGGTATCAAACATCAAGGGCGTACATGGGAGATGGTTTATTGATCTCTTGTCCTTTTTAGCGATGTGAAAACCGGGTTTTCTAAGCCCAGTCTAAGCTTAGGATTGGGTGCTCGGCCCGGACTAGGCCAATCCTCAATGAACCGTCCTCATTTCCAATATTGGAAGGGATCCTGGAACCAGCCCTTTGCAGCTTGATCTTAGGCAGATCGGCTGCCGCGTGAGGGAGCTTGTAGAACTTTCGGCCAGATAGGCTGAGGAACTGTTCGAGACGATCTTGGGTGACGTCGTCGGGGTTGAGGACTCCGCGCTCAGTAGCCTCCTCCAGCGCGAGAAGGACATATTGGGTAGCAAGAAGTTGGGTGAAGACACCGGCGGGGGCTTGGGAATTCGTCTTGTTGATAAGGGGGTGGGGGCGCTATCGGAGCCACTGGAAGAGAACAATCGCATCGTTAGTGGTGGGGAACCCTAGGAGAGATGACAATAAATAAACCAGACGGACTTACAAAAAGAACTTGGTATCGCCGCTTACGACGGCCTGGAGGAGGGCGTCACGGTCCTCGGGAGTTTTGGGGATAGGTTTGCAGAATGCATGGGGGTTAATGCGGCTGATGTCGCCGGTGAGGAAGAGATGATGGGCGGTAATGGTCGCTGTTGGCACTCCATGTTAGTCGGGGATGTCAAGAAGCGAGTCTTCCCGGATGCGCCTACCGCTGACGGTGGGGCCGCAAGCGCGCACGGCGGCGACGGCGGCCTTGGTTGAGCAGTGCTCCAACACGACGCGAAGCTTCGGGTGCGCCTCGTGGATCTTCTTGAGCATGGGGAGGAAGGCCTCCTCGAGGCTGAGGCCGGGCTCCGGGCTCTTGACGGCCTCACCGTGGAGATTGAGGACAATATCGTGGGTCTCCATGGCGGCGAAGACGGGGAAGTAGTCCTCGATGGCGCTCACGCCATTCTCGGAGTTGGTGGTGACGCCTATTATCTCGTGTCAGAAGGATCTTGGCTTGGTCCCACGTGCAGCCTTTCGAGAGGTGTGGGATTAGGGCCCACGCAGTCGGGACGGGACCAGAGGCGCGGTCGACGGTACCTTGAGGGTAGAGCTTGACACCAGCAATGCCGGCCTTTGCGGCCTCGGCGATTACTTCGGGGGTGACATCGGGATGAAGCTGCCTCGGTCGGGAGGAGTTAGATTCGGTGACGCGTGCCCTCGTGGGCAAATGAATGGCGGAGAACGTACGAAGAGGGACATGAGATAGTTGACAGTGGGATCAATGGCCTCGAGCTCAGCCTTGTACTCCAAGGCCCTAGCTACACTCGTGACTGGTGGGGTCAGGTTAGGCTAGAACTCCCCCGTTCCCCGGGCCCCCAAGTTAGTGCGCGAACATACGTGACGACATCAAAAGGGAAGAAAAAGATAAGGGTTATGCACCGGGCACCGGGGCAGGGCAGATTTCGTCTACTACGGGAGAGATGTGCTGTCATTCATACATACCATCACGAAAACCGTATCCACCCCCTTTGCGGATGGTGGGCACGACGAGCTTCATCATGTCACCCTGCCTCAGGTGAACATGCATGTCCGCGGTAGCGGGAGCTCAAGGGAATTAACTTCGCTCAGCCTCATTGCTTCAAAGTTAGGGGTGTGCTGGTTTGAGACTCTTGTTTATTTGTGTGAATTCCGGTTGAGGCAAACGATAGATTGGGAGCACAGGAAAGACGGTTTGGGCAAATGGAAGCGAAGGGATCAGTAACGCGGAAACCTTTATTTCTTCCTTCTATTTTTTCACCTTAGAATCTCACATCTTAAGATTTTTTTCTTCTTCTTCGATTTGCTCTCCTTCGTCATCAGCCGAGGGGTAGCTTCACGCTTGCACTTTCCCGAGTTAGGTGGGGTTGGAGGGGTAAAGTTCTTACATAACCTCTCCGCCTTTGGGATGGGGTCATTGGCTTTGGGGCTTGGGCGTTATCAGTAATTCGAGAAGCAAAGAGGCGAAGGTCCGATTTAAGCTCGGCTTTAATCGCGGAAGGGGAATTCGCGAGCTGTTCTCCACCTTGTCCCCATTGCTGTCACTCTCCTGATCCCAGGGCACTCTCGGCCGACATCGAGGAACTTCATTCTAGAAAACGGGCTTTTTTTCTTGGTCCTTTGGTGGATGAACTCCTGAAGGGGTTTTTTGTTCATCTTCGCTAGAAATGTTCTCGAAGGATCCCAAACGCCCCTCTCCCCCGGTCATTCGGAAAGGGGAAGAGACATCGCGCTGGATTCAATTATGCAGGCGCATATTGTGAGGGAACCACATGAGCATGCTTATCTCGTAGAAAGCGTGTCATCAGGGAGAGAGAGAAGCCAAACATTAGGTAACTGGAATCGCATCATCTTGGACTGGTTGGGCAGATTTCCACCCGCGGAGAAGAAGCATTGTGTCTGGAGGTGAAGGAATCAACCCGGCGGCGCCAAGAAAGACTAGCGGCCTTCTAGAACAAGTCAGATGACCAGAATTGGTACGACCTACGCATCGATTGCTCAATCCCGACAGTGAATTGGTGGGTCTCGGCGAGCTTCCCTTCTGTCGTGACCGAGATCGAGCATCTTAGCACCACTGGCGGGCAGGGCTGTGCTGCCAACCTGCGAATGCGAAATGCGGCCTGCGGGACCTTTTAACTACGCTCGCATTGGCCAATTGCTGATCTTATCTTTCAACTGTCACTAGTGGGCTCCGGAAAACAACGATTCCCTCCCCAGCTTTCGAAGGACGCCCCATCCCGTTGGAACGTGTTGGACCGGGGCAGGGATGGTATCGCCAGCATCACGGCTGTCTCGGCGGCGGAGAGTTGCAAAGATTGAAGCCACCCCACCCCCACCAACCTCCCCTCGAAGATGGAACTTCGATGATACTTCTCGAACATTTCGAGGCGACCCCGGACACGGGCTTCACCTTGTGCCACGCACTTCTTCTATGCCGTTTGAATGACCGGGATGCTTTTGGCTTTTGACGAAGAATTCGTTGTTGCGCGGTCTCACCAGCCAGAGACAGGGCAGATTCCTTGCTTACTACAAATGTGAGGCGCGTGAGCGCAGCATCTGTTTCCAGAGGAACAGGGCTGATTTGCGCCATGCAAAGCTAAGGAGGCGGTTCCCTCAGCTCAAGATCATGTTTGGCGTTTTGATCGATAGACTCTCCTGCCGTTCTATCGTGATTGGAATGGATTGAGCACTATGAAATGTGGCGCTCGCTTTGCTAGAGAAGGACCCTGAATGAAGAATACATGCTTGCTATTTCACCCCGGTGCCTTAGTTAAACCAATACCACAGAGCACAGTCGTTTCCCGCCCTGTTTCCCTTGCAGCCACCAACTTGATTATTGTAGACGAACTGGTCGGCTCAATCGTCTCAATCGTCTCTGTTAGCTTGCTAGAAACAAGATGCTCGGAATTGCATGTAGCCTCCATGCGCCGCCATTGATCACCAGGTGCTTCCCTCCCCTCGTGTTTAGGTTTCACCCCCATTTGTCTCCTTTAGGAATGGAAATAATACTATTGATGACCCAACCACAAAGACTCGCTCGTCTGGCTGCGCCCTGGCCGCATGATGACCGTTTGAAGAATTCAGCATTATTATTCTTACGTTGCAAAGGGTGGAAAACTGCCTTGAAAAAGGGGCGTGCGTGCGGACCTAGTCAGGACGGGACGGGGAAGGGAGGAGAAAAGCGCGAAGGCCGAAGGAGAGGGGGCAAGCAGCCCCGGGTGAGGCGCAATGCATCTAGAAGCTTTCCTGATTTGGCTTGGAGTGAGGCAGGGCATCCCGCCTCTTGGCTTTCCAGACAAGCATCACAATTCTGGAGGTGGAGCATCAGCTGAACTGATTACGACATTTCGCGTCTGCCACATACTAAGCCCAGGATTGACCAGTTGACAGGGCGGCACGGACGGGGCAAGGACGGGGCGAAGACTGGTGCGACTCGGCCCTCACCGGACCACACCGTGGACAGAGCTAGCCAATCTTTGAATTGGGAGAAACACTTGGTAGTCAAAGAGAAGCAATGGCGCGAATAACTCTCTCATCGATCCTGGCCCCACGATCGGTCTCTCTACCGGGCTTTCTTTGAAGTTCGCCTTGCTTTGTTGGGGCTCACTCAATGATCAAGGTAATCTTTGGGAAGAGGGCAGTTTATTTTTCGGCCGCGAGCAATTGAGGCGATCACCGCCTTCCCAACGAAAATAAAGTCTGAGAGACCGTCAAGATGGCCTTAACTTCGGCTAGGTATAGTTCATCACTGTTTTCCCATGAGCTAAGTTGCAGGAAAGAAAATGATAGAAACGGAAGGCAAGTACCTCGAAAAGATGGCGGAATCGAACACGATTAGATTTTGAGAGAACAGGTTGGCGCATGGGGCCAGGATGGGTGACCGCCACAAAGATCGGCCGCGCCTTGTGTGTGGCCGGGGAATTCCGGGTGTTCATCACGGCCGTCTATTTGTCCCCTTGATGCTGTGCACAATGCAAAGACGAGCAACCATGTGCTAAGGTAAGACGAGTGTTCTCAACTGCATCGTTGTTGCCGCTGCCGGTTTTGCTCTTGTTGTCATTTTGAGGCCCTCTTGGCGGCCGTTTTGATTCGACTGCAGTGGAATGTGAAGGAAGGAGGAGGGTCCTGCCGGACAAATAAGGTCGGAGGTGGGCAGGAAACCCCTGGCTGATGCTGGCTGGAACCCCAAGGTTCGCGCCGATGTTCATCTTGTGACACCCGGATTCCGCCCTTATTCGACTCTCTTCCCCCGTAATCATGGATTCCTTCTCCTTCCGGTCCTCGCTACGAGCAAGATAATGCACTCGAAGGAGGAAAGGCCAAGCAGGGAACGTAGGAAGAAACCGTCTTTAATTACCCAGCCACAGGGAACCGTAGAGTGCTACACACAGAGGAGCGCGGAGGACGGTTCCGCTCTCAAGAGAGGTGACACAAGAAACTACCTGAACGGTACATCTTAGCGTTCATCAGACTGTGCAATCCTAATGTATCCACGATGTCACTCTTGGTCATTCCTAGCTGACATGGATCGCTGGTTGCTTTATTGACTTCAATGCTCTCTTTACCTTTACCCAGCCTTTCATACGAATTGACCGCTGAGGGAGGGCCTTTTTGAGACTAGGAGCTCCTCTGGCGTTGTCACCAACGCCACACTTTAATTCAGGCAATTCCCACGAAACGTTGCAAGCCAGAGAGAGCGGGCCAGCCCGGAAAGAGGAATGGCAAGCTCGGGGATTTTTGAAGTAATGGGCCTCAGGAGCCAAAGACGAAGCACAGAGCAATTGATGGTATAACGGTGAGGGAGAAATCGGAACTACGAAATGCCTCGCAATATAGGGACCGTGGGTGGATCCGAGATCGTGAAGGGTGGGGGAGGAAAAAGGAAGTTTAAGATACGAAGCTGAGCCAAACTAAAACCCTTATACCTTGGGGCGCAAGGAACATGAAAGGTATTGATTGCTCTCAAGGACCCCCAAAGGTTGGAATTGGCTTGTCCGTGACCGGGGCTGGTCGTGTGCTGCTCCCGCCCAGGGCCAAAGGCGGTGCGTCGACGGGGATTGGTTCGTTGGGCTCGATGTTAGGCTGCAACGGCTCGTTTCCTCATGGTCGTCATTTCTTCCCTCAGACGGCACAGGACAGGTAATCCTGGAGAGGGAAGCAGCAATTTCACTGAGAGAAAGTTTGAGGCCCGTTGGCTCTCGAGAAGTTCCGCTCTTGCCAGACTGGGCCCCCGGCATCCTTCCCTGCAAGGGAAGCGACTTGGGTGTCCTTTTTTTTTCTCCCTTTGTCCCTGCCCACTGCAGTAGGAAACGGCCTCGCAGAACGAGGGTTTTCACGAAACATTTCCAGGCCCAAGCAAGCGCCTGCAGTAGGATGAGCTAATTCTGAACCCAAGTGCAACAAGGGACGTACCTTCTTGGCACCATGGAGATGTCAAGAAAGTGTCGGCTCGAACCTGACCAAAAGTTTAGTTGGGGCATGGAGAATGGAGGGTAAAAGTATCCACGAAGTATCTCCGATCCGCAGCACATCCGTGTCCCTCCGCCCCTCTCCCTTCCCCCTTCGGACCCATCCCCGCCAAAAGGAAAACAAAGAAGGACCCTTTCCCCAGACCAAATGGACCCCGGGGGTGGATTTGTGACGTGCTTGGCGACTGTTCCCACGTAGAGGAGAGGGGGGTTTAATTTTCACTCCTTGTCCACCTTGATCCCATTCGAAAGAGACTCCGCCATCAATTCAGATCACAGGTACAGCCTTCCACAGATCTGGTGCTTGATTATATAGGAGCTGTACTCCCCCACCTTTTCACCTGTCAAATTCCCAGGCTCGGCCTTTAAGTTTCCTTATCCCTCGCGCTTACCGCCAAACTCTTCACGCTACTTACAAGTTTTGAGGATTTATTTTGTATTCTGTTGAATTGCGCTTTCCACCCGGGACTTTTCTACGAGCTTCAACTTTGGAAGTCGCGCCTGACCAGCTCCGTCTTGTCCTCAAATTTCACACTCACCTCATCCGTGGTTCCGCCGCCATTGCAGTGGGAGCGATCTATCTTGTTGAGCCTTGACTGGGTGAGAAAGTGACGTCTTCTCTTCCCAACTTGAACTCCAGGCGCGTCACTTGACGTCTCCACCCTTGAGGGACGTACCTGCCCTGAGTTTGGCCGGCCGAGTCTCCGGGTACACGATCCCGCACGCCGCACGGCAGTTTAAACCGTCACAAGACTCGGCGTTGATCTTGGACTCAGTCTTGATCCGGGCGTTACTTTGATTCTCGCCTTCTTTTTACTTTTCACGAGGAACTCGGCCGCTCTTGGAAAGTCAAACACACGTCGCCCGCCCACTTAGACACACTACCTGACCTAGCTTTCGCCTGTTGTTACTGCCATGGACGTTCCATAGCACAACCGCCGATCCAAGTACGCAAGTCAACTCTTTCCACAAGGCTTACTTCGGTGTCCATTCCCAGATATCGTCGACCGCATGAGGGGTCATCCCCACAATATCACATCTCGGTCTTTCACTCCCAAACTATAATCATCCATAGGAGTTTCTGGCCGTTCAACATACCCACACTCTCCATCCCGTGTAAATTCTTACACTAGTCCTCAACTCAACACAAAAATCTTTACCCTTTCTCTGGACTTGAATAACACTACCTGGTGTTTCCTCTTTTATACTTTCCCTACCCATCATTTAAAAACATCTACCACTCCAATTGCAATCCCAAGTCTGACCTGAAATCACTCTTACTCTTACTCCAAAACCACCGGTTTCACCAAGCCCTCGCTCGCAAATTCTCCATATACTATTCTATCTGGAATTACACACTACAGAACCACAATCTTTACCTTCTTGCCCATAAACACACTCTCTCAAGCATATCCTTACCAACCGTCCCTGCCACCGGCATCCCTTGAGTTTATCCTTTGAGACTATTCATTCACCTTCACTCACGATCCAAACTGCTACCACTATTCTACCACCGACAGCGTCTATCCTTGGGCCTACAATCATTCGCAGCATCCCAAGTTCCCTCGCGCCGCTAGCTTAAGAGCTTTTAGCGGTCCCTTCCCCTTCCTTACAATTAGCAACTTGGGCTTTTGAAACAAAGCCCTCTTCCTAAGTAACCGTGGCGGTGCCAAAGAGCAACGAGATACTCCAATTCCGATTCCCACCCGACGGGAATTGTTCCTGCTTCCTTTCTGGAGCAGCTGATTGCTATTGTAATTACTGGACAAACGAGTTCATTTACTCACTCGAAAACACCGACAACACCGACAACACCGGCACCATTCCGCTGTCGGACTTTTACCTGGCACCAGATCCGGAGCCTGACCCGCCCCCCGCCCCAACTTTCCCTCGAAGCTCAGATCCAAGCCCACAACAGTGAGCAACTACATCGCCAGCTGCAAGCGATCCAAGCAGCGCAAACTCAACGACTTCAGCGACCCTCGGCACTCTATTTCGCCCCTTCCCCCTTCTCAATACACCAATCCTTGATTTTGAACACTCACACTCATCGACGCCGATCGTATCCTCGGCAACATCGCCATGGATTCCAATCTCGGCCACGGGGTCACCACACGTCAACGACGTGTCCTTTTCTTCGTTCGACTCGCCAGTGCCCGATCTAAACATCGCGGAAAGCCCAGGGAATTTTGCAGTCTCGCCACCGGCTAATGCGGTGGTGGCATGGCCTAACGCTGGTTACGGCCTAGGATTTGATTCAACTACCCATCCGACGAACCAAACGTATGTCCTCGTCCCAAGTCCCCCTTTTGTCGTTGACAGCCCTCATTTTGGCTGCCGTCCATGTTTTTCTTCCTTACTTTACTCTTTATGATCGACGAGTTGAGGAACAGCTCACTAACTTGCCTATGTGATAGTGCGTCGACATCGCTCCCCGCTAGCCAAGAAGGCAGCCACAGCTCGCGATGCGATGTCTGCTCGCTCTCATTCCCCACGAGGAAGGAGCTGAAGCGGCACCAGAGCGTAGCGCATGAAAAGGGCCTGGCTTTCAGGTGTCGTATTGACGGGTGCATCAAGGCACGAAGCGGCCACATCTATAACAGGCGTGACAACTTTGTACGGCACCTCAAGACGGCTCACACCGACACAGGCAACTTTGACATGGAAGACATGGTGAAGACTTGTGGTTTCACAAGAGGCAGCGAGGCAGACAAGCACGCTCGACGCAGGAAGTGAATAGGCCATGCGACGGGGAATTCCCCGAGTCTGGCCTCATCACTGGAGACTGAAAACTACAACATGACATGGCGGATCAATGGACAAATCGGCGGGTGATGTGTGCGAATGAGGACGAGGACAGAAATTGTCTCTTTTCCTTGGGCGTCTCACCACATCCTTCGACTCTCCAAACTCACTGATCTAGCCTTTCTTTGTCCTCTTTCCTATTTACTTTCCTCCTTTGCTATTTTCTTCCCCTTGATTTTGTTTTTTCTGAGGCTTTGGTCACCTTTTCTAGGTTGCTAATGTGTTCTCTTTCGTTTGGTTGGTTTGGATTACTACGAAAATTCGGTGTGTCCCGATCTCCCTGCACTTTTCTCTCTTCATCTCGAGCTCGCGGAAGTCAGGGGGTCGGGGCAGGTGTTGCCTTGGAAAGGTGTTTCTGCCTCGTCGGGGAGTTTTGATTCTTGGGAGGGGGTTCTCTTTTTGTTGTTTTTTGTTTTTTCCCTTTTCTTTTCCTCTTTGATACCTTTTATATTTATCAATATTGGGTCTGCAACTGCGTTTTAAGCGCTTATTCTCCTTTACCCTTGCCCTGTGTTGGTGCCGAACAAGTCGTCTGGAAATCTGTGCGGTGGACCAGAGCGGACCGAACTAGGTCTGGCTGTGGCTCCGGGCGCCGGGCGCCGGTGCGGCACGGAGCGGGAAGTCGCTGCATGACATCTTTTTCTTTTGTTCTTGCCCGTTATCTAGCGAATGCCCGGCTGGTGAGCGTAGAATTCCGAATCAAGCCTAGGTATCTCTTTAAATATGCTATTTCAATGAAGAAGGTCGTGCCGGAGCCCCGTGCCTTTTCATGCCTAACGTGAATAATGAAAGGCCTTTACCTTTGCCTTTACCATACCATACCTTGCTTGCGGGACAGTATCCATTGGGTTGATGTGCTAAGCTCCGACGCTAATGACGTGTGTAAAGCAAGCCAAACCAAGCCAAACCCCGCCCAAAAGAAAAAAAGAAAAAAGGGCAAGGGAACTTGGCCGCTACTTCAAGCAAGCCAAGGTGGCTTGGAAGCGGCTTGGAAGCACGTGGATTGTTTCGACATTGCCGCCTCGCAAACAAGCCATTCTTACTCGTCGAAGTTCGAACGGGTGTTAGCATCCAAGTACAATGAGATCAAAAGTGGCAACGTTCTTCTGTCTGCAGCGGGATTTTGCAATCGTATTCACAACGCCGTTGGGTAGAAGCTGTTTACAAGCCAAACATGCACATCAATAAGGTGCACGGTGTAGAAAATAGAAATGCGGGACCCCTTCTTTGACGGACCTGGCAAGCCCGATACCAACAAGCCTGATACCAAACTATAGATTAAAATTTCCCTGGGTCGAATTTTGACCTAAAGCCCCATCCGGAGGGTGTGAGTTCCTCGAAGAAAACCCTAACCTTGTCCAGCTCGTCCCCACCCCGCTGTTGCTGCTGCTGTCGAATGCTGCCGGAAGCTGGTGGGGATGTTTTGAGGAAATTTCCGCGACTCCCTGAGTCGCTGGCGCTGCGGGCGGCGCCGATATGGAAGAAGGGGTTGGGCGAGGAGCCGTTTGGGTGGTCGAGCTTGGTGGAGATGGCTTTCTTGGGGGTGGGGCTCGGACATGGGGATGCGTCGTCGACGGCCTTTTGCCGGACACTTTTTAACAAGGGGGAGACGGTGTAAGCCTTCACGATAGAGGGTGACCCGCCATGGGACAATTGTTGGACGACTATTATTCCTTCTCTGCTTTATGTGGGAAATCGCGTACGTCGAAATGGGATAGTTTCTCCTCGTTTCCTGGTATCGACATGGTCTGCATATGTAGGGTAAGAAAACGATCCTGTCATTTTTGGCGAGGGCGGCTTCGATGGCATTACCTGGCCAAAAGTGAGCCAGCATCTTCTCCTCAAGAGGACCTAGCGATGGCATATCAAGAAGCGGATGATTCGAGACTCGAAGACAGGCATAACTCAAGCTACATACTCTGCGTCAATGTTGACCTTATTTTCCCATTATCGTACGTTTTGAACTTTGACCTAGGGCCAACGGGCAGGGCCATGCTGACCATGGCGGTGCCGTGGTCGTTGGAGGGCGGATTTATCCTCGCAATATCGCGGAAATAGAAACTCTTGCTATCAAGAACTCTGTGGGCTAGACTCGCGTCAAAAAGGACGACTTCATTGTCAGTCAAGGCCACCACGACTTCGTCCTTGATCCCTTCTGGGGTGTCCTTGTTCTGCCCCGACGGTAGGAAATCACGGACCGTCCCCTCCCGACATGGTACCATCTCGCGGGCGAACTCTCTTGTAGACTCTAGCTAGCAGTGGGAATTGATGCTCTTCGCGGTGGTGTTGCCAGCGGTGAAATCTGGCAAGTTGCTAGACGCAGATCAGGTTCCTCGTCCGACGCCAGCAACACTTGGACAAGCTTAAGCAAAGAACGAAAACCAGAGGCCCCTTTTTCTCCTTCGGTACTAGTTATTTAGATTTGGGTCAATCTCCTTGGGGTTCTCATTAACCGTGTTCTGAAGCAGCTTATCCTCTCATTCATCGAGGCGGGATGCCGGACATGTTTCGAAGCTCGCAGGTCGTCGGTGCGAGGCGGCAACCCAAACCGCCATAAAGTAATTCTCCGAAACCCTAAGTTCAATGTGAAGGAACATCTCTAGGTCCAGAGAGATCTTTCCCTAGCCCCAACGCTCAATTGCGAACCGATTCGGGGCATCCCAGATGGCTTGATCCCCGTGCGCTTCTCGCTGCCGTACTAAACCTCCTGGACGGAGAGTGTGATGGTGCGGAGCATGCCTTTGGCGTACTACCAGTCTAGAAATACTTCATGCCTTTGTGACTACGAATTATCAGGGCTGGCTGGTCCTACAAATTGGGTGCTTGCGGCTCGATTTTGTATGCGTAGAGTTTCCTTCCTCTAAAGGCAGGTGCGAATACACGACTGAGGGCTAGCGACGACTAAAGTAGACTTGGCTTGACGGTCAAACCCATCAACGATGGTAAGACCTATGGAAAGGGAAGGAATAACCAAACTTCTCCTTTCTAGCCCATGATATGTCTCACTGGTCGAGGTTAGCAAGACAGTGGCAATACAGGAGAGTGGACGTGACGGACTTGGGGTAAAAAGTGGATATGAGAGTATCGCGCGATGAGCGATGGCGAGCACAAGACGAGGGTGGCAGAAGATCTTGGTTTGGAAGGCTTGACCGGATTATAGAAAGTAGTTCGCAGTCGCCGTCCAGAATCAGTTCACGGTCCAATCTATTGGTCTTGATTTTTGTTGAAAAGTCAAGGCTAGATCGAGACGCTGCCGCCGCATCTCGGCCTCTTCTGTTGCTTTGTCCAAATATCTCAGCCGGCATCAATTGCCTGCCACCGCCAGCTCTACTGGGTTTGCACAAGATGGCATCGAGAAGATGAGCCAAGATCGGAATCTAGTGAGTACACGTTTGTCCTCATCATCTGTTTCCGGTGCATTTATTTCTCGGTTTGCAGAGCCAGGTTTGTGTGCAAGAGAGTTATGCCTGGTATGGATAGAGTATACGGGCTGACTGAAGCTCGCAGTTTCTAGAAATTCACTCTAGCAGCAGAGAAATTACATTTTATATTCCGTTAAGTCAAATATTGGTAACTACAGTGAGAGACTAAATCTCCGTCGCCAAACCGGCTCGTCAGCCATCGGATGCAAGTTGCGCAGAGGGGAAAGTCGTTGACGCGCGTCCTGGGGAGATGATAGAGGGGGCATAGCACAGCGCCACTCTTACGATCCTTTTTCGCTGTGCTCCAATGCAAGCCAAGAGGTGAAAGGCAGCGTCAAGTTGAAGACAAGTGGGTTGTGTCGGGATCAGCGGCTTTCACACACAAGCTAGACTCTTGGCGAATTTTTTTCCTCTGGAAGAATCCTCCCAGCTTTGCCAAAAAGACCAAGTGACCTGCTGTTTGCCCTCAGTTGACCTTTCTCTTGATCGTCATGGAGCGAATCAGCACCTTCAAACAACCGGCCTGGGCATTCTAGATCGGTGTCAGACGAGGACTGGAGGGCAAGTCCACTAGACTCATTGCTGGCCATCAATGTAGTGTAGATGTTTCACATGCAATATTGAAATAATGCTGGGGCGGCTCTTGTCCCACTGTTTTTTGTTCAGTTTTCAACGTTCAATGCGTTGGAGGCTAGGCATGGCGTGAGCTGTAGAAATAGCTTCTCAACCGATGATCAATTCCTCTCTTTGCCCACTTCATCTTGACTTTTTATTGAATCCATCCAACACTCCTTCAGGCGATCGCATCTTCTTCCAAGGCGCAATTGAGCCCTTACCCCACCCCAAACGCAGGGAAAGCGCTGCTTCGTCTCAGTCAATAACTTACCCCCACTTCCTTCCCATCTTGCTCTCCCCCAAAGTTGGACCTTGAACCTCAACTTCACGAGAACATCATCTTGCGACGCCGGCGTTAACCTCAACGAAATAATCGACATCGCAAGTTACAATGGCTGGCTTCCTCCGTAGCAAGCAGACAGGCATGCAGAAAGACCTGTCTGCCAGCATCGCTTCCACAGATTTCAACCCAGACGACCTAGCTCGATATGGAATTAATTCTCAGATCAGGTAAGGCTGGCGAAGCTACCCTCTATCATCCCTCCCTTCCCTGCGTGCCGTCGCGCGCACGCTGCACCACCCCGCTCGCAGGGCAAAAATTATCGTGACGTCAACGAGGCTGACCACGTTGGCCGGTGTCGCGAACTCGCGTCCGTCGCCCCTCGGAAAACAATTACAGCTGCCTTGCCTATGACCCTGTACAATCGCTTTTAGCGGTCGGAACAAACGAGAGTAAATTCGGCGACGGAAAGATTTACATTTTTGGCCAGCGCCGCGTGCAAAGACCCTCGAACCCGCCAAACCCACGTCCTTTCGGTCGCTACATTTTACCGGCAACAAACTGGTGAGCCTCGACAGCCGAAACGATCTCACGATATGGGACCTGGATTCGGCGAAGCGGACCGGCGGCGGAATGGTGCCCGGTGGCGCGGTGTGCATCACCACGGACCCCATGCTCGACTGGGCCATGCTGGCCCTGACTAGCGGCGAGATACTAGCATTCGACCTAGACAGGGAGAGAGTTGCTAAGGGATTCCGGCTGCCAAATTTTTGGAAGGAAAAGGACCCCCATGCGAGGCAGGTCCAGATCGTCGACGTTTCCTTCCACCCCAAGGATATTGGCAAGCTTTTGATCTCGTACACCCACGGTGCCGTCATTTACTCGATCAAGCAAGCGCAGGCGCAGCACTTTTTCGAGTATAAGCTACCCCCGGCGCTCCCGGCGGAAAGGCGTTCGCGGTTGATACTACGAGAACACCCCGGTTGACACACGCCCAGTGGCATCCGTCGGGCACTTTTGTCCTTACCGCGCATGAGGACGGAAGCCTGGTCTTCTGGGACACCAAAGAGGGCAAGCTACTGATGGCGAGGACGTTGATGGATATGAGGGTCGATCAACCGTCGAGGCACCAAGTAGCGCCTAGAATGGTTACCCCTTTTACTAAAATTTCGTGGTGCTGCAAAGAGAACGCCGACGATACCGGCCTCTTGATTGCGGGCGGACAGGCTCCCGAGGATCCTTCTCAAGGCCTAACATTTATCGAGCTGGGCCCTACTCCCATATATGCGACTTCGTCGTGGCAGATCCTTTCCGAACACTTTGCCGGGAAGAGGCAGATTTGCCTGCCGCTGCCGCCTGGTGTACAGGTCGACGACTACCAGCTCATCCCCGCTCCTCGCCCCATCTTGGTGGAGCACATGATCCTATCGCCGTCATCTCGCTCCTGACTTCGGGCGAGCTCATCACGTTGAGCTTCCCCTCGGGTCACCAGATCTCACCCACGAACCAGCTTCACCCTTCGCTGTCGTTTGTGCATCCGTTTGCCACCAAGGTAGAAGCCACTACACTCGAACGAACGCGATGGCTGGGGATGGTGGAAACGAGGAACCAGGGCGAGCTGATCCTAACAGGAGGTGCCGAGGCCCAGAAGCCCAAGAGAAAGTATGAGAACAGGACAATTTTGCAAGTCGCGCATGCCGACGGCACAATTCGCATCTGGGATTCTGGTCATGGAGATGATATCGAGAACGACGCACAATTACAGGTCGACGTTGCTCGGGCAGTTTCGCGGTATGATAGCGTGGAAATTAGCGCCATGAGCATGGCCCCAAGTACTGGAGAATTTGCTGCCGGTACCTCGGCCGGTGAGGTTGTCGTCTACCGTTGGGGCCCTAACCAGGCGTACGGTCGCGATCATGCCCAGCCTCATGATCCGAACCCTGGCGGCCTTACAGATATTACCTCTCGCGCTGAGCCTCCGTTGAAGACCGGTCTCCAGCCCTACACACTATACGAGATGGCCAAGGGTCCCATTACGGCGCTTAACGTGTCCGACATTGGCTTCGTTGCTGTTGGATCCCAAGGCGGCTTCTTCAGCATCCTTGACCTCCGCGGCCCTGTCATAATTTTCCAGGCCTCGCTCTCTGAATTTGCGCGGACTGAAAAGCGCTCATCCTTCCTCAAAGGCCTCCGCGAAACGTCTGGACAGCAGGAGTGGCCGGTTCAGATCAAGTTTGGTGTCATGACGCTGGAAGGCGATAACTACTCGAGCATTGCGTGCTTTGTGGGCACGAACACTGGCAAAGTCATCACATTCAAACTCCTGCCCGCAGGGGAGGGCTACACGGTCAAAGTTGCGGGCGTGGTGGATCTAGGGTCACCCATCGTCGCCATCTGCCCCATCGTTGCTGATACGGGGAAGCCGGCTGTCGCCACCGGTCCGATTGTTGCCGGACTTAGGGGTGGTCAGCAAGTTAACGGAATTTTGGTCGTTGGTAAGTAGTGCACTGATTTTTCTCACGGGCGAACTGGAATGCATAGATGGACTGTGGTTTCTAACTTCTTTTTTTCTCTAGTCACGCAAACCGAGATTCGCGTCTTCAAACCGGCAACTGCAAAGGGTGCTTCTAAGTCGTTTGACGACATTCTTTGCGATGCCGCGGCGGTGACGGAGCTGGATTATCGTGGTACGGTGGTAGTGGGCGTATTCGGGGATGGCTCCACACGCGCCTTCAGCATCCCGGCCCTCAAGGAACTCGCGAGCGCCCCCTACCCATCATCGACTCGACTCGCAGGTCAGATACCATTGTAACCGAAAATGGCTACGTCTTTGGCTGGCACGGACCAAGCGAACTCGCCCTGTTCCATGTCTGGGGCCTAGGTGACGCCCTCGCGAATTCGGCCGACATCATCATCAACCCCGAGCTGATGGTGCCCCCTCGCCCCACTATCTCCAATCTGCAGTGGATCTCGGGTACCCAATACGTCTCGCCAACCGATCTCGATCTCTTGATCGGAGGTCCCGATAGGCCGCCAAGCAAACGCATGCTGGAGGCGGCGGCGGCGGAGCAGAGGGCCATGAGGTTAGCGAATGTCTCGGGGAACGCTGGGCAAGGAAGTGCCGCAGGCGGTAGCCAAGAAGGTTGGGGCGAGTACCTGACGCGGCAGCTCAACGAGCGGACCGAGAAGCTGAACATCATGGGAGATAACATGGATAAGCTACAGGACGCGAGTCAGGGCTGGGCCGACGATGTGAGCAAGGTGGTTAAGAAGCAACAGAGAAATATGCTGCTTGGTGGGCTCAAGGGCAAATTTTTGTGAACAAGTTTCTGTTTTGGAAATATTCCTTCATTCTTTCCCGTTGGGGGTTTGATTAGTTAGACCTAGTGAATCTTCTTTCATCATGGATTACATCAATGTAACGCCTGTATATGTATGTAACGCCGTTTCCACTCTCCATAGTAACTTGGGAGACCTGCAAAAAAGGACAAGAAAAGAAAATACAAAAATAAGTGGGAATAGCAACCCCTTCGGGACCTTTTGCCTTTGTTTTACACATGTACCACCCTCTCGCTCAAGAGGGTACGTATCGACATATAACTCATAAATCATACGAAAGCCGTGACAAAAGGGCTGCCTTAGAATGGGTGGTCGCCGAGATTTGCAAGCACGACGTTGTCGAACCACGCATCGTCGAAACCCTCGGGCGTCGGGCGCGCGGGGGCCCCCACCGCTTGCCGAGCCACGAGGCCTGCCTATCGAGGGCGTCGAAGAAGACGTCGGCGACGGCGGAGTCCCTAAAGTCGAGGCGGTGGCCGCAGCGGCGCCAGAGGACGTCGCGGGCGGAGGGGTGCTCGGCGCAGCAGGAACCCCAGCAGTCGGCGAGGCGGTCGAGGACGGGGACGTGAGGGTTGGCGCGGCGGGAGCGGTCGATGATGGTGGCGATGGTGGGGAGGGCGACTTCGTGGAAGACGCCAAAGGAGGCGAAGATGCGGGCGAGGAGGATGAAGTCGGGGAAGAAGCGGCGGGGGATGTAGTAGATGTCGCTCCAGCCGACGCACCACTCGCCGGGGATGACGGAGTAGGTGGGGCGGGCGTCGTTGTCGCCCTTGTCATCGTGGGAAGAAGGGAGGTTGGCGACGACGTCGGCGGCGACGAGGGCGGCCTTGTGGATGTCCGAGGACCAGCCCCACCAGTTGTAGTCGGCGGTGTCGTTCATGCACATGAAGTTGGGTCCGCCGCCGTCGGGCGGGGCGACATCGAGGGTGTCGGGGAACCAGATGTGGGACGGGTCGAGGCCGGAGGAGGAGGAGGAGAAGGCGAGGGGGTGGATCCAGGCGTCGAAGTGGTAGTAGAGGAGGCCGGAGACGTCGTCGGGGTGGTGGTCGAGGAGGAGTTTCATGGTGCGGGCGACTTGGGCGTAGGCGGTGTAGGCGTCGTCGTGCTGGTCGTGGGTGAGGTTGTGGAAGGACGGGTCGTCGGCGTGGGCGGGGAGGGAGCCGGGCATGGAGAGGTGTAGGGTGTGGAAGAAGGGGCGGTATTTTTGGACGAGGGGGATGCGTTCGGGGAGGGGGTGTTCCAGCGGACGAGGGCGAGGGTGTTTTGGAAGGGGGATTGTATGAGGGCGGAGGGGTCTTGGTCGGTGGGAGCGGCGGCGGCGGCGGCGGCGGCGGCGGCGGGGAGCGCGGGTGCGGGTGGAAGATGGGTGTTGGGGAGCTTGGCGTCGAGCATGGTGACGAAGGCGACGACGGTGATGGTGACAAAGGTTGCGGATGCGAGGACGGTCTTGTTGTGGAGCTGAGGATGGAAGAATTGTTTAGCCTGCGTCGTCAAGGAGAGAAAGAGAGAAGGGAGAGGGGCTAACTTACTCGGAGGACGGCGGCAAACTTTTGAAGGAGGGTCCTTGGTTTCGCCGGGGAGGTCTGATCGGGTTGGGGGCTCTTGGGCGGTGGGTTGTCCATGTAGAGCCAGGATGCGACAAAGACGATGAGGGTTCCGGGGATGAGGAGACCGCCCATGGGGGCGTCGAAGAGGAGGGGAGAGACGTAGAGCAGGATGGCGGTAGCAATGGCCGAGGCGAAGCACTTGATGATGGCGTCCGCGTCTGAGGAAGGGACAAGTCATGCGTTAGTTAGGCGGGAGAGGAGCTTTGGGATCTGAAGAGAGAAAAGTAGGAGAAGGAGAAGCGTGAGGATGAAGGGCTTACACTTGTAGACGGCAGTGATGGCTAGGCCGATCAAGACATTATTGACAATGACCATGACGGCGCCAAAGGAGTTGTAGCCGTCAAGGAAGCCGGGCTCGTCGCTTTTGAAGGCGCGCACGACGACGTGGGAGGCCAAGTTGACGACGACGCCGGCGAGGTAAAGCGTCATGTTGCCGGCGTGCAGGCTCGCGCCGTCGGCCTTGAGGAGGGCCTGGTTGTACACGCCGGCGGCGGCGCCGAGGAAGACTTGGAAGAAGAGGAGGAGGTAGGTGCCGAGGGGGTAGGTCGTGCCCTTTTGGGGATCGTACTGCGTGGTCGCGAGGCCGCATACCTGGAAGACGATGGCGATCCACTGCAGCTTGGAGATGTTGGTGCCGAGGGTGGCGGTCATGACGAGGGCAGTGATGAAGGTTACGCCGCTCCTGGTGAGCTGGATGGTGCCGGGGTCGGCGACTTTGTAGATGACGAAGATCTGGGGTTGTTTTGTTTTAGTCTCATTCTCTCTCTCATTCCTTTACTCGAGTAGCTGGGGATTACTCTGGGGTAGCTGGGGATTACTCTGGGGGTAGGGGGATGAAATTGAAGGAGCACGGGACGGGCAGAGACGACGACTTACTAGGTTGTTGATGAGCACGTAAAAGAGCGCTAGCTTACAGAATCCATACCGCACGTCGGTCGTCAACTCGCCCCGAACGTAGGCCCAGTACGCTCTCGGGGCCAACATCGACACCGACCTGTCTCTTTGGTTCGCTCCAAGCCCGTGATCCTCTTGAAAATCGGAACGAGTTCCCTCTTCAGCCCTCTTCTCCTCGAGGCTATCTCGCGTGCCTGTCACGGAGGATTCGGCGCCGGAGATGGGGGCGTACGACGACGCACGGGTCCCTCGAGAGGACGGGGGTGTTCCATCGGCAGCACGAACGCGGCACTCATTGTAAAAGAAGAGGGACGAGAGTAGCAGCTTGAGGAACTCGGAGATGGTGATGGAGGCCGAGGGGAAAAGGCGTAGCTTCCGCCGCTTTGGGAGGCCTTGATGATGATGCCAATGCCGACCTGAATGACGACGAGGGCGAGTGCGGCGGCATAGGCGGCGTGGGAGGGCCCGCGGGGGAGGAGCGAGAGGGGCTTGAGGAGGCAGGAGAGGAAGCTGAGGCGAGGCATTGTCGTGCTTGGCAACGTCCACCGAGGTGCACGCCAACGCCGCATTGATGTGGACACTTGGAAACCCCTAGGTGATGCTGTGATTTATGGAAGGTTAGCCGTCGCTGCCATTGAAGCAAACGAGGGTGATTCGGCTGAGGCGTCGCTGATTTTTTCGATCGTGAAGGAGCTCTCTAATAAAGGGTGCTTTGCCAATCACGAACAACAAACGCGGCAAGGCAGGGCGTTGCTGTCCCGCCAAAGTCAACACGCCAAAGTCAACAATGATTTTGCGCATCCTTCGATCCTACGCGGATTAATCTCAGTGCTTCCCGTGCTGCATCCAATGCTACGCCGACTGTTGACGCCCTGGCAGATCACTCCCATTCGTAGACACTGGACCCTGCACTGCTTACTGTTTTCCAATTTGATGTTGCCCAGTATTACAGTTGCGATGCACGCAAGCACTCCCGCGCTAATAACCCCGCACCCTTGGCCGTAGCCCATTCAGTTGAACCCCGATTTATGGTCAATGCTTTGGAAGCTGAAGCGGATCTCAACATTTGCCCTACAAGGCAAGCGCCAATCTCTTGAGACACTGCCCCCGCCTTCCCTTCTAGTGCCATTGATGCCCGCCTTCTGTGGGGGTTGTTGACTTGGCTTTTGTGTCGACGCCATTCACCGCGTTTTGTGCGACTCGCATTGATTCTCCCGCCTTGTCCGCTAGCTAGTTTCTCCGCATCCTTATCCTTCGAGGCCATGGGGCTACTGGCCCATAACATTGAAATAAGCAAGCAGATTTGGCGTTTTCGAGGATCGAGCTGGTTATCGCCAAGCGAATGAACCTTCGGCCGGCAACGTGGGACTCGGAGGCGTTCAGGACCACCTCCACGGCTTTAGCATACGCAGTCTGGGAGATGATCGAACCGAGACGCTAGTGCTGATTGATACCACCGTCGCGGTAATAGAGAGTAGACGCGTGAGAATCGATGTGCAATACGGCTCCCTCGGAATGAGTAGTATTTGCCCAGGGCAAGCTACCAAGCAGGCTCCAGGCTTCTCCAAATCTTCCCTCTCGGAACAAGCGACGGAGCAAACCCCTGTCAACCCCACCAAATGGCAACTTGCCGTTGCACTTTGTGATTTGAAAACGTGCACGTGTTTTGGCGCGCCATGATGTTCAGTTTTTGGTTCGAGGAAACCGATCGTCCGTGTTCACATGCAGCATGTGCACGCCAGTCCCAAGATCCCGCCTCTTTGGTACAGCCCGCCAAGATTCTATTTGCTCTCTTTACATTGATGCATTGTATTTCTGCAGCATCTCGCTCCTACAGACGACGAGGCGGGTCGGTTTTCTCGCTCAGGGGTGCCTTTGACTCGACGTGACAGACCTCAGCCAGGTTCTTCAAGCGTGGACCGTCGTCCTCGTTCTTTTCTTTTCTTGAGAACTCATACGGACGCCCACGTCGGGGCGGAAAGATATGCTTAGCCATACTATTATAGAATCCCTGCATCTCCCCCTTTCTACCAGTTGTTGCGCAGCCCCACGCTATGCCACATGACGCATCCACACTCTGCCCCGAGCCGGCGACGGCTTGCAAGGGCCCTGAGGTAGCCCCGGGATCAATGGTGCATCCAACACCCTGAACGGGAGCCAGGAGAGCCAACCGCAATGTGCCGCAGTAACGAAAGAAGAGCCAATAAATATCGTCATTCCCATTGGGGGTATTGGTTCTCGATTCTCAAAGCAAGGATACCGCCACCCCAAACCACTGATTAATATTGTAGGGAGACCGATGCTGCTATGGCTAGTTGACAGCCTGATTCTCAAGCCTGGAGATACTCTCTGGATGGCTGTCAATGAGGATGTCGACGATGAATTCAGAATCGGCCAGCTGGTCGCAAAGACCTTCCCAAGCATAGACTTCCGCCTCGTGCGCCTTCGCCACCAAACCAAAGGGGCCTGCGAGACGGTATGGTTTCTTTTATACTTCCATGCACCCGTCATCTTAGGGATCACTCTAACCATAGCCGCAGCTATATGTCGTAACCCAAAGCATGGCTACCCACCACTTATCTAGGAAGACGGTATCCCTAGATTGTGATACCATCTATTGGGCAGACATCCTGCAGGATATTCGTAACATGCCCAGCGGCTTTGGTGCATGCTTTTACTTCAATGATGATGGAAACAAGCCTATATATTCCTACATAAAAACGGAAAAAAGGTGCACTATGTCCCTTCTGTCTTAGAGGTTTGCAAGCCGCACAAGTAGCTAACTAACACCATTCCTTCAGGGCTGGCCTCGAGAATATCATCGACATACAGGAGAAAAAGGCAATCTCAACAAAGGCCAATACCGGGGCGTATGTGTTCCCTAGCGCTTCCTCTTTGAAGACCTGGGCTGCTCATAGCTTGGATGCCAAACGTGAAGATGGATCCGAGCTCGCAGAATACTACACATCACAGACAATCGCCTTGATGCTCCGTGGCCATGTTCCTTTCCTAGGAATTCCCGTAGAGAATACTGATTTTAGCTGTGTTGGCACCCCCGCACAACTCCAGGACCTGCTGGCCCTCTTGAAGACGAACCCCGCAGTCTTCCCACCAAGCTACAACAGAGGCGCTTCTGCTTTGACCTTGATTCTACGTTAGTAGGAGCCCCAGCCATCGTCGGAGACTACACCACTTGTCCCCTATAGAAAAGAATATCCGCTTGGTCCAGCAGTTGTACGATGCTGGCCACTATATAATCATTGTATGTTTTTGCCTCCAACTCACTGTGATACTACTTCACGAGTTCTCCTTTAGTTTTCTCCTCCATCTAGTGATCTCTGCTTATCTATTTCATCCTTTCAACCTTGCAGCAAACTACACGTCTCATGCGAACTGACGATGGAGCCCCGGACGTGCCTTTGGCAGATGTTGGCTCCGTCACCTTTGCCCAGCTTGCCAAGTATAGAATTCCTTTTCATGACATACATTTTGGGAAGCCCTGCGCCGATATCTATGTTGACGATCGAGCCGTCAACTCCAACCTCGACACCGCAAAGGAGATTGGCTGGTTGCTGGACGACTCCATCGCATCTCCAATGAACCATGGCCAGCTCACTTCTTCCCGCCAACGGGACCAGTCCCCTATGATAGAAGCTAGGGACTTTAACACCATTCAAATTATCGGCGATCGGGTCATCAAGTCGAGCAAGTCGGCCACTATCCTTGGCGAGCTATACTTTTACTCACACATGCCTTCATCCCTCTCACACGTCTTCCCTGCCATATACGCCGTTGACCTGATACCTGAGACGGGAACCTATAGCATTAGCATGGAGAACCGCCGAGGCCTGACCTTCTCCCATCTTCTCGTCGGGCGCTCCATTACAAAGGGTCGCATGTCGACGTTTCTCCGCACACTCCATACCATCCACTCGAGCTCAAGCACTCGGGCTCCGACTCTGAGCATTTCATCTGACCTCGAAGCCCAGTTTGCGTCACGCTCGCCCTCGCGGACGGAAAGCCAAGTAAACATATACTCCAACTACGGCCCAAAACTGCGCAGCCGGTATCACCAGTTCAAATCCCAATACGATTCCTTGGGACCCCTGGCCGCCTCCCTCTTCGAAAAGCTTAATCAGTGTCTAGACACGTTCGAGATTGAGAATAAGGGCATCTATGCTTCAATAATCCACGGGGATCCAGTATTTAGTAACGCTATCCTCAGCAAAGACGAAAAAGCCGTCAGTTTCATCGACGTCCGCTGCCAGCTTGGCAGCACCATCACGCCGGAAGGCGACATCCACTACGACTTGGCCAAGGTTCTCCAGTCGCTGTGCGGATATGACCATGTCATGTTTATGAACGCATCCAACTACAACCTTAGCCATGCGCTCGAAAACCCCGAGCCTTTGCTCGATGAAGCAGACATTTCGCTTCTTGAGGAACTCCAAGCACAGTTCTTCTCATTTGTCGAGAAGACGTATGCGGGAGAGGTTCAGAGGATACCTTGTTTTATATCGCTGCTTCGCTGTTTTTTACTTTGATTCCCCTTCACCGTCCAGAGCTTGGTCCAGTATTTCTACGCTTGTGCAAGGAAACACTGGACAAGGCCCGTCTATTCGTACCCGAGTAGGTGACAGGAGCTGCTGGCGGAACTGTTTTTAAATACTGCGTGGAGGTTCAAAGAATGAAGCTCTCCTTGGTGTTTGAAGGGGGCACGATTGGAGGTTGATTGTCACCGATCCACTTTGTAGAACGCTAGATTTGAGTGAAATCACCCTGTTTACATCATTTTAGAGTTACTGGACTATTGGCCCGCATGTACTAGCAGAGAGCATCAAGGGGTTTTGTGAGACTGTGCGTGCAGTGGAGGCCGTCACTGGATCACCATAAAGCCTAAAGTGAGCAAGTGGGAGAAGAAGAAGAAGTATGGGGACCACGGCCGGATTGAGCATCTGCCCCTCGGCATGCTAAAGAGACTTAATCTAGATTAGATTAAAACGGCTCGATCTGATCCGCCTTCATTGCGTTCCTGGCGAATAATTCACCGCACAACCCCGCGAGAGCGGAAGCGGTCTACTGCCGTGAATGAAGAGACCTGTAACTTGCTGGCGGGAAATCACAAAGGCCATGATCTCACAGGTGCCGGTGTCCACTGCGTCCTTTTGCTGCATGCCCCCGACCCAGTTCCGTCATGAAAACACCTTACTACCTGCCGTCTCGAGAAGTGGCCAAAGAGGTACAAGAAGCCAGGACGGCCCCCGGCGCTGATTCTCGACTCCCGATATGCTCTCTCTCCTACCCCGGTCAACATTGCCCCCAATTTCTTCGAGAGAGAACGCAACAACTTTCGATGCTGCCATCGCTGTTCATCGCCGTTTTCGCGGCCGTCCCGGTCCTCGGGCTCGAGGCGCCGGAGAGGTTCTACCCTTCCACTTGGGGTTCGGGCGGCCCCGACGGGTGGGATGAAGCCTACGAGAAGGCTAGGGATTTTGTATCGCAGTTGACGCTTGCCGAAAAGGTCAACTTGACCACGGGGACAGGATGGCAGGCGGACCGATGCGTCGGTGTGACGGGGTCCGTTCCGCGACTCGGCTTTCGGGGTTTTGTCTCCAGGACGGCCCTCTTGGCGTGCGTTATGGTGTGTTTTGTCGCCCGCTCCCCTCTTTTCGTAGGGTGTCTGCTAACATGCATGAAAAAATAGCCGACAAAGTTTCAGCGTTTCCGGCGGGCGTCAACGCGGCTGCTACTTGGAGTCGGTCTCTGATCAAGGCTCGCGGGGCTGCCATGGGCGCTGAGTTTTACGGCAAGGGCATCGATATCCAGCTCGGTCCGTCGGTCGGCCCCTGGGATTATTCCCGGAGGGGGTCGCAACTGGGAAGGTTTCGGGAATGATCCTTACTTGGCGGGTGCTGCTACCGCGTTGACTGTGGAGGGTATTCAGAGCGAAGGTGTGGTTGCTTGCGTGAAGCATTTCATCCTTAACGAGCAGGAACACTTCCGCGGTTCGGTTTCGAGCTTGGTGAATGATCGTGTGATGCACGAGGTTTATCTCTGGTAAGTTGAACTCTGACGGTCCTTGGTCACCGTACTCCTCTTCATGATATGCCTCGACCAAGATTCATGTTTCAATATTTTAGGCCGTTTGCCGATGCCGTCAGAGCTGGGGTTGGCTCCGTCATGTGTTCGTACAACCGTGTCAACGGCACTTATTCCTGTGAGAATGCATACACCAACTACCTTTTGAAGAACGAGCTCAACTTCCAGGGCTTCGTCATGTCGGACTGGGGTGCGCAGCATACTAGCATCGAGTCCGCGCTCAACGGGCTCGACATGACGATGCCCGGCGACCGATTCGGACGCGAGACGGCGGGGTACCAATCTCTCTGGGGCGGCGCCCTCACCGAAGCTGTCCTAGCTGACCAGGTGCCCCAGTGGCGCCTCGACGACATGGTGGTGCGCATCATGGCAGCTTACTACAAGGTCCACGTGGGCGACAAGGAAGAGCGTCCCGATATCAACTTCCACGCCTGGACCAACGCAACGGAAGGGCCCGTCTACTTTGTAGCGAACGAGACGTGGGAGGTCGTCAACGAGCACGTCGACGTCGCCGCCGACCACGCCGACTTGATTAGAGAGATTGGCGCCAAGTCCATCGTCCTGCTCAAGAACGAGGGCGTGCTGCCGCTGGGGAAACCAGAGAGCGTGGCCGTCATCGGGGAAGATGCCCAGGATAACCCCAACGGCGTGAACTGGTGCGTTGACCGTGCCTGCAACGACGGCACGTTGGCCATGGGGTGGGGGTCGGGCACGGCGGACTTCCCGTACCTCATCTCGCCCGCCACGGCTCTTTTGCTCCAGGCTGAGGGGATGGCACCGCGTTTTCGAATGTGGAGTCGAACTGGGATCTGGAGGCGGCGATGGAGGCTGCTGTGGATGCGGAGGTGGCTATTGTGTTTGCGAATGCGAATGCTGGTGAGAATTATGTCTTTGTCGGCGACAACGAAGGGGACCGGAACAACTTGACTTTGTGGAATGGAGGCGACGCCCTGATTACTGCCGTTGCGTCGATCAATCCTAACACTATTGTCGTTCTTCATACTGTTGGGCCAGTCCTTATCGAGGACTACAAGCAGCACCCCAACATCACCGCCATACTCTGGGCCGGCCTACCGGGACAAGAGTCTGGGAATTCTTTGGTTGATGTCCTATACGGGGCCGTCAACCCGCAAGGACGCTCTCCCTTTACGTGGGGAAAGAATGCAGAGGACTGGGGCGTGTCGTTGATGTACGAATCAGACGACGTACCCCTGTGCAGGACCTCAACGCTGGCCTGTTCATCGACTACCGCCATTTTGACAAGGAGGACATTGAGCCAAGCTACGAGTTTGGCTTCGGACTCAGTTACACGACGTTCGAGTACTCGGACCTCGAGATCGAACTCGTCGCCGAGGACGGGCCATCGTACGAGGCGGCGGATGGCGTCACGGAAGAGGCGCCCGTGTACGGAGAATTGGGCTCGCGGGAAGATTTCCTCTTCCCCGAGGGGTTCGAGGTTATCCCGAAATACGTGTATTCCTGGGTGCTCGAGGAGCCGGCGGGCCCGCAGGACATCAAGATTGACGAGTCGAGCAGGAGCGGCGAGGCGCAGCGCGTGCATCCCGCCGGTGGCGCGCCTGGCGGAAATCCTGGACTGTACGAAGTCGTATATCGCGTATCAGTAACGGTGGAGAACACCGGAGACGTAGCGGGCACAGAGATTGTGCAGCTGGTAAGTCGAGATATCTTCCTTTCCGTAGGACCTTTGAGTTGCCTGAGTTGTTTGTGTCTAATATCTGGATATAGTACCTTTCGCATGGCGACAGCGATGGGCCGGTGAGGGTTCTTCGAGGATTTGAGGATGTTGAGTTGGAGCCCGAGGAGGCCAAGACGGTGACTTTCGACTTGACGTATCGTGACCTTGCGACGTGGGCGGTCGAGGAGGAGAATTGGGTCATCTCCAAAGCAAACAAGACGGTATATGTAGGCTCCAGCTCCCGGGACTTGAGGTTGGATGCTGAGCTGGAAGTTTGAAAGGTTAAATAGACTCATATCTACATGGACGGATTGAAGAATACATGTAGGAGACATGTTTACATCTATGGATCAAGGCAGTGTTGAACCAAGCGCTTAGCATTACTCACAACATTTTCTAAATTGGCACCGGGATTTCAAGAGGAAGGGGCTTTCTTTATTGAATACTCTACGGAGCTCATATTTTGCGTCGTTTACTGCGAAACATGGCTGTCACTCTAATTCCACGCAGTTCCACCATCCTCGACTTCCTTTTTTGTTAGGGTTTTTGTTTTTCACTTTTTTGGAGACTTTTGATAATTTAGTGCCCTTCACTCCTCGCATCAACTTGACCAGCACTACCGACAAGCAAGGAGGGTCCTTGCTAGACAGCGGTAGGCACAGGCATTAGAGGGGAAACTTGGAGACTGTGGCTGAATTGGATGGGTCCCTTGTGACAGTGATGACAACGGGATGGTCCAGCTCGTTGGAGCAGAAGCAGCCAAGAGAGCAAATCTCCACAATGTCTGGGTCAAAGGAATCATAGATGGGAAGGAGGCCCTGGCCGCCGGCTCTGCACTGAAAGTGAGTCTTGCAGACGCTGTCTGGGTCGAGATCATGGAGGCAGGTGATGGTGGCCGAGGTGTCGACCATTGGCCTCTCCCAAGGGCTTGTGGTTGGTGTGGGTCGGGGCTTCCTGGTGGTGGTGCCATTCCCAGTGGACTTCGTTTCATCGGGAAGGGGAAGGGTCACGATTACGGTGATGGCCTCCTCATCTTCAAAATCCGGCTCTTCTTGTCCAGGAAAGTCCTGCGACGGGGCCTCGGTAGGGGTCGCGTCGTCCGCAGGCATACTAGCGAAGGGGGCTGGGCCTTTTCAGGCACCTTGGATTCGGGAATCGGGGTCGGGCGGGAACCGAGTATCTCTGCGTATCATGTTCAGTCGGGAAAGCGGTCGTGGCGTTGGCGCTGGTGACAGCGTCGCAGCCAAGCTTGATGCCAAAACCAGGTCGCAAGAGCTCACCATCAACGCCACGGACAGGAGTAGGAGCGGGCGCGGCTGTGAAATAATCGGCGGGGGTCGTGCTGATTAAAGGGGGCGGAGACGGGGTTATGGCGCTGGACAAGGCCGCCGGTGCTGGCCCCTTCTTCGGGGGCGTTGGGGCACCGGCAGTTTTGTACGCACAAGTCAGGGACGTGGCCGCCGAGCTGGCTGAAGACGCTGTAGGGGTCGCCGTTTTCGTCGCAGGCGACCACGAGATTGCAGAAGCAGTTCACAATTTCCTCGGCTTGCACATCGCCGTCGTAGCTGCACGTCATGCGGCGGAGACAAGGGCCGTCGCCGTTCCTGCAGGGGTCGTCGCGATGGGCAGCCATGAGATTCATGAGATGCTCGGAAGTCAGGAACAGGTCCTCGTAGTGATCAGGATTGCGGAGGGCGGCAGTGGATTCGGGGGCGGTATCGACCCGTTCGAGGAGAGTGACGATCACGGTCTTGGTGGCAGCGTTGTCAGAGACGCTACTGAGGGAATCTTCATTATGGGCTTGGGCAATGGGTTCTCTCTCAGGCCTGTCGGGCATGGTCCCAGTCTTAGCGTGAAGCTCTTGGAAGGGCTCGAGAATGGGGCTGTTGGTAGCGGCAGGGCGACCAACTCCGCTAACTGGAGGAAACATGGCGGGAATGGCGGAAGCAGCGCTGAAGATGGCCGCGAGGGCCAGGATGGAACTGGTCAACTTGTGGAAGTGAATACGTTAGTATATCCATATGTTGTCAAGGTTCGTTTGACAGCCAGGGTCAAAGGCAGGAGTAGGATATAACAGTCGCCAAAGCCAGTGAGGGCCTGGTTGCTGAGAATTCAAAGGACTAGACATATTAGAACTTACCTTCATGATGAAGCCACAGTATATGAACTAAGGCTTATGAGGGAGTTTTCAGGATTCGTAGAGATTGAAGAGAAAGGTTTCAATCGAACACTGACTGACTAGGAGGTGAAGTCGATGGAGAGAGAGAAAGGGACAGAGAGTTGGAAGAGGCTATCTTGATATTTATACACGCTAGAGATGGTCCTGAATCACTTGAAAGCTACATCTGTAAGGTATCTCTAGTGACTAAGAGAAGTTCAGTATTTTGAAAAAAGAAAAAGTGTTGCTCCAGCTCCAGATGAGGCAGGAGCAGGTCGTTGTTGAGAGGTGGATTTTGTATAGTGAATCATGTTCACAGCTCACTAGACGCGTTTTAAACACATACACTGATCTATATACATAAGTAGCTATAGCAATACCTCTAAGTCAACATATATAGCCTAGCAAAGGTATACCTTCCATAAACCATTAACACATAAATCTGGAGAACTAGGGAGAGGTAGAGGTAGAGTAATATATAATTGTAGGAACACTAGGATTATGTGTAAGCTTCGGATTGGTGTGACTAGGGTTCTATGCAAAGAGAAATAGAAAACTACGACTCTTGGAAAAAGGAGAGCGAGGAAACTGTAGACTAGAAAATATTCAACAGTCCAGTGAGGTCGAAAGATCCGTAGACGGCAATAGCGAAGTTGCAGGAGAGGCAAAACCATTATATTTCAACATCTCCCAATCAGAAACGAGGCGCGAGTTCTACTTGCCAGGACTAGCTCACGTCAGCTTCTAAAGGCCAGGAAACAGTAATACCACGGTTTCGGGAAACTGTATAGTTCAGGTAGCAACCCTGCCCTTGTCCCTGCAAGATTGCGGGCTCGAGTGACAAGCTCGAGGTTGACCCTGGTTAGTCATCGTGTCTCTGTCCTGTCAAGGGCACCTTCCCAATTCCTGCCAGTTGCCCGAGAGAAAAACTCAACAAACTGCCTGATGCCGGTATACTCCCAAACGCGATCCCCAAACCAAGTGTGGACACTCAACGCGGGACGTCACCATGCGGCTGGTGAGGGGGAATCGGGCGGCACGTTTTCGGACGACCGGCCCCCGCATGCGAGACGCTCAATCGGCCGATGATGGTTGGCCGACAAATGCCCTCGGCCAGCACGCCTGCGCACATGGTGGGGGCCGGGCGGGGAAACACGACGAGAAGCGTCTCAATATTTCTGCCTTTTCTTCCCTTAATATCTGCCATGCATAAAACTTGGGCGATTCAGACGAGGGTGTCGTCCAGGTTGGATGGTCGTTGTGACTGGGGGCCCTTGACTCGGGCCAATTGAGAATCATTGCTGAGCCACCGCCGTCCGGAATTCTAGCCGCTTCCCCGACCAGTGGGGTTCAAGATTCGACCCTGGCCGGCAAGTCGTTGATGGGGGTCATCAAGGATTATCATAACAGCAAGCATTTCTCCTCATTTCCCCTTGGGGCTTTGGGTTTTCTTGGTTTCGATCAAAGGCCTCCTTTCATTTTCTCCCCTTCACTGGCGAAGGCTCCTACACTAAATTGCGTACATGGAAGTGAAAAAGCTTTGTACAATATCTCCAATTTCATCCCACTGCCGTCCACCAAACCATATGCTAAATACTAGAGGCGCGTCCATTACTCCGCAGGCTCCGCAGGCTCGGCGGGCTCTGCGGGCTCGGTCGGAGCGGGGGCGGGGGTCTCCTCACTCTCCTCACCTTCAGCGGGGGTCTCGGGCTCAGCCGGGGTCTCGGACTCGACGGGAGTCTCGGGCTCGGCCGGAGTCTCGGGCTCCACAGGCTCCTCGGGCTCGGGGGCGGGAGGCTTGTAGTTGACGATGGCATCGAGAGTCGCTTGGTAGGCAGGCTTCTTCTGCATGTTGTTGTCCCAAAGAAGAGCGTCACCCTCACTATGCTAATGTTAGTAACCCAGGACAACGATTTCGACTAGCATAGGACATGCGGAATCACTGAAACAAGGACTGCTTACCCAGAGAACGTCTGGGGAACCCAGCTGTACTTGTCAGAAACACCCTACATAAACAGTTAGCATTGGCTTGGCGCAAAACTACCTCAGTAGGAGCCGGGGAGTCTGCCGGATTCGCATCCATGCAAGCGGCGTGCATCCATCAACCGGAGTCCAAGATCAACGGGTCTAAACCTACCCAAACAGTGAAACCAACGCAACCTATGTCTCCGTGTTAGCATCCGATTGCCCCAACGATACCCGACTCTTGAGTAGAGACCAAAGAAGCATGACGACTTACGTTCAACATCCATGCAGGCACCCATCATGCGGGCAAAGGCCTCGGCGTGGACCTGCAACTTCTGGGCGTTGGAGGGAGTGTTCATCCTGATATCAACCTCGGTGTAGGCCACGTCCACGTCGAGATCCGTGAACATGCGGAGCGTCGCGGCGAGCTCCTCCTGCGGCGGGGTGGGGGTCTCCTGGGTGCTGGTGCTCTCCGTCACCATGTGGCCCTGCAGACCAACGCCGTCGATGCGAGCGCCATAGGACTGGACCAGCTTGACGATCCTGACGGCACCCTCACTATAGATTGGCAGTCACCACCGTTAGCCGTGTCTCGCAGTAGTATAGTAAAAGAGACCACGATAGAGTCTGGTCTGGGGTTTCAGGGGAAGTTCTTACGCCTTCTCCTTTCCGTATTCGAGGTTGTAATCGTTGTAGTAAAGCTTCGTGCCGGGGTCCGCAGCCTCAGCGAGCTGGAACGAGATGGGGAGGTAGGCCTCGCCCATGACTCGAAGGAAGACGTTGTCTCGGTAGGTGCCGTCCTCGTTCAAGGCTGTCGTGGGGTGAGGGTAATTAGCAAGGCTGTCCAAGAAGGAAGGTTGCATATAATTGACAGGGGGAAAGAAGCAGGGAGAGCATCTACTTACCCTCGTTCACGACGTCCCAATGGGTGCACTTCCCCTTGTATCGGCCCATGACAGTCGAGATGTGGTTCTGCATCACCTGGTACAAGGTAGCGTTGTTGTTGATGCCATTGACCCAGCTGGGGAGCTGAGAATACCAGACGAGAGTATGGCATCGGAGCTGCTTTCCGTTCTGGGTCGCCCAGTTGGCATGTTGATCGGCAGCTCCCCAGCTAAACTGACCCTGGCTAGGCTGGATAGCATCCCACTTCATCGCGTTCTCGGGTGTGATAGAGCCAAAGTCGTTGCTGGCCATGATGGTAGACTCGGCCTGGTCGTTTCGAACCGTCAGGCAGGTTCCGAAATACTCTCTGCCAGCGGCGACCATGGCGGTGTGGAGACCCTGGGCCTGTCGAGGGGACAAAAGACTACACCATACGAGACAACGAGTTAGTTCGTTACCCTTTCACATCGTCACCAACAAACGGTTGGAGAGCAGCAGGCCACCGTACTGGAAGGCCATGGCAGAGGATTCCACTTACGACATGGGAGTGCCGCTGACAGCGCCAATAATGGCGGCCAGGGCCGGAAGAAGGCCGTACTGCATGGTTGAGGGGATGGTCCGATCGTGTGGAGAGGTGCAAAGGTGTCGAGATTTCGGGGGAGTGGCCTCGAAGAGAAGATGGGATGGGTAAGAGAGCGAAGGGATGGAGAGCAGAACAAGATCCCAGAGGCAAACTGCGGCTGATGAGGCTTTTATTCAGGAACCACTTCATGACAGGCGGACGACAAATTGCTCCCAAGAGATTGGGGATCCCATCCGGGTTGACTTGACCCGGTGATGGAGGAGGACTCCACTTACCCAAGCTCGATCCTAATATCGCTTGTCATGACGACTCCTCAAAGAGCCGTCGAGATTGCCGTCGCCAAATGCCATTTCTCCGCACTTGAAGATGGTGGGGAGGGTGTGTGTGTATGCGTGGAAGAAATAAACCTCGGGGAACAATGGTGGAAAGACAAAAACAACCGGGCCCGGGGAGCAGGTCTGCGGTTCCCTTCATTATTCCGGAACGGTCAACGGGCACCCCCGTGGGCGGAAATATCGTTCAGCCCATAGTGGGTGTGGATTATCGACGGCCGGTTTGGCCTTGGTCGAAATTGTTTGCGCGTCGCTTTGTTCCAGAGGCCAAGGTGTGTGCGCCCGTTCACTAATATAAGGCTACTCCATCTGGCAATGCGGGGAAATGGGAGTGCCTTCGGAAAAAGACGAGGGGTGAGCGGTCGCTTGGGGAATTTGTGCGGTTCAAGCCTGGGCGAGTGCGCAGGCTGAATTGTTTGTTGATTCTTTTGGTCTTGCCCTTGATTAATATCCCTTACAGCCGTGAGGCGAAGAAAAATGCCATTAGAAGGCATGGATATTAATTCCTTCCCCTTCGCCGTCCCCCAAGCCCACCTTCCCTCTATCGGCGGCGGGCGTTGCCAACAAACAGCATTGGACGCTGTGTGGAGGGCTTGTTCCGGATAAAGAGATTAACCCAATTTTCAGGCTGGAGGCCTTGCTCGAGTCCATCCATGGATTGATCCATCACATTCAATGTTGTCTGTCGACCCATCTTCTCCAAGCCCTGACTTGAACCAAGGTGCTCCCCGGTTGCCTGGAGGCGGTACTTTCAATGTTCCTTGCATTTACGTTTTTTTCCCCGTTGATACCTCCCTCTGTCCTGTCAGTCACCAGGCCCTGCCCGCGTTGCCAAATCGACCCCCGATTCGTCCTATTCTGGTTAGCGGTACTTGGTCCGGAGCGAAACATCGACATATGATCATAGATCCGTCTGTGTAGTCTGAGCGAGCCAGCGTGGTTGACGCCACAGGGATCCTCCCATTTGCCCCTCGAGAGCTGAACACGTTGCTATTTGACCAAGGCGACCTAAGGCGGCCCAAAGTTGTTTTCTCTTTGCCTCGCCTTTTTATTTCTTTTTCTTCTTCTGAAACCCAACCACTAATCAAGTCGCAGAAACAGGAGCGCCGTTTTACGCAAATCTATTCGGGTAGGCGGGCTAGCCCGGTCCTAGCTCGGGGAAGCAGTCAAGGATTGGATCGTCAACATGCCTTGCCCTAGCACAAACGGTACAGCATCGTAGAAGTGGCATTCATCGCAAAATGGAAATGGCGCTTGCCCTTGCTAGATCGCATTAACGGTTTGCGAAGCCGAGCATAGGGGAAAAGACCACGGCCCGAAGCAATGGTCCCAGGTTTCGACCTGTCATCCGAGCACCGTCCTTTTGAGCCGAACCCGCATCTTGGGGTACGCTGTCGAGTCTTGGAGAAACTCATGGAACCATCTCGCCCCGAATTTTTGGTGACGTTCAACGTTTGCCCCTTTCTCTTCCCCATCTCGTTCCTGTCTCTTTTTGCCTCCATTGATTGGCTTGACCACATTGATGCGTACATGTATGCTCGCCAGCCATCAGCATCATGCTCTCCTATGGATACTATCTCATCCCTCCAAATTGATAGAAAAATTGACCCTTCCATGTTCTGACATGGGTCAAGAATCCCCCTGCCCCTCCCCCACCCTCGTAAAGGATCAAGAGAATTTTGACTGCTTGAGCTCGGAAGATGAAGCAGTCCTCATTATCCCTGGCCAATATTGAAGATCGCAACCAGGGCTCACAACCGGGATACAACATAGTATCTGGAAGTTACCCGGTCTCTCTCACTTCGGTCGCGGAAACCTCAAACCCCTACCAGCTTGCTCAACTCACCTGCTATAGCGCACAAGACATATTTCAAGACCCATAGGCAGATCTTAGCCATCCACGGACAACTGTACCTGCCGACCCTCATCCGTTCCGGACGACATCGTTGAAAAGGACCTGTTCTCATATCTAGGGTTGGTGCATAGCAACCTGTCATTGCTCACCACATTATCAAGTCACAAAGTATCGACGGACAAGCTTCGCCTTGCCTTTCTTGTTTAGGTGACTTGCACTTCGTGGACACCTATAGTTGGCTAGCGATAATATCACGTCAACTCTCTGTTTACACCCGTTGCTTTTTCTTTTCTCACACTTTGGTGACCCTCGTAATCCTACCACTGTAGAGAAGGCCGGTGGGAACTGGTCACAACGTTCTGATTGACAGGGGAAATGGACGATGGCTTCAACGTTGGCATGATCAGCAAGACTATATAAGGGCTCTTACAGATGCCTAGAATTGTCCGTCTTAGGTTCACTCTCATCTCACACTCCTCATCTCACGCTCCTCATCTCGTCGTAACGACAACCCAGCAGAGCATTGAGTCTATTTGAATACACCGGCCACTCTTACTTGCACCATGGCAGGGCTACCGGAAAACAACGGCGAGCAAGCAACCGCCGACATTCAGGACTGCCCATCCTCCACCGTGGCAACCGCCGGGAATGAGTAAGTCATGTTGTAGAATAGTTTGCGTATTCGGCCTACCTGGCCGTGTATGCCTTTCTTGGATTCGCTCGTATTCTCATAACTCTTTTTTTTCTTGACAGCGAGCCCGGATCCATCTCTGGACCGTCAAAGCAGTGGCGGAGGAAGCCTCTCAGCGCCGTATCGACAGCTACTGTGAAGATACCGTGATCCCATGGACCGTGCTCAGAGAACTCGTCGTGCTGGGTCCTGGAGAGAATGGCGACATCGAACAGGATGAAGAGTTGGACCTGTCTCCCAAGCCCCGGAGTTGACGCCGGGAGACGAGAAAGCGAAAGGGGAAAACTGGTGCTGGATCATGCAGGCGGGAAAAATCAACAAGTGGGGCATGACAGGGCTGAACGTTCCAAGGTTGGCATATTCGTTGTTTAGTGTATGCAGTTTGGCAGACAAACAGTAGTGGAGCTCAGTGAGAGAGCTCAAGTGGGATGGAGTGGGGCTCGGGTAGCCTCAGGGCAAGGATGAGGTGGGTAAGGGACTAGACGGAATCAGAGCACTTGAGCACTGGGGAGTAGTTGTGGCGGTGATTGATATCCATCAATGGATCGGATATTCCCAAGGCTTTTCCACTGCTTGGTCTGGAACCAATAGATGGATCCAATGGATATATCCATAGGTTGATCCACCCATGATGAATCCATTGCCTCGAAAAACAAAGCCACAGCTTACGTTGCATCGCGATATGATAACTGACCTCCCACTATACCTACATGTATTCCATGATGTCCTTCTAGACTGATCCCGACTATCATAGCGTATCTGTCCATGGATCATCGCGTACATGTATGGTGGGTACTTGCTGGCATGGCTATGACCAACCCAGAAGAAACCATCCATGGATGCAAGAGACCGGAAGAACAGAGAAGACAAAGTGCCGAGGAGCCTGCTCTAGTGGATGAAATGTCACTGCCGCAGCCCCGTACTGTTGTTGTTCTCGTCCACTTGCCACGCTATTCCCTGCCTACGGTGTCTCAGAAACGGATCCGCTAATGGGGCCTCAATTCATCCATGACTTAACAAGGGGAGGTGTGAAGGTGTCTAATCGTGCCAACTCGTTCGGGAGACGAGTAGGTTGGCCGGGATGTAGGCACGGACACGGCGGGAAGGATTTCAAGCTTTTGTTTTTGAAATAGCGATATGCCCATAGGTACGATGGTGCACTTCGACGCAAAGGCAACCCTTGTTCGCCCCCTTCCTCTCTGCTGCACCGGGGTGCCGGTGGAAGCCACCCGTGGCCGGGTTCCTCGTCTCTGTGTTGAGTACGGTGTGATTTCGTTTAGCAAAAAAGAATAAAAAGAGAAAAGAAGACCAGAAGAACAACATGAAAGATACAAAATAAGACCAAGGCGGACTCCGAATGCACCGGTACAATTGCACCACACTTGTCCCGCTTCCCAGGACCCTTGCTAAGAAGGCGGGAAAAGATCGATCCTTCAGAAAATCTACATGTAGAAGAAAATGTAGCTGAGCCTGCCTTGATACTGACGAGCCGAGTGCGAGAAATTTCATTTCCTGGCCCTCCCAGGGCTTACTGTTTAGTTGCCCTCCCTCTCAACAAAATGAAGGATAGATGCAAGGGGAAAGAGGCCTCCACAATCATGTGCGAGCCTATTTTTCTTACGGGACGAAATCAGTACAAGATGTAGTCACATAGCAGGTAAGGGCGAAGGGTAATCTCACGCCTCGCCTTGTAGTATCGGACGCTCGTTTTTCAAGCGAGAAAGGAAGGGCGCCAGATGCACGATGCACGAAGAAAAAAAGGGGGTGGGCACTGGAATCGATTGATCCTTGGCCTCGAGCGTAGGCCTCGAACGTAGGCCTCGAGCGTATTTTTATTTTCCTCTTCTTGGCGGCCACGCTGTTGGTCGCATAGCCGCATACGGCGGTTGGTCCTCCTGATGGGTATGTTTTGTGTGGGCAGGCCAGGCCGCCTACGAAACAGTCATTGTGGAGGTTGTGGAGGGAACTTGAAAGCTCCACCATTCGTTTTTCGGTTTGATGGATGGCCGGTGTCGAAAGTTGGCGATCGCAGCAGCTCAGATGACACCCTTCCCTTCCACGCTAGGTCGTCCAGTTGGCTACGGCGAGCTGCCAACTAGCATAAAGCAAGTTCGCTAAAACCGTTTTTCTGGAAATCCCTGTGGGTTGTTGAGAGTTATAGGAGGGTTCATCTATTATTAGCCAGGGGATCTTCGAATTTATGTTGCTTTCGAGACCCGACCGGACTGGAGCGAGGTATCAGAAGACATCCATGGATATACGCAGAGTCCAATGTTGCTTCAGGAGGCGCCTTTGACGTTGGTCAGGAACCTGTGGCTTGAAAGGGGTGAATACGATGACATGTGATGCCCGTTGAGGAATGCATCGTGGGGGAAGCAGACCATTTGATGTTGGCGGTACTTTGCGCGTCGAAGATTGTGCAAGGGCTTGCGAGATCCATTTTGGAAATTTAATCTTCAATGTTTCAGAAACATTAAAGGCGCGCTTTCGAGCCGCCCCCAACCTACCAACTAGCTAGTTGAACCAGAAGTACATTGATCCATGTGGAAATAAGGTCCAAACTGACCTCTAGAGTCATATCTGTGCTGCGGATGGAGGCTATGGGCCCTGGCTTGGCGATCATCGCGTCCAGACTTGAGTGACTCTCTCTAGCCGAGACCCGCTCACCGTGCCCCTTCTTGCCTTGCGAACCAGCCGCTCCGTAAGTTTTGCTCTCCGGCGTAGGAGCTGATCATGGCACCAGCTGGAGCCTGGAACGAAAAAGTGAGTTTTGTGTAACCAGCGGAAAATTCCCACTAGGCCATCCATCCCGCTCCAGAAAAAAGGGGGTGAATTCCACCCTACTTTTATTGAGATAGTGTGCACTTCGGGCTGGTAGCGTTGGCTTATCACGAATCCTTCAGGGAACAATGAACCCTCCCCCTAATCGAGTAAGAGTCGGCCAAGGTAAAATGTTTGGTCTTCTTCTTCGACATTAGGCCTTGTTTCAGCCGGTGTACTTCCTTAGCATAAAAGTGACGAGAAAACGAGAAAAGGAGAGGAAAAGAAGGGCGCTTGGGGGTGATGAGGCAGGACGCTGTTGGGTAGGAGTGGGTGGGGATGGGTCCTCGGACTAGGCCAAAAGACGCCCCCGTCTGGTACAGGTTCTCATGTCCATCATTGATTGAGCCCTTTCGGGATTCCAGGGTGGGTTGGGGAGGTTGGTGCTCGTGCTCCTGTGTTTGAACATTGAAGCTGGTGTCGAATCCTGGCGCTACGCCTATAGTCTTAGCCTAGACTAACAAAAGTTTATGTTCAGGCGGTGTCTCATCTCTTCTGCTTGGCCTGCACCATAGACGGAAGGAGCCTTGAAAGCATTTGATAGTTGTAACCGAAAAGAACAATATGCTCCCAGGAAGGTGCGGGCGGCCCTTCTCCGTTGAATGTGCTCTTCAGAGAGGCAAATTCAGAGCCTGCCTGAGTTCCCCCTCATAACGAAATGATGGCTGGCTGCCTGGTCGCTCGATACGTCTTTAGTTCTTCCAGCCAACAATCTTTTTTTCTCCTCGGACGATTCTCTGTAGCTCACGTCGATTTCGTATTCAACTAGTGCCCGTTAGCTCCAGGCGAACAGAGAGTTCTGGTATTTTCCCACGGTTCAAATCATCCGAGCGATTCCCTACCATCGATACCAGGTTAAACGAAGCTCGACGAGGATGACGCCAACTGAGGCACCCGTCCATTCGTCTCTCTATACTTGCCATCACCAACGCTCTCTCCGGTCGGTTTCACTCGGTCCTTGCGAGTCCGTCGACTGTATTTCTCTTGTTGTGGCTACGTGCCATAGCCTTCAAGAACCATGCCTGCAGATTGCATCGAAGAAAGCTCCTACACATAGAAACATCCGTTCTCGACAACACGCCTTTCAAGCTAGCTTGCCGACCAACAAGAGAATGAGGCCATACACGCGCGACACAGGCCCAAGATACAGCCATCCCTAGAGATACTTTGCACAGTCAACCTACAACTGACTGCCACATGGGGAGCCAATGATTTTCATCATTACATCGCGGACATGTATCAAATTGGAATGCACTAGCCCACCCAAAGCGTGATGGGGGACGATTGCTACACAGTTGCTCCAACTCCCCATTTTTGCAACAAAAAGACACGACCGACAGCACCTAGGCAGACCCTGACCTCGTCAACTTGCCAGATACTTTTCCACATCCTCCATCATCTTCTTAGGCTTTTCCCAGGTTAAAAGTGCTGAGAGGAACACCAAGGCGCTGAAGGCAATCATAACCTGAAGCTGCCTTGTATACCCTTCCGCGAACGCACTGCGGACTTCAACCTGCGACTGCAGAGGCAGATCTGCGATTGACGAGAAGGATTGCGAGATGGCCTGAACCTCAGCCTCGGTTAGGACGTCTTGCAGCCTGTCTTTCGTGAAGTTGTTCAATATGGTAGCGCTGTGGAGAGAGGCCGATGTTAGCGGCGACTGGATATCCCTGTCACGGCGAAGGGGTGCTTTGCGCGGCTTTGCAAGGCCTCCTTACCAGATAGCCAAGCTTACTGTCCCACCAAGCACACGGATCTGTGTCAGCGCCCCTATTCCAACCCCTACAAGAAAGCCTCGACATTAGCATCCTTTCGTCACCAACGCGTCCGTCGAACCGGGCAACAGTTCCTTGATACCTACCTAGATCTTCCTTTGGAAAAATGAGTGCCGCCATCACGAGCAGCGTGCTAAGCCCGAAGCCAAATCCTAATCCCATCAATACTTCGAACCCAAATATACTGCGGTTGAGTTCGAGAGACGCCGTCGAGGGCATGCTGGCCAGACCCATGCCCACGAGTTGCATGGAGGCCCCGAAAACCAGGACATAAAGGGGAATTTTGCACTTGGACACAAGGGCGGCCGACATGCCACTTGCCAGTGGTGATACAAGCAAGAGAGGAAGCAGGTATAATCCTGCCTGGACAGGTGAGCTTCCATTGACGGCTTGAAATCGCTGCGGAGATTCACAATGGCCGCCATGAACGGGAAACCCGTGAAGAAGGCGTTGCTAACAAATCGTGCTCGTTAGTCATCGTTCATCAAAACTCACTCAACCTTATCTCCCTCGACTTACAGCATCATTCCGGCTATCCTGCGGTCCTTGAGCAGCCTCATGGGGAAGATGGGTTCCTGAGCGAAACCAGGCCTATCGACCCAGATTTCCCAGGGCACAAATAACACCCAACAGGCCGCAGAGAGGACAAGAGTCGCGATAATGGCTGGGCTTTTCCACGGATACTGGGTCCCTGCTTCCTCAAACGCAAAGACGATCAACATGGATGCGGCTAATAAGAGGAACCCGCCGAGGAAGTCAATTTTCTCCAAGCCCCTGGTGGCGGCGTGATTTCGGCAAGGTGTTTCTTCCACCCCTTTCCTTGTGCAGGATAAGTCCTGGTGGCCTCGGTGGGAAGGAAAAGCCATACTAGCACCATGGCGAGAGGAACCACCGGAGCGCTATCATCAAGAGCATCAGTAGGTGACTCTTTCAGGGCCAAGTATATGAAGAGGACGAGGCGTAAGTGATGAGTGTGGCTTCTTACTTGAGTAAAAACACCCACCGCCAATGCGAGTGGTCATTGATGGCACCCCCAAGAACCGGCCCCAAGACACTGGAGAGAGCAAAGACAGAGGAGATGATGGCCATGTATTTGGCATACTTTTGCGGAGGCACAATTTGCGGGATGGACACGCTAACGCAAGAATATATACCGGATGCGCCCAGCCCTTGGAAGGCCCGGAAGACAATGCTTCACGGCGAAAATTAGTTAACCTCCCACGAGGGTGTATACTCGATCACACAGCCAAGCAGCATCACATGGCCGGGAGGGAGTTGTGACTTTCCAAACTTACAGCTCGATGATGTTGGTGGAAATACCGCAGAGGATGGAGAAGATGAGGAAGATTAGAAGACCAAGCATGATCATGGACTTCCTCCCAAAGACAGAGCAAAGCTTTGCATATATGGTCAAGAATCCTATTACGCAGGTAATGCGTTCGCGCACAAAGAGTCTCAGCAATGGATAGCCCAAGCTTCGAAGTCACCGTGAGACGTGCGCAGGAAACTTGTGGGGGTATACTTGCCGGCATATGTAAGAAGGTATGAAGTGACGACCCAATCTCGGCGGGAGAAGCCCTCCAGGGAATTGGTGATTGAAACTAGACTTGTGCTAACGATTGTCGTTTCTAGCGCCGATAGGAGCAAGCTCAGACATAACCTAGAGGCCAAGAGCGGTTTTAGAATGTTGGCTGCTCGGTCATCGTTGAATCGAAGGACAACATGATCCTTACCCAAGCACAAGCAGATAAAGCCTCCAGCCATCGGGATACACATTCACGTCACCGCCACCTGATTCACCTTCCGGAATCGAGTCGTCGGGCCCGGGGGTTGTGTTTTTCGACCCCGGCCCCAATCTCCGACGGAGACGCGTCGGCCGCTTTGCCCTCGGCAGGTGGGTTTTCGGCGGGCGCTTCCACTTCGGACTGCACCGCCGGCACATCCGACGCCATATGTCTCTTTTCAACTGCCATTTCGCGGCATAAGGGTGCAAGGAAGCAAGGCTAGCTCCCGTGTCGCGCCTCCCAAACGACCGACCCAATTGCGCCGTTCGAAGATGCGTTTCTTGAGGTGGCTAAAACCACGTGCCCGGAACGCGCAACACACTGAAAGGACGATTGGCATTGGTGGGCTAGTGACGCTTGATGGGCGAGCGAAGTGGGCACGGTGTCACCTTTATTTTCGTCTTGGCTGGCCCTCGTTCTTCAGGGGTACTCGCTTAAATTTCTTTTGGAAGGATTCGAGAACGGCACAGACTTCGGAGCCTGTTCTTATTATTATGGGGCACCAACTTCGTATTGCGCCCCTCACCCCTTGCTATCTAACGTCGTCAACCGACGGCCTTGTCACTTCTCGTCATTTCTCGTCACTTCTCCCCCTCGCCTCCAATCCCCCGCAAGTCCTTCTTGGTGGGCCCGACCCACTGTTTGTCCAACCACGGATTGATCCATGGATGCAGAGGTCGCACCACGCCGGAGACGACGCGATCAATTCCTCGCGGCCGGCGTGATCAATCCGACCCGTCACATTGGGCCACCTCTCGCCTCGCATATTCTTGCCAGGTCCGATCAGGCCCGACGCCGAATGTTCTCAACGCATGAGTGAGAGAAACTATGCGAGGGCGACGAATCTCGTGGTTTCCCCAGGTCATGATGGCGTATACGCGTTCTCTATGCTTGCCTAGCATCAGCATATCTGGCGACAGCCCTCCGCCCAGGCTCATAGACTGCATCATGGGTATCCCTTCAGACACTCGCGCAGCCTGTCTTGCTGTCGTCCAAATAGAGTTTCAAACGCATCTCCCCATGCAAGCCGTGCTTATCGCACTGCCTGTTTCGAGTCCTCGCCAGACTGTGCGGGCCTTGGCTCGAGTCTGTCACCAGGTGGCGTGGGAGACTCGGACAGTGGATGCATCCATCCATGGATGGATGAATTCGATTCGTCAACGCCGAGGATATGATTACTTTTCTTCTCCCATCACCCTGGTAATTGATGGGCCGCACACCTCCACACCTGTGTTTTGGTAATCTTCTGACAGCCCTTGTCCTCTTTCTGCGGGCGTTTGAACCATGTGGCGCAGCCAAGGTGGCCCCTGGAAATCCTAATGTTCATCAAAGCAAGAAGAAATGCGCTGAGAAGAGCCATACCCCTGCCCAGAAGATGGCTGGCCGAAATGGGGCGACATCCGCCGCTTCTCTTCCTCCAAACGCATCAAGCATGTAGCCGGCAATAGGGGCGCCCTGTTCAAAAGCCCAAATTTAGTGACTTGGCCATGCCTGACAGATAGCCATAGATGATAGGCGGATTGGCCACTTACCATTGTGAAACCTCCAACCCAACCTGTGACGATGAAGCCCATGGCGCTTGACACCCTGTCAGAGCCAAAGACATTGCCGACTGTGGTTGGCATAGCCGAGAAAAGGCGCCGCTACACGCGCCGCTGAGCACCACGAAGGCGATGAGACTCGCTGTCGTCGTCGAAAGGGGCCACAAGATGAGTATTGTGAGCGCGTTGGCCGTGAGGGCGCACAGAAGCGTGTTTGCCGCACCGAATCGGTCGCTGACCCACCCGGAGATGATGCGCCCCGCGGCCGAGGCAAAGTTGAAGCCGGCCACGAGAAACGCTCCGGTTCTCGGGTCCATTCCGAGTGAACGGCTGTAGAGAGGGATAAAGAAGGGTGGGACCAAGAGCGCAAAGGAGCCGATGGCGCCGGCGGCGAATAGGAGTCGAAAGTTGGTATTGTGAAAGATGCCCCAGTCGAGAGGCTTGCGGGTCGGCTGGCGGCGCTCCTGGACGAGCCAAGCGGCGGGAAAGCAGGTTGCCACGATGGCGCAGCCGAGGATGCGGAATGTCCAGGCAGGGCCAACGGCGCCGACGAGAGAGTTTATGACGAGGCTGGTGACGGCTCCTCCCAAGCCGCCAGCGGCGAATACGATGCCGTTAGCTAGGCCACGCTTTTTGGAGAACCATTGCGCTGGCGCAACGGAGACAGTCTATGGCGCATAAGTGCCCGGTTAGCAGGTTGTGGGTATCCCCGGTGCGAGTGTTGAGCCAAGAACATACCATGAAGAGCAACCCATTACCAATCCCGAACAGCACGCCCGCGGTCACAAAAAGCCCGCCGACGTTGTGTACGGTAAAGCTTGCCAAGATCTCGCCGAGCCCGAGGAAGGTCACACCGATGAGGCAAGTGTACCGGGAACTTAGTCTTGTATTAAGCTTGGCCGTGATGAGAGCCATGGCCGCGCCCAAAGAAGTAGCTATGGAACCAACCCAGGACAGGAAGCTGCCGAGCCCACGCCTTCCTCCACCAGAGCGGTCTGTATGACCCCCAGCTATAGCTCGTGCCGATGAACCAGTACGTCAGCACGGAACACCCTAGGATGACGACCCACCCGCGGCCGCCGTCGGGGGCCTCGAGATCCGCGAGGCGGAGGCTTCTAGCACGGCATCATCCTTGATGGAGGCTCTCGGCGACGACTCTGTGCTGCTGATGGGGTCGTCCTTCTCGGCGGGTACGGTCTCGGTGTGTGAGGGCGCATAGCTCTCGTTCTTTGTGCTGCGCTCAGTGTGCGTGTCATCCGTCTTGGTCGCCAATGTTGTTGTGGACATGGTCACCGATCTGATGGTTTCGCACCGCGTTTGTGCCTTTGCGCTTCTTGGAGGACCTGGAGTTTTCCATTTTGTCCAAGAGGTGCTTCATTCTCCTCCTTGCTCTATATAGTCTTTCGTAGACTGCCAATATCTTATCCACTCTATGCTCCACTTCTCTCACTCCGATATCGACCCATTCGAGGGTTGGAAAATTCTTTCATCTTCTCTATTGATGCAAGTTTTTCCTTGCCCTGTTCTTCCTTGTTTCTAGCATCGCAATCCCGCCATATATCTGGGACCGAGCGGCGCGTAGGATTCCGCCATGTCAAAAACCTCCTGAGCCTAAGGGCGCCAGGGGAACAGGAGAAGGCCGACAGTTTCCGCGCCGCAGGTAGCCGCAGACCCATTTGAAGCCTGAATTGAGGGTTTTCATTGGTGACGGTAACTCCCGAGATGGGGCTCGGTCAAGACCATAGGGCGTGGGTGGGACTACTTGAAGCCATGGGCCCCCTCAGAAAGTGGTCTTATTGCTCGCCCTTTCCCTAACACGGGTAACCGACGACCAAAAACCACACAAAAAATGGAATCAGTGGGGGAAAAGAGGCTCAAAAATCCAAGGGCGGAATGACGGGACGACAGCGGCAGACTAAGACAGCACAGGCCTTTGCTGCATGTCAATTCCTCCACTGGATTGGACGACCGCCCAAAGCACGCGTGGAAGGCCCACAATTCGTCAATGATGAACGATCCCGATTCCGAGATGGGGTCTCGCAAAGGGCGTCGGGATGTAAAAATAACAGGGAGGCTGCAGGAGAATGTTGATTCCGGAAGACGACACACCGCCCCTATTTTTTAGATCCCGGATGTAAGAAGTGCGAGCGCGGGATCGCACGCGGGACCGTCACCGATTGGTATGTTGGTGTCAATCCCTCGTGTCGTCATCCCCGGCGCGCCGGCATGAGAGGGCGCGGATGACACTAGACATGTCAAAAGCTAGAAGCAGCCATTGGGCTGCTAGCTGGAAGTGAGGGGTGGTTTTCTGCAACACCCAATGCTCTCTACGATGCGAAATCATCATGATATTCAAGGAAGCAAAAAGTTGGCGAGCAAGGCAGCAAGATGCCCACCTCTCTGATGTCACTCGGAAAGGAAATTGGTTGGGTAATGTGGGGTCTCTTTCTCGGGGGCTCATTCAATACTGGGGCGTGAGCTAGCACGACTAGCTGAAGCTATCGTGGAAGGGGGTCCATGGATCAGCCCTTGTTGCATGGGCTGGTCATCCCTGGACACTGCCACCCTGGTCGGTCACTGCTGACAAGAGTTCCTGAATGATCTATCGGATCGATCACTTGCGCCAACCTTTATCAGTTATCATCCTCCGCAACCCTGCAACTCAAAGTACCAATACATGTATAGCAGCCAAAAGCCTCCCGAACCAAGACTGCGCGAGATCCCGTCTATAGCATGGGGCTATAGGCTCGCTGCTGACCCAAGTATGCCTGTACCCGAGGATCCAAAGATCCCTGACCAACGCGACACGTGTGTGCAATTGGTATGAATCTGTCAAACCTCGGAGCATAAAGTAGATGTACTATTCAGCGTCGGTGGTGTTTCTGTTTCCAGTGTATGAAAGGGGAAAAAGCTACCCCGAAAGCTTTTCTGCCATCCTCGCAGCATCACGACTATTCCAAATTTTAAGCACGATCAACGGGTCGAGCGCTACTTTTTTCCCTAGCTGACCTTTCGATGGTCAATACATTCCAGTTCTAGCTGAGAACTTTCAAGGCGTTGGTCAAAGGGAGCCTTGGCTCTAGTATTCGGCTTCAAGATTACACAAAGCTGGGAATGGGACTAGGCTAAATCCTCTACGGCACGCGATTGAGCCGGGTGCGGGCTCTTTTGTCCATGATGAGATTGATAAAATATAGGATCCATTGAGTGATCCATCCAGCGGGACTGATGCCCGTTTCGGACACGCCTAGAAATACAAGCGGTACGGCTTACGAAACACCCCACTTTTTGTCCATCGACAAAGAAAGCCCCGAACGACCAAGCAGTCCGAGACGCGCCTTGGCAAGAAAAGAACCCTAAATGCTTCGCGCCGAGTATAGCACAGGCCAGCCAGTCCTAAGAACATCGAAATCATGATATTCCCCAATTTTGCGCCCTGCCTTTCTATCTTGGCTTTCCTGTGTGCGTCGGCTTCAGCGCTGCCTCAGGGCCTGACGCTTCAGGATTTGGCCTACCACGACGACCAATCTCCCCAGAAGCTGCTCGCTGGCCACGCGAGCAGATCACGAAAGGTGCGACAGAATGGCGACGTATGTGATGCGGGATCAGCTCAATGGACTGGAACTGTGCCATTAGGAGTAGGAAGAGACATGTTCTACTGTCAGTATAATGTTGCTATTCTTCTTTGCTCGTTTTGGAAGATCCATCGCTGACACTGTAGCGTAGGGTATTTCGAAAGCCGTGCTGAACCTGAGAACGCTCCCTTAATCGTATGGCTAAATGGGTATGAAGACGAACGATGATGGGAGACTCCTCGTGGGCCTTTGATCGTGCTAATCCGCGATGGCAGCGGCCCTGGCGCCTCCTCCATGGTGGGAGCCTTGTTCGAGATTGGGCCTTGTTCCGTTTCTTCTGACGGGCAGACAACGACGCGAAATCCAGACAGTTGGACCAATTTCGCCAACATGCTCTTCGTCGAGTATCACTTCCTCAACTTCTCGGCCTCCAAATCGAGTGCTCACTTCACTAACCATTTGCTCTAGTCAACCTATCGGAGTCGGACTGTCGACCACCAACGACTCTAGCCTCTGGCCTGACGACCTACTTGAAGGAGGTGTCGATTTCCTCCGATTCTTGGAGGGCTTCCTTAAAGACCTTTTCCCACACCTCAGCCGAAACCCTATCCACTTTGTTGGCGAGTCTTTCGGTGGTAAGTATGTCCCAGTATATGCCGCCATGTCAAGACGCCGGGCAGCATCTGTCATTCTGGTGGACCCCCTGATCGACCTTGCCTACAGCTCCCTTGGGCTATACGAGCACTTTTGCCCCACCGATGCCGACGAGGCCTTCCTCGTAAAACGGGATGCTCCCGGAAACTTCAACAAGACTGTGTGCGAGGACATCGAGCGTCAGTCACCCGCGTGCGAGAAGGATGGGCAGGCGTGCCGAGATACGTACGACGGGTCTCATTGCGACAGGGCCGTGGAAAGTTGCACGGCCTTGTTCGAGTATTTCGAGCGGGAGGTGGTCCCGGGCGGGCGTCATCCTTACGATGACAGATTACGCTGCACGGAGCCGCCGCTTTGTGGAAATATGGGTAAGTGTTGGCCCACTCGACTGGTCCAGGACCAGGCACATTTTTTCCCCTTGCGCCAATGGTAACATGGGCTTTTGTAGGCATGGATGAGGTGGAAACCTACCTGAATCTTCCCCGTGTCCAGACGGCTTTGGGATTCAAGGAGCCGGTCAAGTATGAGGCAGTCAATATGGATTTAAATGGCAAGTGGTCATCCCAGACGGACATATCGGTGCCGTCCACTAGGAAATCGCTTTGCTTCTCGACTCGAAGCATACGCCGGTCCTGTTCATCAATGGAAATAATGATGTAGTTTGGTAAGTCACTCTGTGTTCACCCTGGGGATAAACTCCACCCCAGAGCCTGGGGATCAATGCATTCATGAGATGCTAAATGGAAATAGCAACACCGAAGGTCTCATACGGGCCCTGAACAACCTTCAGTGGAGCCATCAAGCCGGTTTCCGAGCTCAGAGCCTCCGGGAGTATCGGTATGAGGCAAAGGGTGGCCAAAAGGTTCGAGGAGGCGATTTCAAGACAAGAGGAAACCTCACCTTGGTCACTGTGGATGAGGCGGGTCATATGAGTCCCCATGACCATCCAGCTGCCGTGGCCCATGTCATGCAAAGGTGGTTAAAGGGGAGAGCCTATAAATATCTGACATTGCCAAATTAGACCGCGAGGTAATTATAGAGGGCGGGCTATATTGTGATGAGTTGGAAACGACGAAAACTTGAATATCATAATACGGTTGCCAAGGTCGCGTGGAGGGTACCGAAGTGTCGAGCGGCGCTGTGAGGAATGAATTTAACTACTCATTTGCACCGACTACGCTTGGCCTTTTCTACGGCTAGGTGCTTTCTTCGCTGGGAGCTATTTCGTAGAGTGGCTGTGGGATAGAATAGCTGTATGGCTATCTAGAAGCCCTCGGGCTCGTGGATACGTTATTGCATATCCATGTCGTCAACTGCTGCCCTTTTGTAGTGGAATTGGAGATGGCCAAGAACAGAGAAGGGAGGGTCGAGGATTTTCTGGAACGGTGGGAAGCACACATCCACTCCACGGACAATTTGTGACGAATCAAGCCAGGCTTGACGTCGGTAGTAATAACGAAAATAGATTGCACCCTACCCCTGTCAATCTCTGTTCCCCTTTGCGACGCGGTGAGGACTTTCTGCAGGTGTAGAAGAGACCGGGGATAATTAAAAACCAAGGACACCTCCCCGGTAGAGCGAGTGGCGAGCAGGAATGGGGCCGCCTCCCGATAGATTGATCCGTCCGGGATATTTGACGTCTCGGTCTGGCTCGGTGCCTTTGTGCGCCGCGTCATTGAAAGGTAAGCTCCCGATCCAGGGTTACATGTATTGTTTGAAGTAGGTGGTCTAGTTGGTTTGTTATTGGATTGCCCTTTTTCTCGCCTGGGAATGGAGCAAGGCCGGTAAGGGACCCAGCGCGATGACTTTCCATTGAACGTATATAAGTGAGGGCTCTCCCACGCCTTCTTTGAATCATCACCATCACGTCTCTCCTCCAACCCTTATACCGTTTTAACACTACTACCTAGCGTTCCACTCCGTATACCATGTTGTTCTCTATTGTTGCCCTCCTCGCCGCCGGCGCGTCGGCCGTCCCCTCGAAACTCAAGTTCTTCCCTCGCCAAAATGAAAGCTATATCCCTTGCTCAGGCCTCTATAGTAACGCTCTATGCTGCGCTACAGACGTCCCGGCGTCGCCGACCTTGACTGCGGTGATCGTGTGTTCCCCCAACATTCCGCCCAGAGGATCTCTACTCTCATGAGGCAGAAGAACGTGTTGGTCTGGCTAGTCCTGGGATGCAAGCTAACCTTTCCTCCTTATTTAGCGCCTTCTCTTCCTACCAGTGCAGACTTGTTCAGTCAGATCTGCTCCGAAATTGGACAGCGTGCTCGATGCTGCGCTCTGCCTCTGGTAAGCGGTACCCATTTCGTTTACGCCATATCAGTACTAATATACGGGATTTACCGTCCCCCTTTCTAGCTTGAGCAAGGCATCCTTTGCAATACTCCTACGGGTGTTCAGGACTAAGATATACATCAAGCCTGGGTGAATCGGCCGTGGGATTCTCCGAGAAGTATCTATTTTCTAGATTAGATTGCTTCACTGTCGCCCGTTGATATTTATATGATAATGTAGAAGGGTTAAGCTTGCTTTTAGAGCTCTAAAATATTATGTCTGAGATCTTTCAAGATCGTTAGCAGTATAAATATATATACACTTTTTTCTTTGCTGTTCTTACTAATCAGTGGACCTCAAAAGCAAGATATATCTATATACCTCAAAAGGAAGATGTATAAGGTATAGCCTTAGTTGTTAAGGATATATTTTACGCCAGATAGGATCGTACCTTCCCACAATATTCTCTTCATTATGATTCACTTAATCTTTAATAATCACGACAAAGAGAAGATTATGGAAACTAAACTGCCGTCTCTGTTCCAGCTGTTTCTACTTGCCCCTACGCTGGTAACCTAGAACATACTAGATCACCAACGAATGTGCCTACCAGATGACAACAACAGACTTTACCCAACTCGAGTGTACAATCGTGATTCTCACTTACAAGATCGCCATTATTCTCCTGGCCGCCGGTCTGGCCGTCGCTATCGTCATTATTTTCATTCTTGGCTTCCGTCTGAAGAAGATGGCGAGGCTCTCGCCAAGCCGTAGTGAGCTTTGCCAGCCTCACACCTCGATCAACTGCGCTCCTACGCCTGACAAGCCGGAATCGACCCCCGCGTCCAGGGGAAGCACTCGAATACGATCAACGGCCATGCAACCTCTGATCTGGCAGGCCAAGATTCCTCGGATTCCTCACCATCACGTGGGTTCCAATCTCTAGAAAGCTCCTTCATCTCCCAGAGCTCGGTACAATCCGACTCAAGTCTGCCTCGTCTCGGAAGGCCATCTCTCGTCTCCTTATCTCGTCTTCAGGTCGACATATCAGCCTCAGAGTCCGGCACCCAAAGCGACGAGATACCCGTAGCCACAACGCCGTCACTTCGGGAAAGCCGCCATGGCTCGCTTCCGAAATCCAGCTCAAGGCAATCATCGATCGAATCCTCGTCCTCCGGTTCTTCCCTATCGTCTTCCGCCGAGTTGGAGCTCATGCAGAAAAGCCGCTGGGCCCGGCGCCCCGAACCCCTCAGCCTTGACCTATGGCCCGACTTCGACTCGGTGGGCAAGTACGTCACGGACGCCGAGGCAGAGGGGCGGGATGTGACGAGGAGGTCTCTTACACCTTCTTTTACTATGAGCACGACGCCTTCCGAGGGGCGTGTGGATGATGCCGGAAAGTCAGAATCCAAGTCGCTTACAACACTAGCCGAGGTTTACCAGGCTAAAAGCTCAGACACAGCTAGGAAGACGACCACAATTTGAGGTTTACTGGGGGTCAACCGGACGGATGACTAGTATTCGCGTTCTTGAGGCATGAGGGCGGGATGTAAAGCCAGGTCAATAGATACAATACAAGATGTATATAACGACTACCGACTCTGGTACAGATCAGAGAAGTGAATACAAGATGAACTAAAGCTCATATACGCCGCCCCAATGAAGGTCAGGGGAAAAAGAAAAACCCAAAAAGAAAAAAAAGAAAATAGCTTCTAGATGCTAGCTAAATGCAACGAATAACAAAAGAAGAAAGAATGGCCACTGTTAGCATTCATTCCTCCCGCCCAACCCACTCTATTGCCCGTTTCGGTACTTGCGTGTGAAAGGGACAGCCTTCTTGCTGACATCGAGCGACCTCTCGGGGAGACCATCCAAGGATTTGGCGTATGTGGCCACGGAGTGGGCAATGAGCTTCGTGTTCACCTCCCAGGCGGTCATGTTCACGTTGTCCAAGTCGTCGCACAGCTGGTGGTAGCAAGGGTCATACCAGTCACCGGCAACACCGCCAAAGATCTCCTCCTCCTCCTTCGTCTTGACTCCTTCGGCACCCGTGGCGATGCCGCCACCGGGGATACCGTTCAGGATGAAAGCACTGTAATCGCTGCGGCCGTCAAAGGGGATAAAGGTGTAGTTGAGGCCCTGCTGCGTGTACCAGTCGATGTAGAGGTCGCGAAGCTCCTGCGAACCGACAGGGTTCTCCGCGTTGGTGGCGTTGTAGATTTGATAGGCAAAGTTTGGACTCGCCATCATGTCGTAGTCCATGAAGACGCGGATCTCCAGGTTCTCCTCGGGCGTGAGCTGCTCAACGTAGTAATCGGATCCAAGGAGACCCTCCTCCTCGCCGGACCACCACGCGAAGCGGACGCAGTTGTTGACCTCGAAGGCGGTGAGCTCAGTCGCCACCTGAAGGAGGGAAATGGTACCGGAACCGTCATCGTTGATGCCGGGCCCCTCGCTGACACCATCACTGTGGGCGCCGAGCATGACGCAGTTGTCCTGGTCTCCGCCCTTTGTTTGGGCAATGACGTTGGTCGTGTGGACGGTCTTGAGCTCAGCGTCCATATAGGCAATGGCGTCCAACGCCTCGCCCTTCTCGAGCGTGTCCAATACAGGCTTGCCGTCGCCGAGGGAAATGCCAAACGTCGGCACGTGGTCTGGGTGGGGATCGCCGAGAGTGCCGTGCAAAACCGCATCTTCGCTGTTGACGATGACAGCCGACACGGCACCGGCCCGACCAGCGTTCGCCGACTTTTGGCTGTAATTGCACTCGCCACGACGGATCACGACGATGCGGCCTGCAACCTCCTTGGGAAAGTCACTGGCGTCACATCCAAGGTTGTCGGCGAGCGCAAGATCAGCAAAGACGGGCTCCTGTCCTTGGTCGAGGGAGTGTACCGGAAGGGTGTTGTGGAGTTGGGGACCAGTTGGCCGAGGACGAGTCGGTAGTTGTTCACGTCGCTGATGATGGCGGGGAACACTTGGTTGGAGACGTCGTAGTAGTCCCGTACGCCATCGCGCCCGAGGACTTTGTGGATGTATTCAAGAGTTCCAGCGTGGCCTATAGCGTACGATGTTCAAAATTAGCTCCTCGCGTTCAAGACTATCCGGGACAAGTAGGGTGGCGGGCTGAGGAGTGCCGATCATGATAACGGTGAGGGGATAAACGCACCTTCGCTTCCAATGACCCTTGTGGGATGGTTGTACTCGTCCTCGGATCGCTTCGCAATCTTGTACAGATCCTTTGCCATGTCAAAGAGTTTGTCCGCGTCAACAGTTGCCTGAAGAGCCTCGGAATCAATCTCCTTCCTTGAGCCCACAACAGCCGGGGAGGCTTTGTCGGCGATTTGCCCATCACCAAGGGGGATCTGAGCAATGTACGATCCCGCAACTAGCCCAGCCGTGCTGGCTATGGACAGGAAGCTCTTCATTTTGGTGTAGGGATCTCGTCGCTCGTCAAGGAGGCGCTCAGCTTCGAAAGGGGAGGGTCGAGGAGGAGGCGGGAGGGGCCGAGGTTGTTATTGTGATGGTTGGGAGGACGACGGAGGGATGTTGATCGCGAGATAGCAAGCTGAGTCGAGTTGTATTCGCAGGCCGGTCCCTGTATGGAGTGGAAGAAGCGTGCAGGCAGCTGAGAAAACGAAGGCGCTTGACTAAATCGACAAGAGAGAGAGAGCTCTGCTGGGAATGGGGTGTATGAGTCGACGGTCTTGTCGGCTGGGGACGGGAGCTTCCTACGTTTTGAGGGTGGTCCGTGGGACTAAAACCATCACATGACAAGCTAATTGCCGTTTTCGGAGTGGTTTCGCCAGGGCACCTCGCCAATGACGACAACCCACCGCAACCCGTCAGGAACGGCACTCAATCCACTGGAGCAGGGGAGAGACACAGCCGCAAGGCACCGTCGTCAATCGCCAATCACTCGTGGTGAGCCTGCCCAAATCGGGACGCCAGAACGAAGCTAGCGGGAGCCGTCAAACAACGTCGGGAAATCCTTCAAGATCGTTTGCCCGGCCTCTAATACAAGTAGTTCTCTTTTTCCTTTTCCTTTCAGGGACTGGAGCATACGAAGTATTTACGCAAAAGCGCAAAAGACACATAGAAACAGGTTTCCTCACCAAGCGCACCATAATTCGGAACTTGCAACCAACCACAACAATTTTGCTGTTATCGATATTAAATGCTAGATTCACCAAGCTCAGAAACATCTAGGTAGAGATAAGACATCCCATCCCGTTCCCGTACACGAATCAAGTACAATGTCACATTTTTGTTACCTTGGACCTCGCACTGGATGAAATAGTGTGGGTCCCTCCAGATTATGACTCGACTCTTGCCGGCCAGCAAGGTAATAATTGAAGGTTATTAATGCAAGAGATCAATTAAGCCAATCGAAAAATGTGGAACTACGCGAGTACTGTACTTTCACATAGCGAGAGCCGCGGTTGAGAATCTGCAGCTTAAAAGTTTCAAGAACACATAGCCCGAGACCTCGGAAGAAATAGACTTTCTAGGGCCGTAAGTTGAACTTGGTTTCGCAGAAGATAGAAAGGCAGCAGAGTCCAACAAGTTGCCTTTGCCAGTGAATAGTGATGGGTCACGAACCTTGTCCTATCTCTGTTCTTCCAACTGTGCCTTTCCTCCGTAGCAGCTTTTGGACAATGTTTCTAACTTGACGTAGGTAGATGCTTAGGTGGGTGGGTAGGAATCTAATTTGCGGGCATCCTTATGCTAGTCTTCGTCCGGATGCCCAGTTCCTATCGAGCACTACACACTTGGTGAAGCAAGATGACACCTACCCTTGGCGCCTGCCACGAGTCACAGCGGCACACCTCCATCACCCACCTCTATCACCAACGTCACCCATCCGCTCTTTGCCTTATGGCATCAACCAGTCGCTCCTGCCGTTAAGCTATAGGACCACTTGGTCTAGTGGTACGATTCCTGTTTCGGGCCCATCATGGGAATTACAGGAGGTCCCGAGTTCGAACCTCGGAGTGGTCCAGTTACTTGTCGTACGCGTTTCTTTTTCTCCGGATCCGTATTCTTTTTCCATTGCCCAAGTCTCGAGATCATAAGGTATACCGGAGAGAGTCCCTCAACGGGTAATCTATGCATGGCTTCTTGGTTTTCTCAAACTTACTTAGTTACTACTATTAGGAAGGTTGTCTACCATGAGTTACCATTATATACACGGAAATGGGTATCGAAACCTGAACCAAGCAATACGCCCATACAACGCAAGCACCCCTGCCTACTCCGACCCTCTCAACTCCGATAATGGAAATAATCGCTTGCTTAACCAAACTAAAAACCAAGGGCAAGAGCCGATGGTGCCCATGCCGCGGCTGTAATGGGTGCGGATCCTTCATGGTCCAACGTGGTATACTCGCTGAACAAGGTACGTCTTCTCGCACCAGCAATCATATATGACTCCAGTCACCTGCCCGACAAGACAGCCTCTACGGTAACAATTACGAATCAACAATCTCTTCCTCCATGCCTCTCTCGGTCCAATAGGGGAGCCGAGAGAGAGGGCGGAACAGGACAACCAAAAAGCAAACTGGATCTGGGGATGTCGACTCACACTTGCATCCCGAGCAAAGCTGCGAGGGTAGTAACATAGGGAAATCCGACCTCGTACTGGACATCGACGTTGCGCGAAAGTATCAGCATCATGATAAAGCACAACACCGTGACGCCTAGCATGGCGACTTCGACGCTGATGTGCATTTTCCTCGAGAGATATGGCTGGTTCTGTCGGACCGAGTGTCTGTTGTTCGCCCAGACGAGAAACCACCAGGGGACGTAGATTATTGCCTACACGGGGTCGTCGTGGTTCAAGGTTAGCTGATGATGCCCACATATGCCACACCTTCATCGTGCGCATCTGTTTCCCCTTTGCATCTTCCTCTTCTTCCTCCCTTTTCTCCCTTTTCTCCCTTTTCTCCCTTTTCTCCCTCTCCCTTTGCTGAAAGAACTCACGTAGGGAATTGTGACCCAAAAGGGGCCCAAGTCGTTGAATTCGGCCCTCCCTTATCCTCATTGAGAATCTTCCAGATGGACGTATTGGCGCCGATATGCACGAATACTATGAGTATCACCATGGCCGCGGGGATGGGCAACGTCAAATTCCGGAAAATCGGCGCCACGTGTGACATGATGCGATGAGGTACGGTGTTGGGCTTCAGTCTCGGCTGTATGATTTGCGAAACCACTCTCGACTCTCGGACAGACGCCGTCGTCACCATGGTGGCCGCCGGAGCAACGGGCGCCATCTCGATGTCGGCTTCGGACGTGCCGACAGACGTCCTGGAGCGTATGCGGCTCAAACTAAAAGGAAATAGCTTATTCGGCTGGTTCGTCTCCTGGCTGGCGAGGGCATCGGCGGATGCGGGCTGTCGTCGCGAAAACATCGTGGCTACGGTGCAAATAGAATGGAGGATGGAAGGGAGATAATCGACAGTCGTTTCTGGCTGGGTTCTCGATCGTGTGGGGTTGGCTGTGGCTCGTTCTTCTTCTCTGGTTCCCAGCTCATTGACCGAACCAAAGTTCGAGCAAGGCCAGGGTAGTCACTGAGCTCGTCCTGGTTGATCGGATCCTGAGAAACCAGCCAACTCGTGCTTTTGGGTCAAATAGCACACCCCGCTTTGCCGCCCCTGCTGAGGGTCCTGTTCACAGCGATGCAGAAAAAGGCACGATGAGGCAAAAAAATTGGTGGCGCTGAACGATAAATTGATCACAAGGGGAAAACCACAATTAAAGAACAGGTAAGCTTGACGAAGCTTCGTGTTTGAAAGCAGACTTTGTTTCCCTCTTTTTTTTTTTTCCTCGTCGGAAGTCAGAAGGGTCAAAAGGACGTGCATCAGCCCTAGGCAAAGAGAGAGATCCTCTGCTCCGATCACCCCCTTCCGTCCATTGTCAGACAGAGCTGGTTTTCATTTGAGTGCCACGCCGCAGCTTTGCCTACATGGAGGCTTTACAGGGCCCTTTTTGGGCCAACGCGCAACCTCAGGGTCGGCCGGAGCACAGACGGTGGCGTAGGATAAGGGCAGGGCCACGGGTTGTATGAAACGCCGCCCGTTTTGTGCTTGCTCGGTTGGGCGTTCAGGCTAAAATGACCCTGTGGTCCCGGCGAAAACCACATCGACGTTCGAACACGACACTGAGCCCCTACCGCTTGGCTCGTCCCTCCCTTGACACCCCTGCCGTCTTGGCGACCTTTTTCAACCTTGGCTCAGAGCAATTGAAGTTTCCTCGACCAGAGCTAGTCGAGGCTTGGTCTGCAGTCTCCCGCTGGCGAATGGCACATGGTAAATAGGACGAAGGAGTCAAACCGGAGAATTTAAGCTCATTCGCATATTCTGTCCGATCCGAGCGGGTGCCGCTTGTGGACCTCTGTGGAACTCTCGACTCCGAGTCCCTGGAGGTAATTAGTTTCCACCGATTGGCTATGCTTAGAAGATCGATGAAGAGGATGGAGGGGCGATACAATAGCTCCATACCTCGGGGATCGGGAACACACGTGGTTAGATGGAACTTCCATTGCACAATTTTGAAGCTCAGAGTCAAGCTACACACAAGCAACTCAGGCTGCCGCATCTCAAGTTCAATACACGTATAATCTAGATGCTTTCATTCACTGGTAGGGCCTCAACTGGAGTATCGTTCATCGACGCTACAATCCGCGTCTCTTTTTCAACGTAAAGAGGGCATTCGTCATCAGATAAACCAAGCAAAAGCAGACTAACGAGGTGGCGATCAAGAAAATACTGGCGAATGTGGAGGGATCGCGTGCATGGGTGGTTACATGTAAGGACTACATGTAAGGGGGTCGTGTCCTCAAGACACTATGGGCATCGATGATGATAATACCTAGAGATCTCGAGGTGTCACACATTAGACAGTGGGCTCGATTGTCGAGGGTACACATTGATGACCACCACCACTACCGAGACTATTAATTGCCCTTATGCATGCCGCACATTGCATCACGCTCTCCGCATCCATATCAGCTGTTGAAATCCCTCTGCTTCTTCTCCGATTCATATAATCCATCCCCTTTCTTGCTGCGCAACCGGGAGAAACATACTAGGATGGGTCTAGATATCAATTTCCGGGCCATGACCGACTTGGTCTAGAGACTACATGTGATGTAAGAACTGACTGGGGGTTTTCGAACGAAAAGGCTGACCCATGGATCGATGCATGCACACGAAGATCGCCTGTAAGGAAGGAAGCGGAGAAAGGAAACGAAAAGTTTGGATCATTACCCCACGATCACTGCCGAAATTAGCATTTGATCTTCTCCACACGCCACGGGGCTTTATGCCGGAACCAAGAGGGGAAACACAGAAGAACGACGCAAGCGACTTAGAGTGAGGCCTGAAGGTTGGGCAGTCTCCTCTAGTTCGCACTTTTGTCGGCCCTCCGATCCTGGCAGTTCTGCGTGGCCAACAGTCTTTTTAATCAAGAAGCACTCTGGGAGTACCAAACGAGAATAAAGGCGTTACCCTCCGGATGGCGAAAAAGGCTGGTCACTTTGCCCTGTTTCTTCCATTCGCGAAGGGTAATCTCGACGGGTTGGAGTAAACGCCATTCATTCAGCCGCCATATATCTACTCCCGACTCTCGACCAGTCACATCCGCTCAATTCGCCCGCGGGGGGGAATCTTGTCAATTTACTTATTTTCGTGGGCCCGTTTTTTTATATCTCTCATTCACCTATCTGGGGGCGGGAGCGATATGATGGAGAAGGGTAGGTAGTTCAAATACTAGGCAAAGGCCACCGCGGCCTATGCTCTCCCAGACGACTTGCTACCTCTGAGCCATTTTTCTTATCGGCGGAGAGAAGCATACTTTTGTGTTTCTTCAACAGCGTTCGCTCGACCGTCACTCAACATACTTGTATCCCGCCCGGACACGAATCCAAGTCAGCACGATCATCATGCGGAGCATCCAGAACGGACTTCTCGTCCTCTGCCTCGCCTTTCCCGGCGTGTTGGGCGCCGCTATCGAGCGCCGGGCGACCGAAGTTCAGACGAGCAACCATCGACGGGCAGCTGCCATCAACTTTCCTCGGACGCTGAGCGAGGTTCAGAAGAGGGCCGTCCACGTGATCCTTGCCGACGACCGACATGGCCAGGTTGTCCATGTGATGCAAGACCCTGGTGAGGAGGAGGAGCCGGTGGAAGAGCCCGCTGACCCTCCCGCGGAGGAAGAGGAGCCCGTCGAAGAAGAGCCTGTTGAGGAGCCCGTCGAGGAAGAGCCCGTTGAAGAGGAGCCTGTTGAAGAGGAGCCTGTAGAGGAGGAGCCTGTAGAGGAGGAACCCGTCGAGGAAGAGCCCGTCGAGGAAGAGCCCGTCGAGGAAGAGCCCGTCGAGGAAGAGCCCGTCGAGGAAGAGCCTGTGGAGGAGGCCCCCGTTGAAGAACCTCCGGTAGAAGAGGAGCCTCCCGCGGAAGGCGGCCACGACCACGGTACTCCGGAACAACCCCCGGCCGAAGAGGAGCCTCCTGCTGAGGAAGAGCCCGTCGAGGAAGAGCCAGTTGAGGAAGAGCCAGTTGAGGAAGAGCCAGTTGAGGAGGAGCCCGTCGAAGAGGAGCCCGTCGAGGAGGAGCCTGTCGAAGAGGAGCCTGTCGAAGAGGAGCCTGTCGAAGAGGAGCCTGTCGAAGAGCCCCTGCGGAAGAAGAGCCCGTTGAAGAACCCCCGCCGAGGAGGAACCCGTCGAAGAGCCTCCCGTCGAAGAGGATCCTCCGGCGCCCGAAGGCCCCCAGGCACCCGACTACCCCGCCGTGACCTCGGAGAACGTTCGATGGGAAGGCAGGGGATGTCCCGCCGACATGGCGGACGCAGTCCTCTCCCCGGTCCTGTCGAACGCGGGTCTCATGAACTTTGGCCTACCTGATCTCGGCGCCCTTTACTTGGCAGATGATCCCGAGGATAGCTGGGCCGATTGTCACATCTCCATCGACATCAAGAACATCCCGGCCGGATGGCGTCTTGGCGTAGATGACGTGCAGGCCCGTGGCCATATCGTCCTTACCCTTGGTTCGCTTGCTCGGTTCAACAGCAGCCTGTGGTGGAGCGAGAGCGAGAATACTGTAAGTGGTCTTTTTTGATTTCTAACTTTTCAACGCCCACGTCTTTGCGTCCCTTGCATCGAAAGAAAAAGAAAAGTGCTTCTGAGGTCTAACCCGTTGATAATCCCAAATAGCACGAGATCAGCAAGTACTGGCCCAAGTTCGAAGGCAACCCCATCGACCAGGAATACTTCACCGATCCCCTCTTCCTGTTCCAGATCGAGGAGGAGGATAGGCCCAAGTACTGGTCGACTTGCTCGGCAGACGATGAGCCCACTTCCGGCACGCTCAACTTCAAGTTCACGCTCTCTACCGAAGTGGAGGAGGACGCTGATCCCTTGGTCTGGGTGAGCTTGGCGCAGGTGGACATCTTCACCACCCTACACCCGTGCGAGTAGTCGAAATGACGGAACGGTGGACTCTTTGTTCATAATTGACTTGTCTGGAAACTGGCCCGTTTCCAGCCATTTACAAAAACCCTTTTTAGTTTCATGAACATATATTTATTCAATTTCATCGTAAAGGTAAACGGCAAATAAATGACTAGGTCTTATCGCCGTTCCATGGCTCGTACAAAACAAAACACCTTGGTGATGATGGACTCTCAACTCCTAGATCCGGACCATATTTGGTGCGCGGTGCAAGGGTTCGTTCCTATCTCTGCTCAGCGCTGCCTCTCATATTAGAGGATTTCATGAGTGACCGTCCAGCCTCTATGTACACGGTCTCGCTGCTTCGATCGACAATCTTATCGTTGCCGAAAACATCCGTGACGTACTCTTCGAGAACCAGCGCGCTCGTACCCCCGTTTGCCGTTTCCACTCTCAACCTCGTTTCTCCCGCCGCTGCACTCACCCCTGACCTCGAGTCCTCGCCGTTTTCAAGCGCCTGGGCGTTGTGCATCTTGACGTATGAGGCAAGCCCTCTGCCCCCGCAGACGCTCCCACGGCAACACTCGCGATATCATGAAGCTCCATGTTGCACATGTAGCGCCAGCCCCTGGTTCTGCACGCCTCGACGATAAAAGCCAAGACGAACAGTGCATTTATGGCAAAGATGGCATATATATACCGAGCTTGCCCAAATACAACTGAATACCTCGTCACCGTTGCCTGAACAACCTGCTCCGAGTGTTCGGCCAAATATTTCGACTGAGCATAAGCAATCAGACTATTGTCCATGAGGTCTCCAAAGAAATCCTCTAGGCTTCGTAGCATTGTGGTTTCACCCTTGGCTTCGTTTGTCAATTGTCGTCTCAGGACTTCGAATGAATCGAGGTTCGACCTGAGAGCATGTCCCATCTGGGATCCGCTCCAGGTCCCGTCATTATAGCTGATGTAGTTGTGCTCTGCCGCCAGCTCCTCGAGAAGGTCATCGCCATATGACGGCCAGTCTGCCTTGGCGACAGGCGTGACTGTAATCATCCTCGACGTGACATTCACGCCCACTTCTAGCTCAGCTCCTTCGAACGAAAGCAGGCACTGGGCTTTGTCGAATTCAGCGAACCCATAGAGGTCGCAGTTACTGCCAACATCAGCGCACCCTGCTGCTGCCAAGGAAAACCACGTTGTCCGGTTTTCATAGGCGTTACCCCAGGTCATGATGTCGCCGGCCAACGGCGCGCTCTTTATCCAGTTGCCGCCAAAGGTTGGCCCGCTCAATGCGGATCGGCCCTCTGGGAGAGTACGTATCGTGTTAGCCTGGCAAGTCACGCCTCCGGACGTGGGCCTGCAGCTAAACGCAAAATTGGATGACGGATCCTTAGAACAGGATACAGTGGTCCGGATGCCGGGCTCACGGAACACAAAGTAGCGCGGATCAGCGACCCCGGCCAAATTCGCAATTCCAACGGATCCCCCAGCACCATGGCTGCGTCCTGAATAGGAGTATCCCGACATGTCCAATTTAGTGTGTCCTACCGAAATCTCGCTGCCGACGTCAGAAAACCTAGTCTTTGTTGACGAGAGAGAGGCGGAATAGAGCATTGCCGGACGGAGCGAGTTGATACAGTAATGGAAGCTCCCACGGGGAGAGGAATTCGAGGTGTCTCCGCTGGAATCGCGAATATTTATGCAGTGCCCCGCATAGCCATCGCTATTACCAGCCTCGGGGTTGAATAGACTATTGCCAGATAGATTGACAGCCCTGATAAGCGGGATAGAGTAGTCTGCCGTGATATTGTGCGGTACCACGAGCGGTGTTATGGCTCCAGACCATACCGCTCCCGGAATCGTCGACAGGGCGATAAAGAAGACAAGAAGAAGAGAATGCCCCCATGGTAGGTCCCAGGAAAACCTAAGGGAGTTTGCGAAGTTGACGAGTCGGAGCAGGTTTAGAGAAAACCCCGAAGTGGATGCATACTGCCGAAATGAAAGGGCAATAACGGTACCTGGATAATCCGCGTTGATTTGTTCCGAGGATGTTAGTTCCGCGGACAGTTTATAGAAACATAACGACTCGAGATTTGAGAGCAATCGTGGGTCTTACAAAGAGAGGAAACCTGTAAAAGGCCGAGAATGTGAGAAACCAGCTGCACGAAAATGGAAATGGTTGGTTTCGTGCGCGCTATTTGCAAAGCAAATTCTTCGGAACCAGCCCAGTTGCGGACATTGAGCGCCAAAACACCGAGGCTGCAAATTGTAGAGGTGAGCAGGCCCACAGCAGCGACAATCGCGGAGCTGTTTGGTGGAGTTGGCATCGTTGCGAGTATGCCTGCTCAGCTGTGGCTCCCCTTTATGGGCCTGGATCTGTCTCAAGAAATCGGAACCCTAGAATGATCGAGGCTTCGAGGACTTTGAGTGCGAGAGTTGCGGTTTTTGTGACGATTTGTAGACGTATCCCAACGGATTGCCGGTCCGCAGTGTGCACAAACATTCAGTCTTCTATCCTCATTGCAATTGGGTGGAGAAATTTTCATAAATAACTATTTACCACGATGGATGCATGGATCTCTATGCAATGCGCCTTAAGAAATAGACCAGGCTGAGGTGTGGTGTGGCATAGCCCCTCGCATGGGAGGAAACCACCGTCGGGCAGTCCTGCATGGAACGACGACGAAACCGCCATTAAGATGGGGAATCGCGAGAGGGAATCTATCACATTTACCAAGTTCAGATCCTCTTGTGCAAGCTAAACCAACTGGGATATGTGGAAGTGCAAGCTGCTGATGAGATGGGGGAGAAATACATCCATTGAATTGGACGTTGCAAAATGGGATTGAATCGAGCCACTGCTTCTTGAGGGTACAACATTGATGTTGTGAGCGATGAGAGAAAAGGGCTGAACAGAGCCTCTTCAGGCATGCAGTTGTTGTCCTAGGTGTCATCGTGGCCCTAACCGAGTAGCCCAAAGAGGTAAGGTGAGAAGTCGGTTGCTTTCAGCTCCCGTCGAAGGAGCAGGCTGCGTCATTTGACTATCTGTACACTAGCAGGCTTCGCCTTATTAAATCGTTTTGGATCACTTGCGAAGATAAAGGATCAGGACTAGGGCTAGCAGGGGTCCAGATCTTGAACCTATCATGCCCCGGATGCAGAATGCAGAATCCTACAGACAGCACTGTCCCCCTGTTCAAAATCAAGTACCTTTGTTAGTATCCGCACATGTTTATAGTAGCGTCAGTATCAACGAATCCCCTCCTCCTCTCCTAGACAATCCTTCATCGGAAAGGGTCTTGGGAACATCGGGTGAGAGCAGCTAACGAGTCAAGGACTTGACGTGATTGGGATGGCGGGGAGTTCCCGTCGTTTGCCCTTGGCATGATTATCTCTAAACTTGGGCCATGTGGCGCCAAATCCTGGGAGAAGGGTCACAGCCTGCCTGTTGTTTGTCGAGGGTCAAAAATCGGGACGAGGAAGATGGCAGCTTACAAGTGTACGCGTCCTCATGCCTCACACATGAGAAATCTACTTGCCTTGACATATTTTCCCCTGCTCCCCACGGTGACACTGCCTCCATCAAGAGCCGTGGGAGTTTTGGTTGCACCTTGGCCAAGTATTGAAGTTGGCGTGTGCTCGCGGATACACACGCAGCCAGTAGCGGAGCCACACGACTCTCACGAACCTACATGTACGCTTCGCCCGTCCGAGTCCAAGACTCGCCTGGGTGGCAGGAGAGCACCCTTGACTAGAGAATCTTCCTTGGAGGATTTCCACTCAACGCATCAAGTTAGGTATTCGTCCGAGTCCAGCTTCAGCCCTGTAGAAGCCTCGTTGGCCACAATCTACAGATGGCAACCCACAGGCCGAAGCGGGTTCACCAAGTGGGATGGCGTTGCCTCCAATGTACTACACTGAACAGGGATGGTGTCGCAGTGAGGTGGCTTGCCGGGATAGAGGGGCAGCTGAGCCGTTAGCCGTAACCGCCAAAGGCGTAGAATACTACTCACACCATCATTCCTGATTTCCTAACGCCTTTGCCACGAACACACGCTCCTTCTGATTCCATAACTCATGAACTCTGCGCAAGGGAGAACGGACGAGAAAAATCAAGTTGTTATGCTATGATATGTGCAACATCGCATCGTATTTCTGCGGGACCTCGCGGCAGCGTCGATAACCAAAGCCCAGATCGACCCTAACTTTAACAACCGGTTTATCCCCGCAGCTCGGGCTGGGCACACGCGTGGGAAGGTTCATACAAGAACATGAGGGGCGTGCTTAGGGCAGTGGTTGGCTGTCATTTATCCACTTTGCCCTGGCACTATACCTCCTGAGCAGCACAGTCTTCCTCCGCATCATTCGCCCTCGCAGACCGCTCCCTCTGAGTCGACATGTACGCACCATGTCCTTCAAAACACATTTCAGGGCGACAAGCAGAACCGAACGGAAGCCCACCTTACAGATGGAATTTCCATAATCTAGAAGAGTAACGGTCGACGTGTTCGATTCAATTCGTACTATCTGGTATCACGTTACTATGTGTTCACCTTTTTCGATGCCGTGACCCGTTGCGTGATTTACAATCCACCATGACAAGACCAGATACTTAAACGTGTAATAATCCCTCCGCCGCCTCTATCGCCGCCAGGTCCACCTTGATCGTCGCGTCATTGTATTCCGTATCATCCCGCGGCAAGTCCAACACAGACCTACTCACGTCCGCCGCCCGAATCGTGACGTCGCCCTCCGTCTCCAGCGAGAGAACGTGCCCGCCCCGCTCCCTCTTCTCGTCGATAAAATGCATATGCAGGCCCGCGACGCTGACGCCCTGCAGAAAAGCCGGCGATCGGAAGCCCACGACCGTGCCGCGGGTGTGCGTCAGCGAGTGCACCGGCTGCCGGGCGGCCAGTTCCCCCAGGCCCTCCTTTGGATGAGACTGACCCGACACCGTTCGAACTTGCACGGAGCGGAAGGCACCGTCGATGCGAAAGGCGACGAAGCTGTTGCGGCCCGTGAGGAACAGGCTGGCGATCATGGCGCCTAGCTCCCCTTGTTGGCGAGGGTGGATTTTATGGCGCTCTTGGGCCGGAACCGGGTGATCATGGCGAAGGGCACGGTGTCTACCTTGGCCGAGGCCTCGCGCGCTGTCCCGTCCGAAGAGCATCTGGTAGGCCTTGCCGTCGACGACGATGAGCTCGCCTAACATGGTCCGGAAAGTGCCGATGCCGTGATCGCCTCTGGCGAGTAGAGAGGATAGAGGGAGGCCCTTTCCGGCTACGCCCTCCATTAATGCGGAAATGACGGAGTATTGGTATAGTTTGTTCATAGTGAATAGTGAGTCTATAGGTCCATCGAGAGTAGTTGAGAGATGATTGAAAGCCTTGACATTAAACTAAAACTCTCCACCGCTTCCAACGGTGAGGTTTTATATCTTTCCAAATCTCTACTCTCGGCTGCGGGCATCCTTTATCTAGGAGGCTTATCACGACTAAGGAATGAACCCTCGTCATCACTCTATCATGTAAGTGGCCAACAATCGACCCTTTCCACGCGGCCTAGATAGTTCGAGGACCATTTGTTTTCTTTAGCTGCAATTCCCGCTCTTCTTTTGCTCCGGGATGTTTTGTCCTCGTCCTTTCTTTTCTACTTTCCCTGATCCATGGGCCCATTTCTCTACTCTATAAGATCTGATAGTGATATCATAAAGGCATGCAAGCCTTTCAGTTCGGGCTCGGCCTTTGTAAGGAACAGTTCCTCTGCGACATATACCGAGCCGTAGTGCTTCCACACTGCTTGGCCTTATGTAAAGCCTATAGTTGAGACCGTGGCAGTCAGTGATGATTCCTCTAATCTTGCACCCATCCATATCGGTGTGTGCATGTGTCTAGCATCGAAAGGTTCAAAAGCAATGTACTAAACACCAACTATACCCGCAACCTGTCATGGAATCGGAATTCGGAAGCTAGAGACCGTGGAATGTTGTGTATCAAGTTCTGCACAAGCGCCCATCTTCTCACATACATCCATCTAACTCACGAAATATGACTTGCGCGAGGAAAAGAGATATAAAAATGAAAGACAAGAGGGTGCACAAGAAGTTCCCCAGCGGTGCACTTATAGTTGATCGGGCCTGGCAAACCGATCGCCAAGAATATTCTGCGTCGACACGATCGAGGATGCCAAGGAGTGCGTGACAAGGCCCTTCACTTCTGTGAAGCCCCAACAGAGAGATATAGCTATGAGACAAGGTATTATTATTTCGCAGCATTTGGGGATTATGCTTTTGAAGAAAAGTCGACCTAGCTATGTCATGCAGGGCGAAACGCAAGTCATCGGCTGGCCCAAGCCTCCGTGGAGAGTAGATAAAGGCCATTCTAGATCAAGATCCACGTCTATCCTAACCAAACCCGATATACTTCATGACACCCCGGATCAACGGCAAATACAGGACACACAATGATGGGCCGGAAGGGTAGAAGGGGCAAGTGGCGGAGTAGTCCAATCTAGTCGTGTACTCGACATGCATGAATATAGCTGTCTTCAGGCCCAGGTAGAGAAAGGTTGGAAACTTAGGCATGGATACAGAGATCCCGAAGTCGGATCGGTGTAACTCCTCGTGGACCTATTGGGGCATCATATCAGAATGCATTTTCAGGTCTTCCTTTTGGTTTGCATCGGTTAGAAATCTTCACGAATGGGCTCATGAGATCCACCTTTGTCTCTGTTATCATCAAGTTCGATAAGAAGGCGGACCAGTATCAGTGCCAATGGTAAATCTCTATTAGGAACACGGCGTGTCTCGGCAACCGACGTCGCAAGAAGTCCCGTGGCAACCAAAGGACTTGGCCACCCACAAGCACCTCAGCGCGACATCTAACGCCCGCCAATGCATGAATCAGTTGACGAAGCAGTATCTCATCCATTGAACCCCCATCAAGCTGAGGCAAGCCGACGAGGGGAACACGTGTGACCCAGATGTATGAGGGACTCGGAACAAAAGCCCCGAATCTCGGGGACGTGACGCAAAGGGCTCCATACCAGACATCACCGAAAGACCGGAGCTTCGCACGTCGTACGCCCCCACCCATAATCCTCCCGGCCGGCAACGGGCGAGTCTTTTTGCTTGCCGACCCAGAGAGACGTGCGTACACCAAGCATCTTGACTTGCCGGCCAACGAATCCTGTCTTTCCTTTATTTGCTTTTCCTCTCCCTTCCTTTCTTCTTCTTTTCCATTTTATATTTTTAGGGGGTATGTGCCCTAAGATTACATCAATTGATGTAGCTAACTTGTGTTACGTTCTATTGACGATAAGAAGGGTGCGTGCGCGATGGATTATCGTCCACCCGCCACTCGGCTTTGAATTGTGGGAAACTGTCCGCTGAAGGCATCGTTCATATAAAGTACTCTGTGCGAAAGTCAGCATTGAACTTGAGAACGCTGCGTTGGTCAACTTCAGGGTTGGCCTCCTCTCTCATGGTTGTGAGTGCTGCCTGTGCTGTGGGCTGGGTGTGGCTGAGTTGGTGCATAAGGGTACGAGACGGAGGCTGTGCTTGTCTGAATACCACCCATTCCACCCATGCGCACACTCGTGGCTGGCCGAGACCGGCAACCTGCCTAAAGAATGTCGAAATATCCCATTCAAGAACCCAATATCCTCAGCCTTCCCGAGGAAGCACAGGACGAGAGTCAAAATACGTGCGTCCAAGGACAATGCAAGTAAACAGGACGTGTGGTGGGTCTAATGCTTATTTCTAAGCTTCTGAGCTTCGAGACCCTTCTTCTCCCGCAATAGAGATGCCCCTCCCCTCAGAACCCTTACCCTCGTGGCACGCATCCGATGACTTCCTTGCCGGGCAGTCAGTTCTGGGGCCCTTTGTTCAAGGCCGCCCTCGTCAACTATGTGTGGCCCAATAGCCTCCTATGGAGTATTTCATTGTGTGTGGTGATGCTTCCCAATGACTGTGGCCGCATTGTGGGGAGCATCCCGGCCACGATAGCTACCGGCTTTGTGGACAAACTGCATCTCGGCGGTACCCCGGAACTCCAACAAGCCTTCGTGAGCCTCGGGCTCTACATCACCGCCTTCCTGCTACGCCGGCTTATCTCCTTGGCATTGAGCGCGGCGCACTTTGTGTTCGACCACTGCTGGGTGTTTTACAACCTGGCAGTTCTAGCCGGGACCTCCGCCGCCATCCTCAAGAAAGTTCTTCCGCCGACTTGGAAAAGCAGGCTACACTCCGCGTGGGTGTGGTTTGGCTACTGGCTTATATCAGGTCCCGTGAATCTAATCTATTTCACCGTGATCGCCCTGACATCGTTTCAAAGGCACGCCGTAACCACCATCGCTCATATCGTCAAGACAGCCGGCCTATACATCCTCTCCGCCCAGACCACATTCGCCCGGGTGCCGGCTCCCAAGACTTTCAACTACTCACTAGTACCCAACTTTGATCCCGCGTCCGAAATTCGTCTCCTACGGCTCCACCGCTGGCTGCCCTTTCTTCAGCTCTCCGCCGAGCTCGTCTCCTACCCTCTACACGCCGTGCCGCCGTACTATGCCATCTCCTACGTGTGGGACGATGGCCCCAAAGACCTTGACCAAATATGGCTCAATGGAATGTTGTTTTCCGTTCGGAGGAACGTGCACGATATTCTCCGAAACTGCAGCTCTGGCTTCGGACCACGGCTGATCTGGGTTGATAGCATCTGCATCAACCAGCAGGACTTGTCCGAGAAAGCCCTCAAGTTCGAGCCATGGAAGATATATATTCGAGAGCTTGCCACGTCATCGTCTGTCTCCGGGGCCCTTGGTCCGTCCCTGCGCTATCTCTCGTCACCGAGCTACAATTTTATATGCGCACCTGGGGACGCGAGGCGCTCACGAGCCACGTACATACTTTTCACGAACTTCAAGGAATAGACCCTTACCGTCGCTTGCGCATCAAGGCACTCACAAACTTGCTGAAGCATCCCTGGTTCTCCCGCGTGTGGGTAGTGCAGGAGGTCGCCTTGGCGAAAAAGGTGACCTTTTTCTATGGCGGCACCCCGTCACCTTGGACGAACTACACGGCTGGCGCGAGGTGATTTGCGACGGCCAAGTCCTCTCATCTCTGGCCACGCTGGCGGCGGACCCCGACGAAAATCTCGAGTCCACAATGTCCCCGTATCTGGGCTTCACGGGTATGACGTTCACCGTCGCTCATCGCATGGAGCGCTCCATCTTCGGGCCTCCGCAGCTGAGCCGCGTCCTCCGCGTCTTTGGAGACAAGGCGGCGACGGTGGATCGCGACAAGGCCTTTGCCCTCTTCGGCATGGCCAAGGAGAGCACGGATCCGAATCTCAAGCGCATGATTGATTACGTCCGTCCCGCGCAGGACATTATGCTCGATCTGGCCAACTACCTGCTCGACTGCGGGCAGGCGCTCGAGGTTTTCGACCTTGCCGGCCTGCAACAGCGCGGTCGGGATGCCAGTCTACCCTCGTGGGCGGTAGACTGGTCCGCCTTGCGGTCGGGGATGCCGCTGAACACGGCGTTTAACCCTCATAACCTGCAATACCACGCGGCCGCAGAGCTGAGCCCCAAAGTACGCCGAGGGGCGTCGCGGCGCAAAGTAGTGATGAGCGGCCAGCACCTTGACCGCATCACCCACATCGTCCCGCTCCCAGAGCAGAGCACCCGGCGAGCAGCGAGCTTCGAGTACCCAGGCGAGGTCCTGTCCTTTGCTAAAGCACATGCTTCCGACCCTTACCCGTACCGAGGAGACGGTGGGCAGCCCCTCGCCGAGGCCGTCTGGCGCACTCTGATCGGCGACAAGACCCACTCGGCCCGCCCCGCGCCGCCCACTTGCGGCCGTGATTTAGCCGTGATCCTTTCCACGACGCAAAATGTCGTCGCGGTGACTGGGTCCAGGTTTGGGCACTTTACGCCCCACCAGCTGCAGTCGATGCTCGGTGTGACGGAGCACGAGCAGGCCGAGATTCGGCAAGCGCTCGCCCGGTTCCAGGAGGTTGAGTTGCTCTACGACAGCAGCAAGGGCTCCAGCCCGCTTGTGTTTTGTGTGACGGCCAAGGGGTATATTGGCATGGTGCCGCAGGTGAGCCAGGTAGGGGACGATGTATGTCTCATCTACGGAAGCAATGTGCCTTATGTGTTACGGGACCTTGGCAAAAGAGGAGATGGAGTAGTCGGAGAGAGGTGTCAAGTGGTTGGGAATGCGTATATTCATGGTATGATGGACGGGGAAGGCCTCGTTCAAGATGCCGAAGCGACGTTTATACTGGAGTAACTTGCGTGTCAGTGAGCGGAGGTGCATGCTCGCCTCTTAGTGGGCTCTGACTCGCTCGTATCAGGATCTTACTACCAGGTTAGGGTCTTGTAAGCTATACGGGCTATGTGGCGGTGTGAGAGAACCCTGTGCTACGGCGGAATCTTCTGGAAGTTAGGCCGCTTTCGATTCATTCGTCCATCGGCAAATTTTATTTGAGAGCAAAAGCTTTTTCTTTTGTACATAGTCTTGACAACTGCCGCCAGCAAGGTCCTCGGCGGCTAATAAAAGTAACAAGAGAAGAACGTGTATGGGCCACATGGCTCCAGGGAGTACAAGACTATCAGAAGCGAGCGTTAATTATCATGCAAAAGCCACACAGTCCTCGGGAAACGGTACATGGGTTGAGTGAGAGGTATTTTGTGTAATTTTTCCCCGTTGCTGGGGGGCGGACTTTTAAGTATTACTGCCGGCCGTTCCGAGCTTACTCTTGGCGAGGGCTTGGCAATGCTACCTGCCCTAGGAGGAAGGGAACGGCAGCAACCGTAATTTGATGCGCAGTGGGCAGATTCTGCGATGAATGTACATCTTCGTAATCGATATCACGACGCGAGGCCCTGTCGAGGTTTTACTCGAGGCGTCGTGGGGTTAAGAATTCCCGCTCCCGTTGCTGAAGTACTGGTCCGGGTTCACCTCGCGGAAGAGTCCTGTCGAAAGTGGGAGGGATCTATAGTAGGACTGAGCCACCCACGGATCCATCGATCCATGTCTTGGCATTCTCACAGAGCCTGAATTACATGTATGCAAAATGAACGACAAAGTGTAGACTGGACTCCTAGGTGGCTTCTAATGCGCCACGCAGTCATCTTCCGGGCTTGTCGTGATCTGGCTGTTTCAAGGTCGATATTTAAGGAAGCAGAGGTTCCGTCGGCTAACACGTCATATCCCCTGCCTTAAAATTATTGGCAAAATGTATCGGTGTTTGCCCTCGTATGCCTTTCAGCACTAAACCTTCACATCGTGTATATAAACGCCTGGTTCATCCTGTTAAATTATCACAAAATAGACTACTATCTAAGTTAACGCGCTAGCCCTCATCATTGTTAGTCATCGCGTCCCGGTGCCACTCCCGCCCGGGGCCGAGGTTTCCCCACCCGAACCTGGAATCCGGATCGTCCGGCCCTTCGTCTCCACTTTTTCGACCACCTTGGCACTTCACACGGACCGTTTTCTCCTGAGCAAGTTCTTCGCTCACACCAGCTGCCGTCATGCCAGCTAAGCAACTCGTAAGTAGTACCTTGACACGTCCCTGTAGTCCGCGACTTAATCGGGACTCGAAATATGCCATAAAATAGCCGTATAGGTTGAAGTCGAGCGAGGACCGGGGCTGACGACCCACCGCGTCGAGGTCGATGACGAGATAGACGTGTGGACCCAGACCATCCAGCGCAGCTTCTAGGACTTGGAACCACTCGCGCTCTGTCTTCGCCGACATCACTTGTTTGCAGCTCAAAGCCATCCCCTTTTCGGAACGCAAGGTGGGATTCTGGCTAATAGCTTGTGCGCTGAGATGCTCAAGTAGCTCAACCGGCGTCATACGCACCCCTTCCTCTTCCGTAGCACGAGGGCTCTTAAGCACCCAAAGAACGGGAACTTGGGCCGTCTGGAGCTGTTCTATGACGCCAATCGCAAAATCTCTCACAACTAGTCGCGACTGGAAAGAGCCTTTGACAAGAGTCATATCAGAGCCGGCGTCGTGAGACCATTTCCTCAGACGCGGAGAATTCCAGAAATTATTTGTCGTAATTTGTTGGCTTGAGCGCGCCCTTCGGCTCTTAATTGATTGACAAACGGTGTAGATCTGTTCTTGATCCCTGGTGATTCGTGATGTCGCATACGTTAATATCTGGCTGTGCTGAAGATCCGACAGCGCGTGGTTGGTGTCCAGAAATGCGCTTGACAACACTCCCTCAATGCCTGCCAGCCTATCCTCCATATTTCTAACGGTTTGATGAAGGCCACTTGGGCCCAATACTTTACTCTCCACACGGTCTACCCCAAGCTGACACCGTGTACTATTTCGAAAATCTCGGCTCCCTGCACATGCATATCTCGGATTTCCTTCCATCCGCACGATGCGGTTAACTTTTCTACTGCCTCTGAGCATTCCTCTATTTTGTGCACTATATCGCCGTATCGAAGCTCTGGCGGCCGTGTCACGCTATGCAGTATTCGCCGCCATGCTCCCTCGCGATACCAGCTATGCGCTCTCACGAAAAAGCGGATGAGGTATGCGTAGAGGATGGAAACCGCCCGCTTCATCGCAGGTGTCGGATATAAATCTATGCTCATTTCGACTCGAGGTAGGACTTGGGCAATGCGGACAATAGCATCGATTATTATGGTCGCGGTGTTCTCGTGGTTCAGGAAAGCCTAGGCTCTCGCAAGACCCTAAGATTTTAGCAGGAGCAAAGAACTAGATGTGAATCATGACATGTCAAAAAGACGTGTTGAACGAAGGGGTTGGGCAGCACCGACTGTCAGTACTAGACGAAATGCGCCCCAGGCTAGGGCCACGTATTCGGGGTGATGTTGGGCAAGACTATCAAAAACCTTCGAATAGTACTGGAGCACGCTGGCGGCGCCATGGAGGCGAGATCTCAACTTTGGCCATCGTCGATAGGCTGTATTCTCGTCATCTGTCTTTTTCAAAAGGTCCTGAATGTCTTGTAATTTTGTAGTGCTTTCCACCAATGAACATTTTCGAGCATCCGAAGTGAGATTGGCCTTGAAGTAGAGAACAGCGTCACGGTAGACCTGTGTTGCAAGATCCGCATCCTGGCTGGTTCCGCCCCTTGGGTAGCAAAATTAGTACATGCACGGATTCATGTTTTAGGGAAGTCCATCTATTCGGCGAGTTAAGAAATGGCATACTTAGCAGTTATGATAGCAGGAGAGAGGCCCTCGTCCATATTAAAGGTAGGTCGGTCTTGAGTCCTGGGGGCGGAGAAGAGACCTCCGCGATTCAAAGCAAGATCGGGATCCAAGCAGGGCTCGGTTTGCTGCCTTAAGGGTATCATCTGCAATAAAGCGGGCAGGCTCCGGTGCGTGGTGGGCGTGGCCAGTGCCTCCTTCGCCTCACAACCCCCACGAATTGTAAATCCGGGGCGGACTCAGATGTGGCTGTCGGCGGCTAAGTGACGGATGTGATTTGACCGACTGACCTGTCACACCAGCTCGCCTCAAATATCGGCGGGGTCATCTCGGCCAGCGAAGTTGGTACCCAACTGCCTCAGCCCAAGCACTAGAGAAGTCCACGAGCATTATCACTCATTCATGCTCATTTAAACGGGAAGATCCGTCAATTAACTCGCGACCGAGACCAGAAAGTCCACGTCCACGTCACTATCAGATGAGAATCTTTCCCAGAAGAAGAGGCGCCACCTTGGCCATGGCTGGAAAGTCTGGAGATGATCAGAAGTCTGAGGATGATCAGGAGTCTGGAGATCATCAGGAGTCTGGGGATGACCAGGAGTCTGGAGATGATCAGAAGTCGGGGTTTTATGAGCATCACACGATCTCGCAAGATATCTCTCGACAAAGTGGCCACGGCCAAGCCTTACTACAGGCCTTGCGATCTAGAGAGTCGGCCAACGTAGAAATAAGTCGAGCTGACTTTGGTCAATTGCAGGAGGAAGATCGATTAAGGCCCCGAAAGTCAGTTTTCCCAAGAAATGCACAGCGAGCTCCCCGGCAACCCGCACCACCGCCGGGTTTCCCTTTTCCAGCGCCCCCAACTCCCTCGACTTCCCTCTCCCATCCAGCACCGGGTCAGTATTTCCGCTTCTCTTCAATTAAATTCGATTGTTTCCGTGGAATCTATTGGGCAGTCTGATCTAATGGTAATACGGCAGGATGTCGATGGGGTGACTACAATGACGGCATCTCCAGTGGGGCCGATAGAACCGGGTAACGAGGGCAAGAACGGAGAAGCAGAAGCGAGCATGCGCGATCAACTGAGGGCAGAGATAATCGAACTTAAGAGAGAGAACGAGATCCTAAAGCTGCGACTCGCCGAACACAATCTCATCATTCCAACCTGGTTAGTTGTTCATCGAATCCAGGAATCGTTTCAGGAGATGCTTTATCTCGACGAGCCCACCTGGGTTGTTGAAAACCGCAAACGCGTCTTCAAAGGCCAGGTTCCCATTCGTGACCCACTCCTATATGCTTCATGCAGATCGAATATTGCCTTCATGGTCACAAAAACCTACTCTTTTCAGCCCACTACCGGCAGGCCTCAGAACCATTGTGAGGCGGCCTGCACGACAGAAAATATTCAGTTCATATCGGCTGAAATGAAAACCGCCTTTTCTACGTTTGTTGAGAATCAACCCAATTTCTATCGTGACTTCCCAGACTACAATGGAAGAAACGAGCTCAAATCGCCATACCTCGCCTGGTATCGCTACAGGAACAATTCAATCAGCGGCCTGCAGCAGAAAAATGAAGATCTGATCACGCTCCTCGGTTCATACGTCGAACTATCTTATGGTGATGAGTATAGGAGCGTCGACGAAATGTTTGATCGCGGGATGGTGTCCCGGCGAGCGTGTAAATATCTCATCCGCCCTGGCGATGTGCTGATCGACCGGAACCATAATCCGCCCCAGGCGTCGGTGGCCAGTTCGTGGACAAGACTAGTGCCAAGGAACACCAGATTTGAGGATAAATTGGACAGTGATTGGGCCGAGACTGACCTCATGCACCTTGAACTTGAACCCACTGACGAGGATCCCACTTGGGCGGTCAAATCATGGTTTTGGAACTACCAAGAGAAATTCTTCAAAAGAGCGGTCCGGTTCAACCTCAAGATTGGGAAAAAGGCCGACGGGATCGATGATGAAGTCCCAATCCAGAGCCTCGAGGTGCTGCCACTAAGATTTGCAGATGAGGAGACGAGACTAATGTTCGAGGCTCGGGGGCGGATGTACTGGACCTTCCGCAATAAGAAAGTAGTCTCTTATGAGGGAAGAATAATGGGGGAACTGAAAACAGTGAGTTACAATCGACGGCCTTGATCCCTTTTAAGCTCGCTTTGTAGTGCGCGAGAGCTGACGCGAGATGGCCCTGGAATGACAGAAAAATGATAAATTCATGGTTGATTTGGAAACATATCATCGGCTCCACTCGCAGTCCTCAATCTTGCGGGAGCGTAATGAAGAGTTGATGGCTTCGGAGATGCTGCAGAACGAAGAGCCTCCTGGTGCACCAGATATCTATGTGTTCCCGAAAACGATCCTAGCCTACAATTTCCATCGAAAAAATGGGGTAAGTGAAGTTCTTTACCCCTGATTTCATCCGTGGTCTAAGAATACGTCTACTGACACGCAAGGTAAACTTCGGCCAACTTAGTGGATCTAGAAGTAGATCATGTTAGAGACGTTCAATGGAACAAGAAAGCTTTCCAGAATCTGGTTCTAGATGAAGACACCAAAGACATCGTACAAGCTTTAGTAACAAACAAGATCGTGGCGGAGCGGGGGACAGATCTTATCGACAACAAAGGAAACGGCCTGATCCTCCTTCTCCATGGGAGCCCTGGCACAGGAAAGACCTTTACGGCAGAGAGCGTCGCGGAGCTAGCGGAGAAACCACTGTACCCCGTCACATGCGGTGATGTGGGAACTGATCCGACCCAAGTCGAAAAATACCTCGAGTCCGTGTTCCACTTGGGGAAAATCTGGGGCTGTGTGGTGCTCTTGGATGAGGCCGACGTGTTCCTAGAACAACGCACACTCAACGACCTAGAGAGAAACGCGCTCGTTTCCGTATTTTTGCGCTGCCTCGAGTATTATGAGGGCATCCTCGTCCTGACGTCGAACCGGGTTGGCACCTTTGATGAGGCGTTCAAGTCGCGCATTCACTTAGCACTTCACTATGAAGAGCTAGGTGAGCCTCAGAGGAAACAAATCTGGAAAAACCTTTTCGCGAGGCTCCGAGATCTAGGGGAGCCGGACATTAACTTTGAGGACGTGGAAGAATACTACGACGAACTCGCGCAAACCCAACTGAATGGGAGACAGATCCGCAATGCCATTACAATCGCGAGGCAGTTGGCCCTCTTCAAGGGGGCGAAGATGATTAGTGCGCACTTGAAACGCTCCATCAGGATCTCCAGTAAGTTTGATACGTATCTCAACAAGGTCAAGGATGGTGTGTCCGACGAACAAATTGCACGCGACGAGGGTTGGAGATAAGACTCGAAGGGTATATTGAATGAAGTGAGCCATTCTTAGGCTTGGTCAGATTGTTTGGGGGTAATATCTTTAGTTGAACAGGATGTGTCAAGGTTTAGTCTAAGTGTGTTAGCAATTGATATTATGCACCATACATTCATTGCATCCACGGATGTGATTTGCATATGCATCCAACTCGACCTATTGATGTTGCCGCCCCAATATTCGAAGTTGTCTGCCACTTAGCTCAACCTCGAGTTGACGGGGTTCTAGAAATAGCCCCACCCCATTATAGGCGGCATTAAGAAGGTTGAAACCAGCGCTTCTCGAGCTGAGAGAAAGCTCAAGTCGTATAGTGGTTAGTACGTCACGTTGTGGCCGTGAAAACGGAGGTTCGATTCCTCCCTTGGGCAACAATCCAGTTTTTTTCTTTTGATCGTACCCTTATTTTGAACTCCCTGGACATTTTTACAGTTGGAAACCTGCCCGTTGGGCTCGGCATGGGAATGGTAAAGAAGCGCACACTAGACTGATATCATTTAAACTCGGCTATCAGATAAACCCCGTCCTCGACACCCACTCCAACAATGCATACGCTTCCATCCCGTACATGTAATCCATAGCTACTACTTACAGCGCGCCGAAGAACTATATCTTTCTTTCGTCACGGTGGCTGACTAACAGTGAGTACAGCAGAGAATAGAAATTTAATATGGTGGTTTGTTTTGTATCGGGGGCCCGATAGCAGCCCGGTTTAGGTGGTCAAGGGTTTAGCAGTTGTCACCCCTGACGATAACGTTCCATGTCCCATCAAAAGAGAAAATCTGCAAGTTTTGTTTTAGCGACTCCATCCGGCCATGAACACGGGGCATATTGAAGAAAATTACCTGTCCGTTTGTGCGGTAGTCATAGTTACCATTGGTACGGCGAGGAGCCGGGGATCGTAAAACCAATGCTTGCAGTTGTTGTGAATCCCAGCCGCATTGCTTAGAGAACGGTGTTAGCGAGGCATGAGTGCGAGATCTGGAGGGCGAAACACTTACTCGGCCACATGTTTACAAGGAACCGTGATCGGCACGGTACGATCGTTGCAGAGATAGATGGCAGAACCCCATGAGCAACTGGTCCGGCTGCAGCCACCCCAACCGGCCGGGGCCCCGCATCCCCGTTACCGATTCCCTGATAAGTCGAACGCGTCAGCTTGTGTCTGGCAGATATCCGGATTGCTGGGGGTTACAAAGCACTTACGTAGAGGTAATCGATGCCGGTTAGGACGAAGAGGGGATCTGCACTCGATCCAACATCGCAGTTAAGGCTCTACACGAGTGTTCCGTTAGTAGATGCAACCAGAGACCATATTTTGCACATTTTCGGTAATGATGGAGTAATACTACCTACCGCAGTATTGATAGGGTCGCCCCGCTTTTGAACCTGGGAGACAGCTCGGCGAGACATTTGCTTCCAGTCCTTGACGCCAAGTTCATCGTCATAGTTGGGGTTGATGGCGATGATCTGGTTATAAATTTCCTAGAAGAAAAATACCAATGTGAGAATCCGGGTCTTGTGTAGCAACACTGCCGTGGAACTAGATGGATCGCTCTCAAGGAACGCCAGAGCTATCACAGACTTAGACTTACCTCGGCGGAGCCAGTTAGGGTGATAATGTCTCCCCCAACCTCGACTTGACCCGTCCACTCAAGTGGTGCAATAGGACCCTTTACCGCTATCTCATCTGTAACATCTAGCGGCGCTGCCTACATGGATTCGAAGAAGACAAGTTAGCCCTGACGCAAAGATGATGAGGCATTGAGTTGCTTGACTCGCGACCTCGTGCGCGTATAGCGGGTGACTCACAGCAGCGGAGACTGCGCTCAGCAACAAGGCGTAGATGGAGAACTTCATGGTTAAGGATTGGGTATCGAAGACTTGAGAACTGCTTGAGCTTGAGGATCTAAGGCGTACTCTGAGGATCTGAAGAGAGATGTTGAGATTTTTCTCTTCAAAGGTGATGGCCAACCTTATATAGAGACCCCCTCTCACTCTGGAATCGGCTAACAACAGAGTTGAGGTCCCGAATGGTTCTCTCACGGCCGCGAGAGACTGAACAACATTGCAGACTTTCTGCCTTGCCATTGCCCGATTCAACAACGATGGGCGTCTCTTCGTGTAACGCTACCTAAGAATGGGAGTCTTCATCGTCTATGCCCATGTTCCACAATTCACCACAAGTCCGAACGCCGGGCTCGGGCATCTCCCGCTCTGCTTATCGCCGCGAGTCAGCATGAACGTGGCTTAGTGTCCAAACCCAAGATTCACTCGAAAGGCGTCGATGGTGGATGCGATGCAGATACTACCCCGGTGGTGCAGGTTGGTTCACGCCGAGATAACAACAAAATATGGAGTAACCAGGAAGTCGGACGGAACCAACGGTGCGATGGGGGATGTTGCGTGGAGGAGGATTGCGACTGGCTTCTCGCGATTGGTGGATCGGTCACGCTTGCTAGCGTCCCCTTTGCCGCAGTCAGACGGCGCTGCACAGAAAATGGACATGGGTTGAGCGTTGCATTCCAAATAAAGGCGCGGGGAGGTCCGAACGAACCGCAACCAAGCCACCGGGCACCAAAAAAATATTCATTTTCGGCCTGCTCGGGGCAAGCATAGAGCCGAGTAGCCGATGAGCGTGAGCAAGGCAGAAGTGCCTCGACAAACCCCTGGTTTGGATTGCGGCGGAGGCCCTTCGCCTGCCGAAAACGACCGAATTCAGGATGCCCGATGTGACAACCATGATATTTCCTAAGCTATCCCCTGCCCACGGGATCTGATAAGGTGAGAGGGGGCGAATTATTCCAATTCTATCGTGTAAATCGCCATCCCCGTTGCGCCCTCCTCACTCTTCTAATCTTTTCCCCGTTCTATCTTATTTTTTCCCTCGAATCCACCTTATTGCAGTATTTAGGCTACAAAATGCGTTTCTTGAATGCCTTGAAAGGATATGAGCGCCTCGTGGTTGATAAAGGGCGTCCAGATGATGAGGCAGACGCTGAGCAGCTCCACGGATCGAACCAAAGTCCTAAAAACGCAGCACTACGCCGCGCAACCATCGCAGCAAATGTCGGACTTTTCATTTGTTCGATACTCATTCTCTGTTACACGCGATTAACAAATTTCAAGTCGCAAGACATGAACAGAGTATTCAAAGACTCATCCTTTTATTGTACGTCGTCCCTCTTCGCCGTTACTTGATGAGTCGAGCATTTAGAGCATTTCCTAATAACAGCCCTAGCGCCGATATTCGACGTCGTGAATCTCAACGCTTCGTCCACAGTCATCAATGGGCGCTTCCGGGACCGCGAGTCTATATGGCGCCAGGCTCCATCTCCCGAGGTTGACGCCGCTTGGAACCGTGCTGCGGCAGAGGGGTTCGAGCTGGTCGGCGTGTCTCGGGACGATGTCATCAAGTCCAACAAAGACCCCGATTCCTGTGTGCAGATACCGTCGAGCTGGGGCGAGCAGCTTGGCGATAACAACTACCTGGCCCAGATTGACGTCTTTCACCAAATACATTGCCTTGACATGATTCGGAGAGAAGCCTTCTCAGACCACTACTTCAAGGACACTATACGCGATGAGCGACGCACTAGTCATCTGACTCACTGTCTGCACATTGTGCTACAAAACCTCATGTGCACCGCCGATGTGGGCATAATCACTCACAACTGGATACGGAACGAACGATATCCAACGGAACCGAAGACCCGTCCTTTTGAGGACTTTAACATAGTCAAGAAGTGCAGAAACTTTGATGCTCTCCTAGACTGGACCGAGGCCCACGCTATAAAGCACCCGGACACGAGGTATGCACAGCTTCAGTGGAAGCCAGGTATGAAGATCACGCCTGGTGATGGATACGGGCCCGAGTCACCAACAGAAACCAATGAGACAGCGCGGTAGTGGGAACGGATTGGACAGATCAGTGATGGGATCGATTAGCCTTTGTCCAGTTTACAAGTAGCGTACGAGAGTATTATAGTCCTGGAGGACGGCATGTGTATTCAAGAAAGATTAGAACTAGATTATGGTGACTGGGGGCGGATAAGGGCTTTAAACGCTCTGCCAGCCCAAATAATAATATCATGTGTTAATACAGAGTCACCTCATTATGAATATAGCTGTGCCGTCCAAAATTCTTATTCTGGCTAAGGTACCGAGCATTTCCTACAGTTGACCTCCGCGATGCCTCGCATCAAAATCGATCCAGCATTGGATGAGTAAGACACGACGCAACAGCACCCTTCATGCAGCTAGAGACGCCACTTCTCGCCAAAGACATCTTCGCAAGGGTAGAAGCCCCAACGTCCATTAGACCCCTGTATCTAGCGAGTTTATCGGCCTACTCGACAGAAATCACAGCGGCTGCTTGGCTGAAGTGCTGTATTGGACATGCTCTCCACCAATGAGCTCTCCCATAGCCACGACGGCAGCCTACATCCTTTCCTTCCCCTTCCCCGCCGAGTCGAGCACATCGTGATGAGCGAGAACAACCCAGAATTTCGTCGACAACAATGCAATGCCGCTATGTGACCGCTGCAGCCTCCTTTCCATCGATGGACTGGTCGAACAGGACGTCCCATTCCAACCCGACATCGGAACGCTCAAGGCGTCCGCAGACCGGGGATGCGCCTTTTGCGCGCTTTGTTGGTATACCATGAGAACCTCCAACAAGTTGGCCCTCGTCGAAAACCTGCTCCGAGGCGAGTCTGCCTGGCCGGGCGACGACGCGTGGACGCCTCAGATATGGCTGCGCGGCGTCAGTTTTCACCAGCGTGGCCAGGACGGAGCTCACATCGCCGTGAGCTGTGGAAAACTGCATTGGGGACCCGAAGCCTGGAAACAGGATCCCGACTGTAACAGGACACCCACCGTGGATGGGAAGCTTGAGGTCTACGAGTATGTCCCGTCCTGTTCTTTTTCTTCTTTTTTCCCCCGATCGCAAGCAAAAAGAAAACTAACGAGATAAGGGCGGGGGCACGTCTAACCAAGTATCGCCTCCAAGGTCGAGCCTATGCCGTGGCGCCTACGTTGAATCGAAACCCAGATGGGGAAAAGTGGCACCTTGGGGCGTCTCTCAGTATGGAGTAGCGCTTGCAGGCCCGGGGTTGTTATCCCAGGGCGTAGTGAATAGTAGTGATTGGATGAGTCGGGTTGTGGCGATTGGTTTCTTCGACGTTGTTGAAGAGAGGGTCGGCGTTGATGAGGTTTGGTGTCTGCCTATCATGCGAGAGCGCGGTTTGATGCTCACGAGAAACGCGGATGGCGCATTCAGTCGCGCGGGATGGGTGCTGCTAGAAAACACGACCTGGCTCGATGGGCGAGAACAGGTTGAAGTCCGGCTCCGTTAGCTAAGAGCGGGTTGGAAATGATGAAGAGACGATGCTGCGTAAGGTGAATAGGCCCCTGTGGAGAGGAAAGCGGGTTAAGGGAAATCGAGATTATTGAGCAAAGATGTGTCTAAGTAAACAAAATAACAGTAACCCTAATTCTATGAATCCATCTTTTGTGTATGGCCGTAGAACTCCATGGCTATGAAAAATCATGATGCGGTATCATCCAAAAACAAAGACACGCCGACGAAGAGAAAAAACAAACTATTTCAAAGACCAAAGCGCCTCATGGAGGCATCAGCGAACCGATCTGAATGCTCTGGAAGGCCATCCGATACGTCCCCCTCCTTCACTCATTCAGGCTTCGTAGTGCCTGCTACTGCAGGAACTGACGGCTCGTGCTCCGCGGTACCTCGCGCCTGCGAAGCCAGTTCCTGCTGCCGCAGCTCCTCGGCGAGTTGCGCCTTTTCCTCGACCGTCAAGTCGCTCGCAGCGTTTCCAATATCCAAAAGGGAAAATGCACAGGGCGACGCCGGAGAGGCCGACGGCGACCCAGAAACCGACCTTGTAGCTTTCCCTCAGGCCCTCGTGGCTGTGCTGACCGACAGCGATGTCGGCGATGCCGAGGAAGAAGCTGATGCCCAGGAAGACGACGCTGTTGATGACGGCGCCGCCGAGGCCCTGGTAGCGGGCGGGAAGGTTGGTGGTGATGAAGACGTTGGTGACGGTGTAGGTGATGTCGATGCCGATGGTGCAGCAGATCATGGCGGGAAGACGTAGGGCCAGAAACCTACTCCGGCGGGCATGATGGCGAACAGGAGGGAACACATGGTCAAGCCGGTGCCGGCGATGATGAGGAGGATGCGGCCTGGGAGGAGGTGGAGGGTGAATCCGGCGGACATGCCGATGATGAGGCCGCCGAGAACCATGGGGATGTACCAGACGGCGGTGGTCATTGGTGTTTGGTGCATGACCAGTTCGATGCTACGAGAAGGGAAAGAGCTTTGTTAGTTTGATTACTAGTAAGAAGACGGTGGGGAGAAGGAAGAGACTGTAGGACTTACTAAAAGCTCGAGTACAGCAGGAAGACACCGAATGAACCATAGGAAAGCCATAGAGCAAAGATAAGAAGTTTCATGTGCTTGGGCGAGAAGAGCGCCGCGGGCAACAAAGGGTACTTGGAGACCCAGCCCTGGGTGTAGACGGCAGCAGCGAGAAGCAATACACCAATGATAAAAGTAGCAATGATGTGCGGCGACGCCCAGCCCTTGGGTGCCGAGGAGCTATCCGTTAGGGCGTAAACGAAGAGCACGAGTCCCGGAACAATGGTGAAGACGCCGAGCCAGTCCATCGTAACCTCGGCCGAGGCCTTTTCCGGCTCGTCCTTGGGCAGGGTCAGGAAGGAGACGAGGAAAGCACGCCGAGGACGATGGCGCCGAGCCAAAAGTACCACCTCCAGGTGAGGTACTGGCCGGCGGCGCCGCCAAGAAGAATGCCGAAGAAGAAGCCGATGGGGGCAAAAGCGCCGTAGATGCCGAAAACGAGATTCTTACGGGGCCCGGGGCGGTAGAATTTACCGAGGAGCATGATGCCGGCGGGCAGGCAGGCGGCGCAGCCGATGCCCTGCATGGCGCGGAAGACGACGAGCTGGGTGTAGTTCTTGCTGAAGCCGGCGACGAGGGACCAGACGAAGAACCAGGCCATGCCGCCGTTGAAAATGTAGTGGCCGCCGTACATGTCGCCGATGCGGCCGAGGGGTAGTAGGCAGGCGGCGGTGACGAGGGAGAAGACGCTCGAGGGCCATGTTTGGGAGTTTTTGGGGATGTCTAGGGCGATGGAGAGGGGTGGTAGCACGATGTGGAATCCGCTGACAAAGTACTCCTGATCCGGGGGAAAAAGGGCTACGTGTTAGTCGATGTTGTGCAAGGCCGGCCGGTATCCCGGGTCCCTTGTGCTCCAAGAGCCGGGTCCGGAAGGGGGAAAGGCGGGGTTCCCCGCGAAGGAAGGGGTATATGTCACTTACCGCCATGAGAATGGAACCGAGCAGGGAAAAGCAGAAGCCGAGTTCGGCCCACAGGGACTTGAAGACGGGGGCCGCTGGCGGCCAAGGACTTCTACATCGACTTGGAGGGTTGGCTCTCGCAGGTCGCTTCGGACCGGGGGTGGGTGTGTCGGCAGGGTAGTTGGCCGAGAGTGAGGGAGAGGGGGCTTCGAGATGGCCGTGGCGGGTGCACCCCGGGGCCAGCTTCATTCACCATTCCCATTTTTTGGTGTTCAGTTCGATCCCTTTGAGTGGGCAGTAATTACAAGGATGTGTGCACAAAAGCCGAAAGATAAACACAAAGGCGGCGACTAAGCGCGGAGACTGATACGCTGGACCGAATAGCAGTAAAAGGGACGGGACATGGAAATACAAGAGCAAGGGATGGGACCAAATTTATTTTTATTTCTTTACTTGATTCTTTGCATTTCCTCGACTAAGCGGCTTTTCCCAAAGTATCGGCGTTGGACCCGATTCGATTACAAATGGAAAGGGGATGAAAAATCAATGCGACGCCCCCAGCAAGGTTCGCACAACCATTCTCGGACATGGCAAAGCCAACGTTGGCCCTAAACCCAGAAGAGCCAGACATTGGAGTCCGCGGAACCCGGGGCAGGCAAATCGGACGGGGACGGGAGCGGCACCTTTTTGTCCCCTTGTCGAATAAGCTATTTTTCCCGATGAGATGAGACCAAACAGCTCCACAGAATCGCGGAATCGCTGAACCTAAACCAAGTTTGGCCTTTTTTTCCATCGGTGACAACGAAACTGAATGGATCCATCGACGGGGCTGGCACAAGCACAAGGGGATTTTTGCTCCTTCCGCAACCTCTTCCCCACGCTTGTTAAAAGGGCAAGAAGAACCGAAACGCGTCATTCGAACCTGAAGTGTTGACAGTGATGCGGCTTGACTCACTGTTCGGCGTGATGTCGAGGGATGACGTTTTTGTTTTTCCCTTTCTTCGTTTAACTCGTTTCGTAAAGGTGGTGCGGGTGGCGGCTGCACACAGTCCGCAATGTAGCCCTCGTCACAGTCGCCGCATCCAACCCTCCTAAGTTTAGCCACCTGAAATTTCAACACGGAGCGGAGCGGATCTGACGGAGCGGAGCCAAAACACGCGGGGTTTCGCACCCTTTCACCGTCCGCCCTCCGCTCCGTATCTACCCGGGCGCATCAAAGGCCCATCTCCATTCCCAGCCTGCCTATCGAGGTCAATCGATACCTAGTAAATGAAGCCGCCCTTTTTCCCATTGAGCTTGCTTCGTTCCCTAGGCTGAGGAAGCGGCTTAGGAACGACGCAGACGGTATCTGCGGAACCCCGTGTTGTGGATTGAAGATGGACACAGGTTTGCAAAAATATCCATCAATTGATTTCTCAGCTGAGGAGGTCAAGTGATGGAGAGTCTTTCATCACCTTTGAGATTCGGACGTGATCAAACGACAAGCAAGTTGATAAGTTCCCAGGATTGAATGTTATCACCGATGATCAGTATCATCGAGTCGTCCCTGAACCCGACGAAGGATAATCCCTACCCTAGAGACCCGAGTGGTTCCTCAAGCAGCCCCAAGGTGTTCATGTACATCTAGAGAGCTTCCAAAATTTGGCTGTAAAAATGGCGTGAAAACACATGGCATATGTTGAATCATGTCCTATTCGTTGATCGCCAGCTCCCGCACATTACCGTCTTTGCCAGACCACCGATCCCGGCATCTTCAATTGCTTTTGCTCCCCGGATCGTCGAGGCAAGGGCAGGTCTCCGCATAGGGCCACACGCAAAACATTCGAGATTGCTTGCATCCCGTCTCTTTACCAGGTCAATCATCTTATACGTGCAATCAATAGCAAGGCTGCCGACGAACCGGACAAACATTGGGCGTAATGGCGGATCGCGACCTGCACGCCGAGAACTTTTGGAGAATGCGACAACTCAGATCAAAGGTGCACCATTTTACGACATATTTAACGAACGCGTATGATTCCCTAAAGAAGATAAATCCATTTATCGGTATAACCTGCGTCTTAAAAGATATGAACGAAACTTATCTCAGCGAGTCATGGCAGGATGACTTTGCAAAGAAAATTGACACTGCATCATCACCCAAGGGGACCCTGTCTCAATACTCAAAAAGTCGGCCGGCAACTCTTTCTCACAAGACACGCATCAATTTAGAGTCCCTTATAAAGTAATTTCCTGACAGAAACAAGCACATACGACCATAGCTCGTAGAATATTGAGGGTCCCGTCCGCTCCCCTGTACACAAGCTGCGAAGCGCCGGACTAGTAGTTGGGTCGGTGACGACCAGCGAATCCCCGGTGTTGTATGTTTTTTGCCTTTATTTTTTTCCCTTTCTTTTTGGCCCTTCCTGTGAAGGCTTCCCATGTGGAATCTTGTCTGTCTCTACAATATTTCCAGCCAAATATAATCCTCTTCCTCTTGTAATTATCCCCCCTTTCTTATTCCTAAACCTACCAAACCCCAACTCGGCGCGCCTCGTCAATCTAAGGCGTGATACGAAAACTCGTCCACGATCCTCGTCCTCTCAATAATCGGCAACGTCACCCCCACAACCTCTCCTGCGCGCTCCGCCGCACCCTCCATCCCCGGCTCTCAATCGCCTCATCCGTCATCTGCACCGCCCTCTCCAAGTTCTCACGCGCGACCTGTGAGTCGATCCTCTCCGCAGACCAGAACACGTATCCCATCTCCCGGAGCGGATTGTACCGCAAGTCTTCCATCCGGTCGTACAGCTGATGGTAGACCTCGCGCCCCGGCCGACGGTACAGTAGGTAGCCCTCAGTCGGCCGCGGCGCGCCTCGGGCCCACGTCCAGCCCCCGCATCGTCGTTATCGTCGTCGTTGAGTACGCCCTCCTCCAAGCTCGGCGAGTGACAAAGAGCCTCGGGAAGAAAGTCCCTTCCGCCAGACACGTTGCCCTGCAGCAAATTCTTGCGCTGGTTCGCATCGCCGTTGACGAGCCGCGACGTAAACCCCAGCCCAAAGGACGCAAGGCCACTGAAAAAGGCAGGCACCCGCCTCTTCATCGCATCCCCAAAGAGGTACAAGCCCAAGAGATCGGCGCCGAACGAGACGTAGTCGTCCTTCTCCTCCTCCTCCTCGGGGTCGTCGTCGTCGTCGTCATCCTCCCGGCCCCGGCTTCTCCTCGGCCGCAGCGACGGCGAGATGGACCGCCTCCGGAGCCGCGTGCCCGCCGGCGCGAAGAAGCTGCTACCGCGACCGGTGTTTCTAACCCCCTGGCCGGCGGGCTGGGGAGCGACGCGTCGGCACCCGAACCCTTGGGCAGGAGAGCACGGCGGACACGAGCCGATTCTCCAGCTCGCGGTGGCACCCCGCCGCCAAACCCGCGAGGTAACTGTGGACGCAGCTCAGCTCCTCGACTTCGTACGGCGTCATGCGGCCCACAAACAGCCGAAACTGCTCTTCGCTCGACACGACGGAGGCGCGGCCCAACTTGGGAAACGCTCGCGCGTACAGCTCGTGGCGGAAAAAGGCCCGTTGGATGCGGGCCCTTTCCTCCGCCGCCAGAGGAGGCGGGTTTTCCGCGGCAGGACGGCCCTCGACGGCATACAGCATCTTGGAAGTTTGAGCAAAGTACCGATCCGTGAACGCGGACACCAAATTGTAGAGCCGGCAGACAAAGGAAAGCCGCACAGGGTCAGAGGGGGCTCAAATCCCCGCCCCCGCCGCCGCCGCCGCAAAATACCTTTCCAGAAAGGGCTCCAAGACAAGCAGTGGATCCCCCGGGAAAAGACACAGGGACGTAACAGAGGGCGATCGCCTCGCGAATTGCGTCGGGTGCTACAGCATTCTTCAAGACGGACAGAAAGATGGCGCCCCGTGCCAGCTCAAAGGCCCGAAAGCACGACGACGACGCCGAAATTAGTGCGTGCAAATCCCGAGGATTGTTGGTAGAGGATAGGATAAGGATTAGGAGTTCCGGCGCCAAATCACCCAGATTCGCCATCGTGAATCAAGACAACGCGTTCGTAAGTGGGATGTGCCCGATTCCACAGCAGCGCGGGGCAACGGAACGGAACGGGCCCCTGAAAAATGTTGGACAGCGACCAAACCCCGCCTACGCCCGCGCTTTACGGATCCTCAAGAATACGAAGGAAATACGGGTGCGCCGCCGAATCCGGCACGTTCACGTGATTGGATCCCGGCAACTTGAATGATCGCTGCCTCCTTCACTGATTGATCGCGAGGTGACCGAGCCGGTTCGGGGAGCAACGATTATTCCTGGAATATTGAACTAGTGTAGTCTAGATCGCAATACTGAACGTCCAACGCCCTGCCCCTTTCAGCAAGCGCACGCTCTCATCACACATTGGCGCATCCCCACTTCAGCCCTTCAAGATTGTCCTTCTCCCAAGTGGTCGGTAGCGAGTACTAAGACGCAGGCCCATCACGTTCGTGGTTCCTGCTTCGTGGTTCCAACCCAAAATTCTCGTGCGCGCCCTTGCCTTCCCCAAATTCGTCACAAGCATCTCCTCCTCCACTCAGCCCACGCCACGAGTCGCCCAGGGTAGGCGGCGAGGTGTCCCCAAAAGCCACCCTAGCGGACGGCCTCCCTTCAGAGGAAGAAAAAATGGTGTGGAGAAGATAGCGTGGGGACCTAGCTATCGGCGCCGACCCCGTGGCTTCGTGTCACATTGCATCAAACCCATAGATACGGCGGCGCTAGCCTCGAATCCCACCTTCCCGGGCGCCCGCCCCCGTCGGTCATTGGGCAAACGCCTCATCAGGGCGGTTAACGGCAGTAGCACACTCGATCTACGCGTCTGCGTATTTAGTAGTAATATCCCCAATGTCTTTTACTTTGCATTCCGGTTGCATCACCAACAAACAGGGAAAGCGCTTGAGGGGGCAGGAGTTGCGGAGCCGCTGGGAGATAGCAGGCCTTGCGATCCCCGGATGACCTCTATTTCTTTTCAATTCACACGCTCAAGATCGATATAGTACTGGCAGACGGTGCTTCATAGGCGATATAACGCTTCTTCTCATTTAGTTCTGTTGTGAGGGTATCAACTATATGCTATAGTACAAGATCGGAAGCAGGATATCAACGAGCGAGCTAGGAAAATCTCGCTGTAATTCCCATTCCAGGCTTCATTCAGCCTTCCTACGGTTCCCCATGTCGCGCCTGTGGAGGCATCCAAAATGTTTTCCTCCTCTTATTAAATTAGAGCTCATTTGTGTGTATGGTAGGTGTGCGTGTGCGTGTGCGTGTGTGCGTATGCATGTGTTTGTGTGTGGATGTAGATTGATGTACAAGTGTATGCAAGAATGCATTATATGTCGGCCGTAAGTAGTGAGAGAATGAGATTCGACAAGGAATCGGGAAAAGAAAAGAGTTGGTCAAGTGAAAGTGATGCAAAAATTGGTTAGAAATGAAAAGAGGAAGGGTATCGAGAAAGGTTGGCAAGAAAGGTCGAATCAAGAAGAAAGAAAACGAAGAGCGATGGCGAGAGAGCGCGAGCGATTAGACAAAGTTGCCAGCCCTATCGGAAATGTTGCTCTTGCGGCCGGGAATCTGGGCGACGTAGGCTGGGTGCACGGGCACCGAGCTTGTCGTGTTCACGCCTTCCACGTCGGTCCAGGATAGCGTTGCGGTGCTGCACACCTTGGGATCCACGGTCCAAGCGCTCTGGAAGCTGCTGACAGTCGAGTACGAGGATGGGGAGGCCGCGGCATCATCCTTGGCTCCACTCATCGCATCCGTCATGATCGGGTACGGGTTCATGGCCGCGGGAGCCTGCTGCACCTGGGAAACGGGGCCGCCAGGGCCACCGTTGCGAGATTTGCTGGTCTTACGCTGACGGAGGAAGTAGACGAGGAACAGCACCGCCGCGAGCACAGTGGTGCCGGCAACCGCGGCGATGATGGCGATTTTTGTGTCTCGGTGAGAGTGGCGGGTGTGTCATCCTCCGTAGTAGTTGTGACGACAGGGTCTTCTTCTCCAGAGTCCTCGGCGTCGGTTTCGGGAACAACAATCTCGACGCCGTCAGCCGAAAAGAGGCTGTTTCGGACGAGAAGCTCGCCCGCCGCGGGTTTATACACGCAAGCAGCGGAAAGAACATTCAAGACTATCAAAAACATTAACAAAACAGCTCCAATAGGGCGAGTACTACCCAAAACGGGAGGGAAAAAGGAAAATTGAGACACACAGTTGAGGAGGTACACTTCGTTCTTGTTGCTCTGGAGGCAGCTAGTGCACGGAGCAAGAGTGGACGATTCGAAGCTCTCGTCGGAAACATCGCAGTACCCAAAGCCGCCATTGCCCTTCTTGGACCCATTGGCGAAAAGAGCGGACTGAAGCGGAGCGCACTTAGTCTCGGGACTGCACGTCTGCTTGGGCTGATCTTCAGCGGGGGACTTCAAAGAGGCAGGTCCCAAGAGTGACTCGGAGGTTGGCTGCGTGGAGGGCATGTCATATTAGCATAGAACTGAGTAGCGGGAGAGCAAAAGCAAACCAAGAAGGGGATAAAAAGAATTGAAAAAGGGAGCATGAAATTGACAAGAAACAAATGATGGGGTTAGTGTCGGGAATGTCCACTCACACAGGAGCCATTGTTGGTCAGTCTCAGAGCCATTGACATGCGTGCTCGATTCTAGGCAGGAGAAGCAGGCCTTCATCCGCGCGCCGGCGGCGGTTGATCGGACAGACTCATCGGTGCACACGATTTGAGAAGAGTTTCCAGTCGCCTCGGGTGAAGCGGGAACATCGCAGATGGTCTTGCACGGGGACCCGGGCGCGTACTGGAAAGCGAGGGCGAGGTGGCAACTCGCAATGGCGATCAGCGCCGAGAAGACGCGTAGCGATTGGGGTGTCATTGGTCTGTTTCGTTTGGAAAGATCTATAGGCGATTCTGGCGTCGATTGCAAAACGATCTAGGGAGAGAAAGGGGAAGAGAGGAGAAAGAAGGGAGGGAAACCGTTTCAATAACCGCGGGCGCGAGTGGGAGTTATCTAGAGGCTGGGCACTCGAAAAGCAAGGGGATGAGTGGAAAACGTCCGGGGAAGCACAAGGGCCAGAGGAAAAGATTGTCCGACGGGTGGCGTCAACGACGATGAGCGGCGGGCGGAAGCGAGACGGGAGAGAGTACAGAAGCGGGGTGGGGCACTAGGTCTCTTAAAGAGGTCGCAGGATCAACCGATGGTCGTGAGAACTGGTCGATGCCTTTCAGCAGACAAGGAAAAATGAACTTGTTGAGCTACGAGGAGTAGTAGGAAAAAAGAAAGAAACACGAAGTCGAGATTCAAAGGTCGCTCGTGAGGCGGCCGGGTCACGCCTCTTTTTTAATTCTTTGAACATGTTCGTTCCGGGATGGACCAGACTTGGCCGATGGTCGGCATACATGGCTGGCATCCACGCCATGGCTCATGACTATGCCTTGTTCTTTCACATCTTCTCCGCATGGATGCTGGCCATTTTCTCCGCTTCGATTAGTATGTAGCTTCAATCCGCACTTGAGCTTCAATTGATTTCCCAATCTCGTGGAAGCTAGGTTAAATGCGCATGCAGTGTGAGCGCCTGTGTGCGTTCTCGCACCCAGATATCACCTCTAGTCGTCCAAGAAGGGAATAGCGACCGGTAAACTCCCATTGAACCCTGGCGGTGACGGGTGCAGAGACTGCCCAGTATTGATCAATTGATGGTATTAATAGAAGCGACAGGGACTCGAGCTAGCGAGTGCGATTCATTGCATGCGGGGACGATGGCCAAGGGCGACAAAAGGTGACGATGGAGCCCATGATGCGCTCTCAGTGGCTCTTTTAGCGCCCGCTTTCTCGATGGTGACCGGCCACCCGCCCGTGTCTAGCCAATCACGACGAGATGCAACCTTGAATTTCTTCCCGATCCGGTTCGCCCGCCTTGAGCTCATCTCACTTCGCTGGAAGCTTGCCCGGCCGTAAGAGCAAACAATTCGCAATCTTTCTCTTCTTGCTCTCTCTTCCAGTATTATCGCAGGGCACGCGCTGGGCATGAGCTGGGCACAGACGGAATTACCTGTCCACCCTCTCTGCGACCAACTTCCCCTGCCAGTCGTCCATCCCGGCGCCGACAACCAGAGTCTGCTTGACTCTTCATGCACGGCACGGCACATCCAGTGGGAGAGATCCCATATGAATCCATTGATCCCAGCGCTTCGAGCGAACCTTCACCGCTCGCTCTCTGCCTCCTTCCACCTTCTTTATTTCCCCCTCTCCCCCTCTCGCCATCTTTGTCCTTGATAGTCCCATTCTATCGCCATCACCCCCTACCATCAGCCCACATGGGTCTCTGGGGCACACTCTCTGGGCATGCATCACCAAATCACACGCTAGCCTCGAACTGAGCCACTACTACAAATATTAGTCGGGCCAAGAGCTGTGATGAGCAACGCATGAAATCAACGTGGCCCAAGAAAATGTTAGAAATTAGACAAGAAAGGAGAAATAAAAGAAGAAGTCGCAAAAGGAGGAGGGGGAAAAAGGGGAGAGGAAAGGAAGGGGAAAGCAGAGACGAGAAAAAGGACTGGGCTTTCCAGATCGGACCCAATCATAGCACCTAAATTTGCGCCGTCTTCCTCTGTGGCCACTACAATCGGTCGTCACACATCATGGGCGCGCACTCACCGTCCAACTTGTCCTGGCGCATTTCTTCCATCCACAGTCGGGATGATGCCGGCAGCACACTACCGAGGTACTCCTCTCCCGCGTCCCTCTTTCCCCCAACAAATGGCTGTCATCTCTGAACGTTCGCGCCCGACTCAACCGAGCAACATACTCCTAGGTAGCGTGACTCGTATTTCCCAATCGAAAGGCCCATCACAGTCGCCCGGCCTTAGATTATGCATGTTGTGCCTTGTTCCTTCACCTAAAATCAAGCCCCAAAAATGTATCGTCGCGGTAATCCCGCAGAGGAGACTGGTCGATGCCAATCCGGATCATCTCGCCGTGGATATGGACTACTTGAGTGCATCATCAGCTTTCAACAATTTGAACCCCTTTTCCCTTAACAATACGAACGAATCGACAGAGGTGACAAGGGCAGCACACGCATAACCAGATAGGGGGAGGGAGAACTGAAGGGAAGTTCTTGCAATCGCACAGCCAGAAAAGGAAAAATCAAGAGATAAAAATGAAGGGAGGACACCCTAGAGAGGTCAAGGACAACGTCCCACATCTCTCGCTTATGCTGTATGCCAACCTCAATGGTGCTACCAGTCCGGAAGCCTCGATATACAAGCCAATTGAGGTTTTCGAAGACTTGTGTATCCGACTGCTCGAGACCTTGTTTAATCTGGTCCTGGGCGCTCTTAACAGGCTGGCAGCCTTAAGCACCGTAGCAGCTACAGCTGTCTCCGTAATCTCAATTGACGTTGTCAAGCTCTTAGCTAACTCTCAACGGCTGATGATGTGTTGAACAGCCAAAGGCAGCTAAGTCTTCGAGGCAGTCGCCAGTTGATGTTCGGAGAGGTTTTTCTTCCTGTCGGCGCCCAGCCAAACAATGGCAATTGACGGGGGTGTATATCCAAATTCGTCAACGCCGTCATCAATAACTCACGTTTGTGCAACCTCTCGGAACCTTTGCAAGCCACGCAGCTCTCTCATTCGCTCTTCATCAACTTTGAAACTGCTAAACTCTCTCAAGGGCTGAGCAGAGTGGCACACACTTCCCATCCCGCTGGGTCGGATGAACTTGGGCACATCTTGTCGAAAGAGGAGCCGTTGACTTGATTAGTTCAGCTCAAGGGACGACGTTCGCAATGAAAGATAGCGGCTGGTGGCCCCGCGATCTCCTATGACTTCGTGTAACCTCTTTTGAGCTCGCCCATGATTCAATGAAGTGTCGGTTGTCAGCATCAATCATCAACCGCGGGGAGCGGTACGCAAAACCCTCGCGTTCCCCATTTTCGGGGCCTGATTTCTTTGACATGGTCTTTACTCGTGAGAACAAGTTGTAATCGTCAACATTCCACCCAATGCCTCGCTCTAACCAAAACATGACCAAAGGATAGACGAGTTCTCAAAGAGAATTTGTCAATGGTACCCCAGGTACGCCTCGAATAAAGAAGTCGCTACTCTCTACAGCAGTCTATAAAAGGCAGAAACAGTATTACGGTTGCACCTTCTACTGTCAATCACGGCTAGGTAGGATATGCCTCGCCCCTTCGATGACGTCTAATCCGGGGATAGGTCCTTCTTTCCTTATCTAGTCCCGGAGACCTTAGTGTTCGTTGAGGGTGGCCATGATGCATCAGGATATGGATTTTCGATGAATGGCCGCTGGGCTTCAGATAAAGCTGCTTGCAAAGTCTGAGAGGATTCAGCTCAACCTTGAGGTCAATCCTCCCTGCCGAGCCTTGATCTCCTCGCGTCGTCAGCTAGCGCTACACCATTCCTAAAGACAACATCAATTCGTAGCCTCGAGTACCATCAGAGCCACCCGCTCCTCGTCTTACGTACCATTTTGTTCTCTCTGTTGTTCCTATATTTCCCAAAAGCCATGGCTACGGCACAGGTGCAGCAGCCGACGGCGCTTGACTCACTTCCGACGGAACTCGTGCACAAAATAGCTTCGCACCTTTCACTCGCAGGAACCTTCATGCTCTCAGAGACCTGTCAGAGGTTTCGGGCCATGTTCCACGACTGGTGCATGTTTGACATACGCTCAAATAGCCACCGCCAACACCTCGTCTTCCTGAGCGAGATCGCCACCTGCTTTCCCCATCTCTACCAGTGCGGACGATGCTACGAACTACACGAGGTCGACTTTGAAGACACGCCCAGGTCGTATCGACGCCCGCCTTGCCGATCACCTCACGACGAGATCAACCCCGGACGGGAGAGAGCCCAACCAGTCCTCAGCATACCCTCATACTGTCTAAAGCATCACCATATCCAGCTCGCCCTCAAATATCACAGGTTAAGGGACCCCGTTACTCCGAGTATCTCGAAAAGCTTTTAGCCCCTCACTTCTTCTCCGAGACGGGAGTCCCACAGAGTACAGCCTTGGTTCACCCCGCCATCATCGACGGCCGGTTTTTCCTCCACAGGTGCTAGAAGCGGTGGGCCTGTCATGGCTCAGGGCCCGTAACGACAACCATTTGCGCACATGTGCTCGATATTCATAGGACACAGGGGGATAATACGATGTCCGGGGATCCCGATTGGCACCAGCACAACTTCCTTGACCCCGAGACTTTGGTCGAAGGGTCGTGCGGAAAATGTCCGACGGACTACTCGCGCGAATTTCTTCCAGGCCTGTCGGTCCTGAAGTCTTAGCAATATTTCGGCCGCGAAACATCTTTATTCGAGAGCCGCTGGGTTGTTATGCTCCGAACAAACTGGAGCACCCGCGCGGTGTCCTCAGATGTCCCCCACGAGCCTGGAACCCTAAAGGCATTCTTTTACTCAAGGGATGCAAGCCGAGAACCTGAGACGGTGAGGGTCCCATTCTTACCCGTCCAGCAGACACCCGCAAACCCTAGACGAGAGGAGGGTAATCGCAGAAGCCGAAATCGAAGGAAACGAACCGGGGTTGATCGAGACATCAAACCAAATGGATCTTCTAAAGCGGGAAAGTAGATATTCTTGAGGATTTCGATTGGAC